TGCTTCGAGTACAATACCTGAATTACTTGCGAATTTATTCTTCTTAGTGGGTACTCATGCGTAAGCCTCGATCGGCGATAAGCGATATTGGTGTAAGCATACTAGAGTAATTTTTTATTGTTATAAAGTGGTGCAGAGGAAGGAAGTCTGCCAAGTACTAGTGAGCGCCTTTTGGAAAATTGTAATAATTCCAGGATGTGCCTTCGACTTCCAAAGGTGCCACATTGGAACAATTTAGTTGAACTGCTAGCTGGCCTCCTCGTCTCACATATAATCATCACAAGATGCAACCGCACTCTGAGCAACAGCAGCCAGAACTCACATTAATGCATAACTGTACCACACAAATCCACGCCCCGTAAAATCCCCGCCAATGCCCTCAATGCCTTTGACAGTTTGTTCAAGGTAAGTGACCATTGAACTTTATAACATTTGAATAATAGGGTTGGTAAAACTAAGCACAAAACCAAATAGGAGGTATACTGCATAAGCAGAGGCGAAGGAGTCTACATCTATATTTCGCATCTTTTTTCCATGTGATCGTATTCTACCTGTCTTTTATCAACCTTCCATTTAATTGGTCGGTCTACCAAACCCAAAGCCTGCCTCTAACTAGAGCATCTAAAATAAGTTATTTTCATGTTTTTTGAATTGGAATAACCCTTTTGTTTCCGATGGACTAACCTCTTTTAGTTGCTGTCTGCTCATGTTTGGTAAGCTGAAACCTTCTTTAAAATTTCACTTAGTAAATTTAATCGCAAACCATTTGACTTTGCTAGTCTTTACGACAGATTTTGCGACATGTACAAATGAGGAAAAACTGTGTTCTTTACCCACTTTCCATCTTTGCCGTTATTCCGCTACTTTTCTGCTGCAACCAGCGAAGCTTCCAAGACAAACGAGAGTTTCTTAAAACTACCAAAAATCCCGAAAGGATGTTATGCACATGAAGAAGTTGGAGATTTGTTGGTTGATAATGCAAAGGACAGTACAAATGTCTCTGGCCTACTCATGCTCGCTAATTGTAATTTAAGAAACGCATTCATAAGGTGCGTTCGTTCACTTATAGAGGGTCTCCAAGAGATCCAGGATACAAATGGAAAAGTGTAAGTACTCCATTTAGGAATAGATAAACATGCAAACAAAGTAGTTTAAATGGTTTCTTTATTCCAAATCTTCTAAGACATTAACAAATTTGGTCTGGTTGGCACGGTAAAATTACAGGCATGTTAATTGAATTTTTTGAATTGATCCGCGCATGTAAAGTTTTGACTTGGCAATAATAATTTATAGGCGCACCCCTCAAACAAAATAGCACAATCTATGCTTTTCAATGCTGAATGCGAATATTCTCAAAGTATTATTGACGTTACCTACGGAGACATACAATTTATTTCGAATTTCATAAAAAGGGAAGTTATGAAGGAAACTAGTTTTCGTAATGCTGAGTTTAATAATGACGTTTGGGTTTAGACTTCAAAGAACTTTCATCATAGAAGAAAAACCTTTTCCTAGACCTGAATTGTCAAGCTTCGGTTAATTTCTTCGCCAAATTTGACACTAGCTGTCACCTTAAAATATGCCCCACTTTATTTCTCCTACAACGCGTTAAGTTACCGCTTAAGGCATGTGAAAACAATTCAATTTTTCTGAATAATGGGGGCAAACAAGTGAAATACTTTTCGACTCATTTGCTTCAAATTTTTGTCGACCTGAATCAACGTATTTTAAAATATATTCAAGATATCGAAACTTTGCACCAACAGCCTCGTTGAAATAAATGATTCGCATTGCTCTCCATTTGGTAAATGCTATCATGGAATGGCGCCTACACTCGACGCCTTACAGCCCTCATCTGTGCTCGCCTGTACGAACGAACATTACTGTGGGTGCGTCTCCTCGTAAATAACACCCAGTCATGATTTTGGAACCTCATATCAATGAGCCATCACAGTTCCGGGTAATTCATTTAAAATGCTAATTAAGTAGTTATTTTGGTGTCAAACCATTCTTAAGTAATAAAAATTGGTATGAATTTAACTCAAACTTGGCTTCAAAGTAAAATGACCTCCTTTTCTGTAATTTTTGTTTACTTACCACATACATCACAGAAACTTCGAAGCAAAGTAGAGGAGTTTGCTGTTTTAAAAAAGCAATGAGTAGAGCAACCACGTTGAAGGCCGCTTTGCCACTTTTCTATGCAGAGTTCCCTGAGCCTAGAAGTACAGCTATTCGAGTTTCCTTGAAAGGAGAGATAATCCTCGTCTGGTCTAAATTGTTTCGATTCGTACATATTTTCGGTTAACTTTATTCTGTAATATCATTTACGTCGATGTATCCAAAAGCAAAAAAAGTAGAAAGTTGGACACTTATATGTGCACAATGAAATAATTTTAATAAGTGTAGGTGGCTAGTAGGATTCATGAACACCATGAAAGTTAAGCAACTTACCCATCCATCAAGCTGAACGTGTGGCGGAAAAAGTGCCATCCACTTTGATGCATCGATGCGGGTGCGCTGATTTGCCGTATTGTGCACAGAGGATTGGGACTTTTGTTTTAATATTTGTCAAAGGTCTGAAGTTGGTAAACCTGAAAAGAATGCAAGAATTTGATCGTGCATCACTCGCACTTATCCACTGTAAATATTAGATAAGATCATTAGTAATCTTCTTTTAAATCTTAGACTTTATTAGTATATCCCAGTTAGACATCTGTTACTACTTTTAACATATAATGTACAGGGCTTCCTCCCAGGTCGAAGCCTGAAAGAATGTACGTATTAAGGCACCAAACAAATAAATAAACGATTTTTCTTTTTAAGCGACAAACATTTCTACATAGTAAATAAAAATAATACGCCAAAGTTGTCAAATCCTGGCATCATCAAATATCAAGTCTCAGATGTTACTTTGAATCCGGAATATCTGTCACAAACACACATTATGCTGATCCACTTAGTAACGCATTAACCATTCTTTTTCCAAAATGGTGACCCGCGTCACTTAGTTTTCGTTAACATGTTCGCACGTAGAAAGCGCATTCCAGTTGTAAGGCTATTTAAGCTAAAATACTAAACAAAGCTCCCAATACCTCAGTCCTCAAAAATTCACAAATAACAAAGGACTACTCAACTCGATAAACCACTGGAGAAAATGGGGCTTTAAGATGTTTTGCAGTCAGAAGAGGTTTATTTAACGAAAGCAGCAAAGCAATTGAAAATTGACCTTTCTTCGATTCTACGCAAGACTGTCTTGGAGGTTCGTCACTTTTGCTCTCTCTAGATTCTCATATTCAATCCAGGGCAGCAAATCCAATATGCGGCCTGTTAAGCGGGACCTTTATAGCACAATAAATACACGTTGGCTGAAAAATAATCGACCCATACCAGTTAATGGCATTTCGCCTCAGACATAAATGTTATTGAAATTACCTATCAAATAATATCAACAACGGTTTAAGCTAATTTAGAGGAGACCTTGTGGTGGCATAATGAATGGGACCTCACGTAGCTTTTGGCAAATACAACCTACTAACGTGCCATAGTTCAAAGGTAATGCAGATATTACGCTATCGCCTCTCTCGCGGAATCATCTGTAGGGCTCTCATGCAGAATTATCCCAGCCACGACATGGAGTCTGTGGTTGCTTTATTCTCAAACGACATTTGTGCCTGAATTGATTTTATGAGGTATAAAGTCGAAATGGCATTGTGCTATGAAGACGCAACATTGCGAAACTTTGATCAGGCATTTCTTATCACTTGGTGTCTTATAATTTGACAATCAAGGTAGTCGTACAAGCAATTGTACTTGTATGGATCGCAGATTTGTAAGTGTGTACTTCTTTACAGCAATATAATGCTCTAAAATAGCTTTTTTGAAAGTTTGAGCATGACCACGGTTTTAGGTCCTACTTAAAATACCCATGTTTCAAAACTACTTCACAATCTTTCAGCTTCCAAATCCTCAATCACGTATTTGCGCGCAATTCTTAACTAAAATATCACTTTATTTAAACTCAGACAATATTTGTGCTTTACTGAGCGATTAAGCTGTATTCAAATGCTTTTGGAACCAAAAATAAAATACGCATATTTTGATAATATCTTGTAAGTGCACTCTCATTGTTCTTGAATGGAGATAACTTGAAATGTGTAACATAAGTAAAAAGAAGTAGAATTGGTCGCAATTATTATTGCAGTGGCGACAAGCATCACAAGATCCGTTCAAACATCAAAAAACAAATGTTCTAAGGGTAGTAATGTGTAGCCACTCAGTGTTCATCAAGAACTAAATGTTAAATGAGTGGAATATTCGGAAAATAGTTGCACAATTTATAGGTTGTCCACTATTGCAACACTGAGGCCTTGTGACATTTCCTTTTAAGTGCGAACACAATTTGCTTTTTGTTTGATGCTTGTATAATACGTTAATTGTTTATCCAACTTTCGCTTTTGTAAAGGGGCCGATTAGGGACTCCGCCATTGTACCTCCGCCGGATGACCTGGCCTCTATAACATGCCATGCCCTAGTTTTATGATTTCTCGTCTTTGGGGGAGTCTAGGGGCTCTAACAGTTATGCCATGGATTATTCAAATTTGCGCTGTCAATTGCGGCAAACAGCTCCTCCATAAACGTGAAGCAAATTGCATTTTTTGGATTATTGTTGACTCACTGTATTATCGCACTGAAATACTAGCCTTCGCTTTCAACGCTCAGTAATATGTGTTGACCGGTTTTCAAACAACTCTTGGGTTAAACTTTGAACAGTTATGAAATCCTACACTGAAAAAAATGGGATGCCTCCCTCCAGCTAGTCTTTCTGATAAAAGATTGTAGAGCCGAAAGTTCAGGAACAAAATATAGGCCTTGTGTGATAGTGGGGACAGGAATGTGTCGTCTTGTGGGGTATTTATGCAATACGATGGTGATTTATCCCTCGGTATTAGTGTGGCGTCACATTTGTACTTCGAATTAGCCTTCTTGCATCTCGCTGGGTGGGCTGGCCATTGAGCCATGCCGGTACCCCAAACACCTTTTCTATGATAAATATATATTCTGCCTGAGTATTGTGTCTTCTTTCGTCTTCTGATAGTCTCGGGACGCTACATTTATCTACGCGCCCTCCTTTTCCTTTGCTCAACACGCAACTACCTTGACGTCACGACCTTTTGAGTCAGAGAAGGAGCATTATCCCTTTGCAAAGCCGTAAATAGCCTTATTTCTTTTCCAGCAGTGACTCAGAGGACTACGTATGTCCAAAGAACCAACTTATTTCTACTGTATAAAATAGTTTTATAAATCGCGCAACAAAGCTATCAAAATAAAGTGTTTACTGAAGCATACCTTGTGCACTCACATCAAAAACATCTTTAAAAATGTATTGTACTGAAACTAAGCTATTCACATTTGAAACCACCAAAAATAACTTTACAAATAACTATTTTATGTACTTGCTGTGTTTTAACAAAACGTGCCTACACAGCAAACAAAATTATTAAAACATTTGGAATTAATAGAGCGCTATTTAAACCTAATTTTAGGCCATATAAATAGTACACAAGTATGTTTCAATTTACCTCAGGAAAGAATTCGACCTTACGCAATTTACCGCTCATATTGACTGTGTTATGTTGCGGGTCCTCGTTGAGAAAGCCGTAAACCTAAAGAATGTGGAGCTGATCGGAAAAAGCGATCCATATTGCAGGCTTGAGTTTAAGGGTATGTGAAGTCACGGCTGTAGTCCTGATTACATGTGTTTCCAGGATGCTTTTTAAATATTACATGAAATTATGCAGTCATAAGCCGTTTGTTTCTGAAGTAGTTTCTCTTGTGGTCCCCTAAGCAATGTATGTAATTGGTTAGAATAACTAAAGCTTTGTGGTGTTTAGCTGCCTGAATTTTGGTGACGATCTGTCTTAAGGACAAATGCGCTCTACGTTTTTGTTTTCTATGTAATATCCGGACCTGTTTTTTAATCTTTGACGCTAACATTGTATAATTTTGGAGGTGACTGCAATCCCCTGTGATTATTTTAGAATAATAGTTATTTGAAGGGCACGTTTTTTATATTTTAGCACTGATGCTTTTTTAGTATTTTGAGTGTTTTGTGGTTTTTGGGGAAAACATACAGAACCTATTTGTTTTCTACACCAGATTGCATTGTTACAATTATTTTAGGTGAAAAGAAAAAGACTAAACACATCAACGACAATCTTAATCCTGAATGGAATGAGGTACATGTTTAAGTAATTTTTGGACTTGCATTCGTAGAGCATCGAATTTGATTTGAAAGGGGAGGCACTTACTCCGAACGACACACTTGAGGTTAAGGTTTTCGATCACGACGATGTTTCGGTCGACAAGTAAGAAATTATCTTTTGAAAGTCTATTTAATTGGATTTTGCTTACGCGAATGCAGATTAGTTTTATACTGCTTTCATACTTCATCTTATCGCCCAGATTGTACAGCGGTGCTACCTCTTGTTTGAAGCCCCATATTAATAGCATTGTTTTAAACAACTATATTTTGCTGTTGAATTAACACATGAAACATAACTCCAGGTTTATGGGCAAAGTGTCTGTGCCATTGGGTTCCTTCAGCGGTGGAGAGAAGGAGAAAAAGGAATCCTTGACACTAAATGACAAAAACAATCAGCCAACACAAGTGAGTAATAATGGCACGGGAGCAGATCATATTGTTATTATGAATTAGCTAATGATTCTAAGTCTTCCACCATTTAAAATTTTTGTGAAACTACTCATTGTGGTATCGGCAAACTTTGAAGAGTACATCTGTGTTTGTTCTAGTTCGGTTGCACTAAAAGTAATGCGCTTAGTGTATTTGCCACAAAAAATTAGGGAAGACTGTATTAAAATTATTTTTTTGAAGTGGACACAAATTTGCCACTTTCCTGGATTTCCATCCTTTAATCACGTTACTACGTTTAACTGTTAGCCGTTTATCGTAAATAACTAGCTTTATTAGGCTAGTCAACTTGAATATGTATTTTCTGTGGTATTTTTCCATTTCGTAGATTTCAATAAAAGGCAATTTAATTTGTACTTCTCGCACCTTATGGAAAGCGTTTTATTTGCCATAATGAGGATAGTTTGATCAGCGCTAGAATTTCTTGATAGGAATCCGGCTTTTTAGTGCCGTAGAAAGGTTCTATTTTCATCCTATTTTCTCTCGGTAGCACACTGAAGGAACTAAGCACAAACGATGGATTCCTGCCTTGTTCTCATATTCACCGGTTTCCAGATTACACGCGTTGATTTGAGCTTAGTATATGACCAACCAATCAACTGTTCAATTTATTAATGGCATTGGTTAGCCATTCCATGTATTTATAGTTTTTCATATAGGTCACCCTTACATCGATTGGTGGTCCTTGCTTTCGGTAAATAGTGAATGGAGAGTCAGTAAATAGGCCCATGTTTTATAAGAAGAAATAGTTTTATTTGTAGTTCACACTAGTTTTGAACGCTAGGATATCTAATGCGTGCGGGTCGAGAGGTTATGATTAAAGGAAACATCACTTTGTGAAACCTGCCAACTTTCCCGTAGTCCATCTTTTCAATGTTTTAGTCACATGAAGGTTTACTGGTTTAACTTTCTAGAGTATAGGATAATAGGTATCTAAAGACTGAATAAGTCCGAAGTTTTGGCGTATTTGGTCTTTTTGTGGAGGATCTCCGTATAAGACAAGTAATGCCATTTGAAGACTCGTTACACTGTAAAATAGCAATACAGAATTACCTCCTACTTGATTGGAGAGCTGGTACATCTAATCGTTAACGCTGCTCATGCATGGGAATGAAGTCTAACTTGCAATACAAAGCAACTGCGCTCCTAAAATGTGGGACACAGTACTATATCCCAATATGTTGTTTCTATTAAGTTTTCCACGTAATAACGGTAATTTCTGCTAGTTGAATAATCCAAATTTTCCCTATTTCAGCAAAGCATCCAGCTCACCATTACCTACGAACCACCAGCTCAAGGAGGTGCTACTGGAAGCGGTGGAGGTATGTCGACCAAATAATCACTTAGAAAGACAAGAATTTTAAGTGCCTCTCTTCACAGATATAGCTAGCATTCCTATTCGTTTCTCGTTCAGTTTAACCCGCATGGGGCCCATATGAACCTAAGCACAGGTCTGAAAAATGCACAATTGCCGGTGACCTCAAACACTACACAAAGGCATGTGCCCTTATTTTAGACCTATAAAATACTACCAAGAAACACACAAAAATGTACCCAAAATTGTGTCTGGACGGTGCAGAAATGCTTTACACATAAGTGCAGCCTCGTGCCTATTCAGATGCTGCATATCGCCGGCCCATTTGGAGCTATTTACTCGCCCATGTCAGACGGTCATTGGTTAGGTAAACATCTAATACGCAGGGTGTAGGAAAAGTAATCATTCTTTTGGTATCTATTGTCCCCGGAGGGGGCAGTTTCTGAAAGCCATTTTTTAGGAAACGGCATCTACTGCACGCCTGAGCTTTGCCAATTTCGTACACGGCACTTGACTTTCTCATTCTCATAATTTCGGAATTATTTAAAGGCCAATTTTTGATAATAATACCTGATGCGTTCCAGGATCAAGTATCGTCATACCAAGCTCACCTTAAAATGTCCTTAGTTTTGGATATTACTCATGGACTGGCTGGTATCGCGTTGGAGTTCTACAGTAATGTTAATTTTTTTTTGATAGACCTTCAAAGATGAATGTTTCCTGTATTAATTTGTTAGCGAATACTATATCTCAACAGAAATTCCCGTTGGTGCGTCACCTTGGTGGCTGCATAAGCAACACTTTCCCTCTATACTGCCTCGTTTAACTTTTAGCCGTGATTTTCGAACGCTCTTACCTTATCGAAGTCTCACACGGATGATGAATGGTGTCTTAAGCAGGAGCCACGGTTATGTTGGCGGGAATTTTTGATACTATACATGGAAACAGATCTTGCTGGTTTTTATGCCACAAAGCAATTTAAATCTTAGTAAGAATCAACCCGCCTAAGAAATTGAGAAAAACCCCAATTTTGAAGAAAAAAGGATGATTTTGTTTAAGCATATTCATAAAACTTCCAAAAGTTACCAAAACTTAAAAATACATGAACATGAATTTCTAATTCCTTATTCACTGGGGTTATGAAAAAAAAATAGGGTGTGACAAAACGTTCTGCCAGTGGGTGTACACTCAAGCTGTTTGAAATAGAACTATGCTCGACTTTGGACTGTGGAAAACCCAACCACAATAGCCTTCTACTCACGTACGACATGCGCACACATTTCATTGCAAATGGGAGTCATTTAACTCGGACTTCTGTGTCTTGGCACATGATTCTACCGACCATTTGTTAATAAAAGTTGAATGATTCCACGCCCATTCTACGTCCTCTTCATTCTATCCACAGCAGTTAAAAGGGGAACATTGGAGTGCCCTAGTGTTTTAAGTATCTTGTCACTCCGTTGATACTGGTTTTATAATAACTTTGAAACATCAGCAAATTACTTGTTCGGAAAATAAATCTCATTTTTAACTTTATACGAATTGGAGAAGCCATCATATCTAAGACGAGTTATTTTTAGGTCGATGTTTTCTAACCTGTTAAAACTTAATGTAGGTCGTAATGTCTGTGATCTAAAAGTTGGGTTAGAAATCTCATTTTAAAAAATGCGGCACCAATAACACTTTTGCGTTGCGAAGTCAACTCTTTTCGCGTACCATAATCTACCCTTCTGGAATCTTCGGTGTAAGATCATGGACAACGTGCTCCTTCACATATCGTTAAAATGGCTTATTAGATGGATTCTCACTAACATCTGGCTAAGATCTGGATATTGCGCATGTACTTGCCTGTATATGGCTCCAGTCTTTTTTCGCTTCGAACCGTTCTTTTCCTGGATTGCCTCTGCATTACCCCACGAATTTCAGAATTCATTTACTCCACTGTACACTTTAGCATGAGTCAGATATTTGTGTTACGTTTTTTAACATTTGCGATGAGTTGCTGAAGTTCTGACACTTTTATTTTCATATAAGAACAATAGTTAAATAACGAGTTTTTAGTCTAGCGTGCCACAACGCAGATTTTATATCTACCCTCCCAAGAGTTGCAATCTATGTCGCAAGTGTATCTATGACATTCGGCAAGTCGCCAAAGGCCAAGTGTTTTCACAGTTCTCAGTTGCACTGCACATGCTTGAAATAATTCAGAAGAAGGCTCTGCTTTTGCTTTTAGATGGATGTCAATTACCAGATTACTGTTTCATATTTCTGATTTACTGACGCATGATTTCCTCCATGGTCTTTGATCGCACGTGTACACGAGAAAGGCTTGTATTCATTTATGGATGTGCTTATTTCTTGCATACCATTTTTGCTGTTCTGTTGAAAACTCTGTCGCCTTTAACAAGAACCAAAGTAGCTATCTGGTTATTAATAACAAAACGGAGTTCATCTTGACCCGTTAAATTGTAACAGTTAAGATTAGGGCAATGATGCGAAGTTTTGCAAGGCGTTGCTGTGGGGACGCTTTTGCCAATGAAGTGAGACCGAAACAATCATTAATTCATGCTCATAATTCCATTGATCATGAGAGTTAAGTTAAAGATATATGATTGACCTTGGTTAAGCGAGTCCTCCCTTTTTATAATACATAGATTACTGGTCTTACTATATGAACTGGAGTGTGCTTTTACATTAGCATAAAATAGACGAATTCAGTTGACTAATTATAACGAAATTACCACATTGGTGAGCTCTCGTCTGTTACGGATGCATTAAGTAATGGATAATACTTTTGATGTGCTTTTACCGAAAACCTTAGCATTTTACTTCCGATGGAAGTCTATCGTGGATAAGTATTACAAATTGCTCATTATTGAAACCCGCCTTTGAAAGTATTTCGCCTCTAGTATTTCGTGCATCTGTATCTGAATACACATGAATTATGCTGATCCACTGCCTCATTTTATCAGCTGCCGGTGAGAGCATCGGTGGTGGTGGCGGTGACGGTGTCGGTAGTGGCGAGGGCTCTGCGGTTCAAGGTGGTACCGTAGGAGAAAAGAAGGGTGACGTCTCTGACCTCCTTCCTGCTATCGACAAATCCTATTCCACGAAAGTTCAGGACTTCCAGGTATGTCATTCTTTCTCTAACTAGGAAGTTAGTCGAATCTTAAGGAATTGTACTTTTCGCTTGTTAATACGTTTGATAATTTTTCGATATTGAACCTCTCATAACGAATTGGGCAGGGATTTTCCTTGAGAGACAAATAAGTACCTGGGCTACCAACTCGCAAATACGTAAGTGCCGTTCAGCATTCAACCGCTGCGCAAACTCCAGACTGAATTATAAAGTTCCGTGAAATGGTACAGTGAGGCTATTTTATTTTAGAATTTGGCCTCTTTATTTGTCTGAATTATACTTTTAAATCTAATAATGCCAACGTATGCTATTGCTTGGTAGGGCTGAATGTGATACGAGTCAAATTGACTGGGTTGATGTTTATGAAAACTCGGATTTTTGCCTTGGTTCCCTTATGGAAGTTGAGGTTACTTAGGTCGTGCAGAATGCAAAATCTTTCGATACTTTTACGATTTGAGTATTTTAAGCGTTGTTTCCGACAGGAAACTTAATAGTGTGCTTCGACACCTCCTTGGATTTTTGGCACATCATGTTTTCAACACTTAAGAGGCTTATTATGATTTTAAAATTACCTTAAAACCAATCGGCTGATTTCAATCTTTTTATCTTGTGTAATGCTGAAGGTACATAACTTGTTTGTTAATAAGTATATTCAATCCGACATAAAAAGTTTCCACTAAGTTTTCAGGGGTTACTAATGCGACATTATTTTAAGTACAGGTCCTTTTACCTGCGAGATCAAAGCCAAATTTGTGGTTCCAAATTTTTTTTATCCAAAACCATCCGATAATGGGATATTTTCCCCACCCCTATTGATAAAAGCTAAAATGCCTCGGCGATTCACATAAAACATTTACAAAAACCGAAGATCATATTCCTACAAAAATCGTATTTGGTCTTGTCGTGGTGGTGCGACTGTGCCGTAATGGGGTGCTCACACGCTTAGTCATGCACGCCCTTCGGCTGCATCACTCATGCCACTCGTTGTCTAATGTGGCCTGTCAGCCATTCTGGTTGGCACGAGGCTGCTGCCCCCTTGAGTGGGTACTCAACGCCGTTGTAACTCAATTAGTCGCTAGTGTGCAGACCATACGCCCCTTTACACACTTGTAAACACGTTGGAAGATCCATTTATATAGCCCATTTCAGTAACGTTATCGTGTTTCTAAGTAGCTCGACTTTATAATCAGGCCTAGTTATTACCTGAGTCCAAAAGCGCAAGTAACAACACTTTACCCAACAAAGCAAGACTGGATAGCAGCCGCAAGCTGCTTAGAATTGGACGCACCTTCAATAACGATAGAGTGTACGTGATGTGAGCTCCCTGTAAAGTGATTCCCTTGATCACTCTTCCAGTTGCTTCCTGTGAGCTTCTAGGCATTTGTTTTCAGTGCCTCAGCACCACAATGCCAGAGTACGTTTGTGTGCAAAGCGGGCTATGATTTACTGAACCAGTGTGTTGGTCTGTAAGTGCGTGTGTATCTCCTTGTATATTTGAGTGCTTGTGAGTCTGTATCGACGTGTGTGTAAGCACGTCTGCCTGTATGTGCTGTGGTGCCAATTTGCATTGGCTCTTGATCCCTTATCGAATGCATTATTTGAATGCATGCTCGTGCGTGAGAGTGCATTTGCTGTGTTTTTCGAGTGAGCCACTTAAGCAACCTTCCTATTACTCTGGCAGCGGGACCTACTCAATCAAATCACTTCAACTCAATATCGCGCAGTTATGCCAATAGGAGCGTTGGATGTGTTTCACGTAGTTCCCGTCATCGTGCCAAGTATTCCATATGTTCTTGATCTGTGAGGTTTTTGCGTACATTATGCACCTTCCCTCCTTGAAAGGAATTTATTTGTTTGCACAAAATGAAATCCAATAGCCACTGAAAAAATCTGTATCAAAGCTGGACAATATATCTGATCAAATTTGGACCCCCCAGTCAAAGTAATATAACTACCGCATTCATATCCACTGTGCTGTATCACTCGCTGATTTTAATGCCACTTAATTCATCCGATATTTATGGTAACACTAAATAGTTTTTAAACACCACCTTTTGTACTTCCCAACTGGATGCACACAAGGGCAAAAGGAAAGGCTTCATCTTATACAAATTATGTAAAAATACGTTGTTTACTGATCGCAGAGTGAAATTATTATTGTTGCAATTAGAAGTGGCAGTTAACAGGCAGCCGTGTTAGCAGTTCTGTTTGGTATCCAGACTGTTACAAAAAACACGTGCGGAAACACAGCAATGATTGAAACCGCAAATGAAATAAGTATTTATCTGGATACACTACTGCTCAAGCGTTGTTTGTTCTGAGCCATGCATCGCTTTCTGCAAAAACTGTGCGGATGCACATAGGTGCGGAACACGGATGTCATACAGCAGCAAATGATACTAGTTCAGTGCATGTAGAAATCAATCAAAAAGAGAACTTAACACCTCTGCTTGCAAAGAAAATTTTTGATTCTGACTTGAACTATATCTGATTAAACTAGCATGAGATTTTCCATTTGGCACATTTGTCCCACATAATAAAGTTTTTCACACAGTTATTGTTCATTGAATTCACCTTCAAGGCATGCCGAATTTAAATGAAAAAGGCGCTTCAATTAGCTACGAGAAGCCTTCTTGGTTTCGCTAAAACTTGAAATACTGTTCCTAAATTTCCTGTAAATTTATTTTCAAAATACGTGTCATCGAGGGTTTGAATTTTGGTCCTTTAGGAATTATTGTGTTTTAAACACAAACAGTTCTGAGTTAACTTCCAAATTTTTTACACAGACTAAGTGCAACGTCAAAAATGCCATAGGAAACACGACAATAAATGTGCAAACCTGAATTGAATCCAAGATAAACTATTTTAGGAAACATTATTTCTTACGAAGCTAGACTTACGAGACGTCCAAATTTTCATAAGATCAATTGCTTATTTGCTTATTCGATTTTCCATATACTTTGTAAATTTTCTAGTGACCGCATTCAGCTGCTTCTAAACCGTGTGTTCGGTGTAACAATAGACGAGATTTTTTCAACACATTTGCTACAGGCTTCTGGTCAGATTTAACAGTCAGCTAAGTTGCTTTTCTACTTTAAGTTCGAAATTAACAAGTCCGTCATCTCTTCTAAGGAAAATAAATTAGCACAGTAAATGCAATATCAGTGTGTTTAATTTCTTTTCCATTGCTGATACCATACTTGAACCGAATCCATTTGTAGTTACTATTATTTTATCTCATTAATTCGGGCCTTTTAATAAATTCTGCCGCCTTGTGCATAGTATTACCCTCGGTCCCCTAGCCATCGGCTCGTCTTTTAGTAGAATACGTAACCAAAAACCTGCCACAATTTATGCGAGGTGCTGTTTTCAACGCTTCGTGACCTAAATCAACCTAACGATATATATAAATATAACAATAATGTATCATTTGCGCCCTCGCGAAGGAACACAAATGTGCAAGTAAAAAAGACCTCGCCTACTGCCTTCAGCCTGATGCAAAGTTCACTACATTTGCAAAATTAATGAAACATGGAGCTTAGTGTGGCTAATGCACAATGCCCACCTCAAGCCCCAGAGTGCTTTTATACGTCTCCTTTCAAGTCGTACTATGAGTACAGGGATAATGAAGTAATGCGTCATGTGACAGCCTAACCTACTAGTTCACGCGATGACCTCGAGCGGATGGGATTAAATGCTCTAAAGTATTTTAACCTTCAATACGTGTACCAAAATACCACATATTGGCATGTTTGATAAATATTAGGTATACAGTTGTGTAAGTTAGTAATTTTTTACGCGGGTGGACTGACAAACTTTGCCTTTTGGGAATTTTAAATTACGCCAAACTTCCGATTATCGGTGTTGATGGATGCTTGCAGTTAGGCGGAGAATAAAGAAAACGGATATTCGACTTTTTCAACTATATTTTGTAGAGACTATACATCGTGGAAATATTGTGACCTCAGTGGCAAAGAAAACAGTCTGTGATAAAAGCATTGAGCTTAGGAAAAGGTGAAAGTGCTCACTTGGTGGATGATGTGAGCAAATATCTTACTATTTAATAATTAAACCTTAATCACTGATTCAGATGTATATACATTTAGGCGTAACAAAAAATAACGTTTATTGGATTAGCCATAATAGTGATAATTTTTCACAGAAGTTTAAATACCTTTGCAGCTGAACCAACGATAAAACTGCTGGATAATAAGAAAAATAATCCAGATAATCACCAAACAGGGTAACCAGCAGTAGGTTAACCGGGAATTCGCTGGAAAACTCGGTAAAATCAACGCAGCAGAATTGGAAAAATTCAAAGTAGAAATGGGACCGCATGTCTAAGAAAAAACAATCTGTTAAATTGCCATTTCAGATTCGCATCCGCATTCATGGAGCGCGTCAATTACCCGGAGGAAATATTTCACCACTCTGCAAAGTGCTATGCTGGAATCAGACACAAATAACAGCGGTCAGGCATTCTACTAACACACCCTTCTGGGGAAAGACCTTTTTCTTTAACTTCCACAAATCGCCTGCTGAGTTGTTTCAACACAGTATTGTTTTCGGAGTGCACAATTCGCGGAAGCTCCGGTCCGATGCTTTTATTGGCAGCTTCGAGTTGAGCATTGCAGCCGTTTACGAAAGTCCCAATCATGCCATTATGCACAAATGGCTTCTTCTTGGTGAACCCGAGGACCCTCAGGCCGGCTCAAAGGGCTATCTGAAGGTTGCCTTGGTCATCTTGGGCCCCGGTGATGAAGCGCCGGTAAAAAACCTATTCTAATTTCAATCCAACATTTACTGAATTGCACATTTCAATCTCTCATACCATGCTCTGAGGCTTCAGCATTATTCAGGAAAAGTATTGCAGAGAATCTGGTTTTGCATTTATACTGAAGTAAATTGGATAAATTTTGTATCGATACTTTGAAATTTAAAGAACTCAACATCTTCACGCGTAGTAGTTTTGATTAAACCTGTAAAATAAGGATTGTCAATCCAACACAATCATTTTTCTGAATGGGGAAGTATGCGCCACTATTTGAAACGCTTCTTTTATTATCAACATTTCTTTGGATGCGTTAATAATTAAACCACCCAATTTTCCCAGGTAAATTCAACGTTTGCATTATCTTGTTGCTAGCATAGTAGTAGATGTTTGTGGTGTTTTATTCATTCAAAAGATATTTTTAAATCTGTCTAGTTAGTATAATCTAGTTTAACTGCCTTTATAAGAGTCACCAAATTTTAGGATCTCAAGGCAAAAGAAGATTCGGACGATGAAGATATCGAGGCGTAAGTTTTTAAAATGATACATTCAGTTTTTGTTCCTATGCTTAAAGTTAATCTTCGTTTGGCAATCACAAGAAGATAGTTGAAGGTAAACTGACAGTTTTTCTGGCCCCAACTTGGTTATTTAGTTAAATAAACACTGCTCTTATGAATTTCAACCACAAATCTTTTATATTGCGCTCCAATCTTTTCCAAACCCTTTAAAGTTGAAATATTTCATGTACAAAAACAAGTTTATCCTGGGAAGCTCCCAAAAGCAGAACATGGATATAAATGTAAAGTGGAGAAAATGTACGACGCCTGATGTATCTCTGTCCCATATTTGAGCACTATGTCGTACGCTTCAGAAATATTCTACGACCTGCTGGTTTGCAACTCCGGCCAGCATTAATGAAGTTCTTGTTATATACCGGAGAGGATTATCCAAGAAGTAAGTATCGTTTATCTCTCCGTGCGGGTTATTTGATGATCACTTAGGTATATCACGAATGACTGCTGGCAAGTGAATCCACATGCTTTATCAAGTATTTTTGACTGTGTATATAATGGCAGCTGACTTGAATTCTAGCATAATTCTTCAAGTACGATCTCGACGGCAAAAATGGGAGCTTATAATGACAATTTGTATTAACTCGTGCTTCGTATGGTGTTTCAAGAAAGCAATTTTATGGAAACACGTGAAAAAAATAATTATATTTTGATCAACTTCTGTGAGTTTTTAGTGCTAGTTTTATAAAGCGTAAAAACACTCACAGTAATCACTAGTGCTCTGTTTCGTAATCTCCTCAAGTGGTACATTATTTTATGCCTTCTCAAAAAATTCCACCTATGGACATTTTCTACTTTTCCGTTTTATCTGTGTGTTGATGGGTTACGTGAGCTGTCCAGGGACATCTGTGTGCTTGATTACCTAAGAAATAACGAAAATTTGAATTATCCTAGCTTTTCCTATGCGAATGGGAAGTCTGAAGTTTCACTGCAGAAAATTCACTTTTAGTGGACAGCAATGCGTTCTCGGGTGTAAAGAAACTCTTCAAAGGTGGAAAGGATGATAAAGACTTTGTTGACCCCTTCGCCTTGGTGAAGTTTGCCGGAAAGCAGGCAAGTCTTACAAGATTCTAACTATTTCTACCATCAAAGCTAAGGCATCAATGTAAAAACTCTGTGGCGTATCTATTCGTACTGTTCATAATTTGGTACTGATTGCCCACATCGATAGCTCAATCCATCCCGTATCAGTTATGCACTGGAACCTTGCAAACCAACCAGCTGCAGCTTATAAACATGGCTAAAATCGTTTTATTTTTTCTTGCAATCATACGATAAAGAGTGATTCCAGACTTCCTAATTTTCGTCAAAACTTGGCTCATAAACCCGAGAAATCTATTTCACTCAAACGTTTGTTTGTATACGAGTCACTTCATCTTCTTCAGATGCATGTCTAGTTATTCAATAATGACATTCTTCCGACTGGGAATCACTTAAATGTGACTGACTAAATTAAAACAGTGTTATGGGACGCAGGAGCTTGATATGGCATTGTTTTGAAGTCGCATAAGCTACGGTTTCTCACTTGAATTAGGAGTTCAGACTAGGGTTTACAATTCGCAAACACTTTACTTTCTTTAACATATGCGTAATTTTATAATCAGCGTTATGTTGAGCTGCTTACATCACTGCAATTCTGAGTGACGAATTGGTAGTTCGTTTGAGCGACGTGGATGTGAGATCAAGTATGCCTTTGGGACTTGAGTGACTTCGAACACCAGGTTATGCAATGATATTGATTGAATTACATGGAAGTTAATGAGGTAACCCCCTTTTTTGAACATGAATGTGCTCACTTTCGAATTGGAATTCCTGATTAGTGCGCACCTCCTGTGGGTAATAACGGTATAGTCGTTTTGCCCTGTTTGTTTAAATCCGGTACTTTCGACTCATTTAGGCTATTTGATTCGGACTATTGGGAAAAGAAAAGGAGCTATTTTGGCTTCTCTAGTGATGTTAATAACTTCATTGTTGTTATGGGCTGCCATCAAATTTGCAGGCTGTTTTACCATCATTTCATTGCAAAGAATTGCATGTGGTCACGTAGTTGTCTTGATTGACATGTCCCACATTATGCCATTCTCCTAGGAGCCTTAAATTTGAACTTCTTTGAAGATTTTGTTGGTCTTCCAAGCATTTGGCTTTTATGACTTATAAACTGTTGATCTAACAGACTAGAGTACTACAGCCAGGCATGGGTTACTTAAACACTGCTACGTCCTGGTTGGCTGAATTGCTTTTCGAGAAGTGGATCTTTTCCTTCAAATATCATGAAGCATTCGCTCAATTGTGTGGCGAATTCAGTAACAACTTAGTTTAAATGGCTTTATATGAGCGACTTGTATTAGAGTGCCTAATTTATGTTAAAGAAACAGAAAGCATATAGTGAGTGAAGATTTTGGTTTTTTAGGTGAAATCATCAACAAAAGAAGGTACTGATCACCCAGAATGGTACGAAGAACTGAAACTTGGTGTCCAGGTAAACCATGCATTCTATTACTTTTTCTGTGTGCATAATCTTAGGGATTCACATTTGACAAGGCAGCCAAATTTAACATACCGTGAACACTGATCAATTTTCTTGTTTTGGTTTTGGTGTGTGTTAGCCATCAAAGCTTAATCCGGAATGTGTAAATAAAAGTGTTTGAAACAATAGAGTTTGATTTTATTAATGATTCCTTTAGTTTCCATCCATGTGTGACAAGCTGGCAATAACTGTCTACGATTGGTATGTTCTACGATTTTTTTATCAAACTTCAGTTTTTTGAGCTAATGAATCCGATTTTCTGAGAGATTTTGCGCAATCATCTTATAAATTGACACTCGAAGAATACATCTTGCCTATTCTCTTGGTAATTCTTCATCACTATTAACGGATATCTTTAAGTTATGGTACAATTTTATGAAACATTTAGCAAGCCTTTTTTACAATTTAAAAATGAAATCGTCGCTTTGGAATATTACCTTTTGCAGAACCAAAATTGATCAGCCTCTCAATGCACACTTTGTGCTGCTATCAATTAAGTAGGCTTTATTATCCAGATCAACAACCCCGCGTAAAACGCTGGAGTACCAAGCTGTTGCTTGGGTCCAATTTGCTATGTGGAGGCATCATCAGAGTTAAATTTTAAATAAAATATTTTAGGGATCGTTTGAGCAAAAACGATGCAATCGCAACTGCATTCATCAAGATCGCCGACATCTCTGCCTTGAGAGATGGCGATGATGGTTAGTTCTATTTCCCAGAACAGTGAAAGTAGGGATTAGCTAACACGCCCTACTCTCAAGTACTTGCTAATTCTCCCCTACTCTTCTAACAAATGTTGTATGCACGCTTGCTTTTGCTCATCTCTGCTTCCTCACAGCGACCAAATATCTCACAATTCCTTCTCACCGAATCTCATGAAAACTCAGATCCTATAAGGTCATAGCTGAAATATAACCTAGCTAGCATATTATTCGTTTCCCTGTACGCCAATAACAAAAGGAGAGCGCTTGAATATTACGAGTCAATTTGTTTTGGATTGCGTTGGACACGACTTGTTCGTACTAGCTAAAGAGTGAAATCGATAGGGTTTACAGAACCCATTGGTTTTGCCTACAACGAATGATGTTTGGACTCTGTTGTGAGAGTGGAAAGAATTGAAAGTGTTTTACCCCTTGTGAATACTTTTGTGACATATACAGGGACAGAGTGAGTCAAGACGATCCGATTGGGTGTCATTTTTTGCGGATGTCTACTCTCGCGCCTAGATCAGGTGATGATGGTAAGCAGCGGAAAAGACACCTTCTAACAAGATAGTACGCTTGTGTTTGAGTAAATGGTGTGGGCTTTTTTCTACACTAAATCATGTTGGTAGGCTTTGGCATTGTAAAAGCATAAACGCATTTATTTTGTCCTTTAAAATATCTGTTTGTCTTATATTAATTAAACTAGGTTTGAATATCAGCCGTTTGTAGTAAAAGTGATCAGATAATGACGACTCATATTTGCGAGACTTGCCTTAACCATTACTAGGAAATTGGTAAATCGGCACATGCTTATTTTCCCAGGATTGTACCGATTTATGTTTTAAAAGTAGGTATTAATACCGTTCAACTCACTCAGTTTCATATGGGATTTGATCTCCCTACCATTCAGCCGCTTTCACGCCGACTAATTTTGCACCCAAGGCATGCCAATTCAGGGTGTCTCACAAATGCATGCATTCCTATTGCACCTTATGACTGCAAAAGATAAACCCTTCTGCTTAACTCAGGTTTTCTACCAACTTTCGGTCCATCCTTCATCAACCTATACGGGTCACCGCGTGAATTTAGCGATGGGCTCGATAAATTTGACGCTTTGAATTTGGCCAAAGGAGAAGGATGTGCCTACAGAGGCCGTGTGCTTTGCGAGGTCCAAACAGAGCTTCTGGACGAAATGCAACAATCTGGAGTCAATCCAATACCCGAGGACATGAAAGTTCACGTCACTGTAGGTGTTTTTCTAACATCTAATGGCTAGGGTGATACAATTACTAGCATCCTCTATATAGCGTCTTCGTGTTAGCTGCTCAACCTGGTGCGAATGAAGTCATTTGGCTTCAAGGACTTTGTTTTTGGTCGCGAAAAACAACTGCAACTTACTGCATTGTGAGTAGATATGCGACATTATTTCCTTTAGAAATACATGCGGCGACGAAAGTACGTACTTCACGCCGCCTTCTTCCATGCCAATATGATCAGCATCGATGACGCACCAATTGAATTTGAGGTCAGCATTGGCAACTACGGTAACAACCTTGATGAGACAGTACCACCCTGCGCATCGACCACTCCGCCTACCAACGCAGTGTTCGATGGCTGCTACTACAACTTCTTGCCCTGGAGTGACACCAAGCCGTGTACCGCTGTAGAGTGCCAATGGGAGGATATCTCCTATCGTCTCTATGCTGTCAACATGATAACTCGAATCGCTGATAACTTGGTGAGTCACAAGATATATTGAATTTGGAAATTAATCTGCAAAAATTGTACTGGCGAGTACTTCCACAAAAATATTTAACCATGGTGTCGACTGTTAATCTTTCAGTGCGCAAATTCCACAGGTACCTTAATAATCAGCCAGTATTTTGCTCATGATTTTGTCTAGCTGTACACTTAATCTTTTCTGATAGAGGTTTTTTGAAATGTGAAGTTTATTCATTACTGTGTTTTGCATTTGTCTCCTTGACGTGTATTCAACACTAGATCAATTGATTTTTGATTTACAACGACAAATTTCAAGAATACCGCCTATTTCTAGGACCTTGTATTTTATTTGTAGGAATATGGCCTCGAAAATATCGAAGTGAGCATGAAAGTCGACCTCGCAGAAGAAGACCTGGCAAGCACGGTCATTGCAACCCTCGACCAGTTCATAATGGACTGCCAGTAAGTCATGAACACATTATATAGCCACCCATTAGTGATGAGTAGGTTATTAGCCTAATGACAGCCCCTGATAATCTCAATCTTGGATGCACGCGGTATCGCGTCCCGTCACTAGAGCAAAAGTAATTTTATTTTTACTCAAGTTTTTAAAGTACTTATTTCTACTAAAAAGTTTGCGCAAGAGTGAGCTCGTGTGCGTTTTTATTTTCGAAACAGTTTGGAAAGTTAGATATTATCTATGGATATATGGTATCATATTATTTGGTTGCATATTGTGCATAGTAAAGTAGCGCTTACTATAATTTGATTTAATTACCTTAGAACTCCACTGCCCGAGTGGACGGAGGGTTGTACTCCAGTAAATAACCTGGACCAGAAGCTAATGAAATTACGTCATGACGATCTGGAGCAACTCAAGACCCAGGCTGTCAAACTTCGTGAAGAAGCTACGAGTGCTGAAGATGTTGTTAAAGAACTAAAGGTTTACCTTGAAACTTTGCGCAAAATCTTTGTTGAGGTAGGAACCAAAACATTTTCCCCTCTACTTATTCATTAAATCTTCTCAGGCCTGTTTTATGCATCATTTAGCCACAAAACAGCATGCCAGATGTTGTTATATGGATGATTGCTTCTGAGAAAAGAATCGCCTACTTCCGCATACCGGCATATGATTTGCTCTTCTCCGAAAATCAAATGTATCGTGGTCGTTATTGTGGTGAGGTCCGGACTATAATGCTAAAGGTAAGGAAAGATCTCACTAATTTACTCCGTACTTTACACTGATTTTGCGTTTACCTTTGTGTTACCTTACCAGCCTCCATCTTTGGATAAAGATGATATGTCTGATAAGTGGAAGGTGCCTGCCCAAGTACGTTTGAGTTTGTGGCTCGGTTTGGAAAAGGAGCAGACTGACTGGGCCGGCCGAGAAGACGATGGGCTGCTAACCGTTGTGGCGGAAACAGTGCGTTCTTGCAACTTATTCCCCTACACTGATGGTTAAGTTGTAAAAATGCACTACTTTTAACACTACGGATGTGTGTGGATTGGCTGCATAATTAAAACGCAAACATGTTGATAGTTTACACATATAATTATAAGATCTAAAAGTGTGTTCATAAATTGGGGATATCTAAATATCACACTACAGTTTTGGTATTAATTTCAAACTTCTGAATACAAATTGTAATAGTGTCCATCAGATTTAAGTCATTGTTATAGAGTAGCTAAATGAACTCGATTCCCAAGATAATATTGCGCCACTCTCACAGGAAATCTGAATGTCGACTGGCAGAGAACCGTTATTGATCCCATAATTTCTTCTGCAATCCATAATATTACTTCAAAAAAACTACTACAAGGTGCATAAGTTGATTTCCATCTATCGCGATTTTCCTTATTTTAACCATGCGTTCAACCGCCACGTTCTCACATATATTTAGCAAATCTAAGGCGAATTAGATTACACTAGTTGTGTTTAAATAACTGCTACTGTTTCAAAGTAGTAACAGTCCATCTCTCAGTGTTACACAATTATTCGCTCACTATTTTTCCCATTCTGAATTGGAACTGCAGCGACGCTTAATTATTCCTTTATTTAGTACGAGAACGAAGCCCAAATAGTAGGTAAGTGGTCTTCGCGTCGACCACCACTAACTCGCCCCAACTTCACGGACTGCACTGGACACCTCGAAACCCCGAAAGAGAACTTCATTCCGCCTGTTGGCTGGAAGTGGGAAGGTGATTGGTATATTAGCCCCGAGTTCTCACTCATGTTTAAGAAGGTAGGCGCCTCTCTACCATAATGATTCTTATTCGTGCCATCTCACGTGATGAAAGTTACTATGCACAGATCTGTATTGAGTCTCGAATGTTAGAATTGGTAACACTACGTGTTTTATTTCAGTCTTTTAGGTGTAAGTAATGTTAAATTAATGAAGCCATGATGGCGCTGATTTTGGGGAAATTTTTCATTTCCTATGCATTTCCTTCCTTTGGATGATTCGGATTCCACTTGCTAATGCTGTCCAGTAATTGCTGCACTTTTTCATTGTAAATATTTTATTGAAACAGGATACCGGGGCAACAAGCTTCTTGGAAGATGTGTTCTATAATGAAAAGCGCACCCCAATCTCCGGTTGGGAGAAAGCACCACTAGCGTATACGGACGCCCAAGGCTACGAAAAGTCGGGTCCAGATGAGATTGAACTCCCGAGTGGATGGGTTTGGGAGGACGATGCCTGGAAGGTTGACTTCAATAGGCCCTGTGACGAGGAAGGTATGGATGTATAAATGACTGAGCACTTGGTGGACAAATACATGCAGATATTAATTGCTATAAAGAAGAAGAAGAATATCTCAGGTTTATATTATTCGCATTTGATTTTTAGATCGTACTTTTGATACATAATTCAGTGCCATACCGTGCTAATGCGTACTACTTGTTGGTATCAAAGTCCTGTCTCAACCTCTTTTTTAAGTCCCACATCTCTGTTGTCTGATAAATCTAGCTAATATCATGGTATCGATTCACAGGTTGGGAGTATTCTGTGGACCACTCAATCGGCAGCTACGTGGCCGTGGAAAAGGTCTTTCACATGAGCCGAAGACGCCGTTTAATCCGCCGCCGAAAGGTTCAGGATATCACTAAGAATGTCAAAGAAGATGTAAGTTTGGTACTCACCTTCAGCAAGTGCCCTTGCAATACCTAACTACCAAAATACTTGAAAATTTTTTGATTTTTCCAATCCAAAATATTTATTATAGAAGTAATCGGTTTACAGATATACTTTTTGCTTTATATGGAATCTGTATTATCAAAATTCCTAAGCTACCTACTTTTCTTCATCTTCAATTTTCGTATTTACTTCATTAATGAACTCTTACTTTTGCAGATTGTAGCCAAGATGATGGAAAAGAAAATGGTTTGTCTCAGCGCTGCTTCCGCGCCTAAAGCTTTATTTCTTTTCTTATCTAACACCGCGTGTGCTTGTAAACTTATTTGTTTGTGTTTTCACACTTTTTCGTCTACGAGATTCGGTCTAGCATCTATGCTATTTACGCAACTAAATGGACATAAAATGAAAATAAACCGCTCTGTATATAGTGTATTTTGGAGCGGCCGTGAAATAATATACTTTTAGAATCAAGACAATTTATCGTGTCGCTGCTACAGAATACCAACATAAAAAATTGAAATAACAGCAACCGCGACTGCATGCTCACCATCGAATACAGTATTTATTTACCTAAAATGCTAACATTTTAAAGAAGCCCTACCGTTTTCCCATTTTTACGGACCGTCTCCCACCCGGGTAGGACGCACGTTTGTCTTTACTCGTAAGTCCCTTTTCAGAAGTAATTTGCTTAACTGCGCCAAGCTTTTACAACTGCTACCATTTTGATGAGTCTTTAATATTTACTTTAGTTAATGTTGGTCTAAAATGATTTATCATTATGAAATTCAGCCAGTATGCTGATAGACTCACAGAAATGGCTCTTATACCAGGCCTTTAATGTAAATTGGCTAAATTCAGGCCATCTCAGATTCAAGGGTTATCCGTTAAAACTTCGATAATTAGGAACTTTAAACAGTAATTTTGACAAATCATTCGCACTAGTTTATGAATTTCTTGCACATGGTTGTGAGTTACATATTAGCGTCAATCAGTCACGGCACTATTCTCAATGCTGTTGGTTGATTTTAAGACTTGAGGTACTGGGAGAATATATAATTTTGTGTTAGATTAACGAATTTTACTTTTGAACAAAAGGAATCACTTGGGTTTTGGGTATATTTTTTATTAGGGTTTAAGAGGAAATTTTCGTTCAGGAGTGCCATTGGGCGTTAAATGTGATAAACTCAGATGATAAGCAGATACGTCACTATACACTTTGCTCCGATTCTACACAGTCTACGGCCTTTTATAGGAGTCAATGACACCTGCCGCAGGGGAAGGCTGGGAATACGCATTCAGTTTCAGCAAACGATTTCACACTCCGAAGAAGGGTACTGACAATGTGCGGCGGCGTCGGTGGCACCGAAAACTTGTTTCTGACAGTCCCAACTCTATTGTGCCAGGACTCTTTCAACTTCCACCACAAAGTGACGAGGTAAGCTAAGAGCACTTTTGGATAGCTTTAGTACCGTCAAACATTTGGTACCGCTAACATTCCGATGTTATCTACTTGCATTGTATCAACATATTTAGGTATAAATCGAGGAATGTCAATAACTACTTGCAGAAGTTAAATAGTCTCAATAAGGTTCCAATATTTTGATGCTGTTTTGGTGTCTACAATTTAGTTTTCAAGTTCTGCTTCTTAACTTCTGATTTAATATTTTGGATTTATGAGTTTTTTCCATTATATTCAGAAAAAGAAGAAGGTAAGTGGTCAGTCGTGCCGTTCATTCTATCTAATCTCGCAGCCTCTCTCAAACGGAATCATAGCCGGCACTTTGAATACGGTTTCATAACATTTATGTTTATTTTAAATTGTCACTAATCTCCCTTTACCACTATCCGATTACCATAGAATAGCTTATTTGCAAGCGTGCTAGATTTGAACGCACGAAAACACTTTGCTTTGCACGATAATGGGACAACTAAATTATGTCCGAATTACACCCAAATTACCTGCCTGATAGAATATTACGGCTTTGGTGACAGAAAGTAACCAATCGATTAGGCAATAGTTCTACCCTATCATCCAACCTCACATTCTTGCTTCAACAACTCAATGCGCTTTACGCCTAGCAATTGTCCCCAACCGCCTGCCTTATTTAGGGCTAAAGGTATCACATTTCGCTTTGCTGTTTTGTAGATTTGTAACAATACTTCAATCTCATTGGACGGTTTTGTTCGGATTTTACCCAATGCTGTACTGCTCATCTTTCTTATTTTTAGCAAACTAATATGACAAGTCCACGTCTGTATATCAAATACGAAGGTTAGCAGTTTGCTTGATCCACTCCTGTTAATTAAAATCGATTTAAAATGTCAAATAATACCATTAAATGAAAGAGATGAACTGATTTGAATGAGACCACATTCGGAATTTTGCCACTTATTCAATTTGATTTAACTTTCCATATTAACACAAATGAAAACCTTGCAAGTCTATCTTTAACAGACCGGAAGCTTTCTGTAATTTCTACATAACAATGGGCAGAAAATGGCATAAATTTTACTTCATTGACGAGGCAGTTTCAATAGAGTTCATTTTATGATTTCGGCGAAAAGAAGCCTGGATTAGTGAACCCTAAGTACTATTAATAAGTCACTAACTTGAAATGCCAATCGTCTCCAAACTAACTTGGAATCTCACCCATTTCCCTCACCTGAGACCTTTCTCATTTATTGCAGCTAAGCAAACGTGGCAGCTAAATGCCTATATTTTTCAAGCTCGTGGTCTCTTGGCAGCTGACCAATCAGGTTTGTCTGACCCCTATGCCCGTGTCTGCTTCATTAACCAATCGCAAAAGACAGAACGTCTGGAGAAGACTCTCAGTCCTCAGTGGGATCAGACACTTATTTTTGAAAATGTTGTTATCTACGGTAATCCTAACGTCATTGTGGACTCGCCTCCACGCGTGACAATTGAACTTTTTGACTGGGACCAAATTGGCACGGATAGTTTCCTTGGTTGCTGCAGTGTAGGTTCTGTTTCGTAATGTGTCATTTTGTGCGGCAACCTTCCCTATACATAATAATCAAACATGAAGTTCGACCATATTAATTTATTTCGCACTCGAAGCTTCTGGTCAAAAATCGGTGATAGTATGAACATTTCTGCTTATTGGGCTTACTGTCATATCTTGTATCTAGACCAACGTATTTGCTATAAAAATTTACAATATGATATTTGGCCATTTAGCTGACGCCTGAAGTTGTCACTGATCCTGCTGAATTCAAAAAAGTTATGCTTCAATGGTATCCCATCAAGAAACAAGGCAGAGATGGCGGCGAGCTTCTTGCTGCGTTCGAATTGATGTTGGTGAGTGTGATTCTTGAAATGTACATTACCATTGCTTAACACGAATAGTTCTACTACCTAATTACCCGCAAAATTAATTAGGTACATGTATATTTGTTCAAAATTGTGTATTCTAGTATGCTGACAGTGTGGATTTATTTATTCACTTTGAACTTTTCAAATTTGCTTATGTAGAACCTACATAAATTCTCGGAAAAATTGTTTTACAGCTTAATGGAACTGCTCCACCATCCCCGCCTAATCTTAAACCTGGCACCGAAATCTACGAGGTTCCTGAGGGAATCCGTCCCGAACTTCAAAGGATGGGTATTGAGGTGCTTTGCTGGGGTGTTCGTAACATGTCCAAATATCAGTTGGCTGCAGTTAACTCACCTTCGGTGGAGATTGAGGTCGGTGGAACAGTGCTCAGTTCAGATGTCATTACCAACTTAAAGAGGACACCAAACTTTAAGAAATCACTCATGTTTCACGTGGCTAAGCTCCCCAAGGAGACCCTTTACATGCCGCCGATCAACATTGGCGTGCGTGACAACCGGCCGTTTGGTCGTAAACCGCTAGTTGGAACGCATGTTATTTCCGACATTTCAGGCTTCAAAGTGCCTCCATTAATGCAACCATTTGATCCCCTCGAAGCTATTCCAGGTACGCCACTTCTTTCCTCAAACAAATTTGTATGACAGAGGGACTTTGAGTCTTAAATAGCGATTATACTAGAACCAAATATTTCTGGAAAGGTTTTGATTAAATAGTTTACACCAAATTTAAGTCTTGAAAAATGCCAGGGATGTTATTTTATAAAATTTTAAGAGCTCAATTGCATATGCACTCGGATCGGTGATATTTTGGCCTCCCAAATCCAATTACGCTAATATATAATAACTTTACAAACTTTAATTCACTCACGAATCTTAACCTCTCTTGTTGCTATCATAGAACTCGAACGGGCTGGTTCACCACCTCTTATCCATGAGCAAGATATGGACAAGCCGTACGAGCCGGAGAAGAAGGCTCTCTGTGCTGTAAGTGTCAAAAAAAACAATAGGACGGTTGATGCCTAGATTTTATTTATCATGACTGATCCCTGCCTATTGTCTTCATGGTGTATGTGTTTGCCTTTGTGGTCTGTAGCGTGACGTAAGTTCCGTTCGCCTTCTTTTCTGCGCTTCATAAAGTCAATGCTTTAATGCCAGTTCATGATTTAATAAGCTAATATCCACCTTCAAGAAAAATGCCGCTTAAACAATACAGTTTAATGGGTGCTGCGGTTAAATCGTGCTTAGAATCGTTCCTATTGTCAGCACGACTCACTTGCTGGGCCATCACGTCGTCAGTGGGTATAGCCTTCAAAATGAATCACCTAGCGTATGATTCGTTTTCAAACTAAACAGACATGAATTGTGCACACGAATCCCATATATGATCATTTAAATGTTTCGTTGAACACTTGTGAATGAATTTTAATGCATTATTCATCCGTGTAAATGAATGGAGAGTTCACAGCAATATTGCATAAATCCATAGCTAGAAACATAATCATTGGTTTGAAATGTGGATGTACTAAAAAATGACTCCTCTCTGTCAGACCGTTCCTGCTCAGCCCTATGTGGATCCAAAGAAAAAGTGGAAGTTTCTTTCTTTTCGAAAGAGACAACTTCAGGAGGTTATTGTCGTTATTTTCATTTGTATTGTCTGGACAGCATGTGCCACTACCCTCTTTATTAAGTGTATCCTTGATGTTCAGGCATTTTCAGTTCCTTTTTATCCACAAGGGACAAAGAGTATCCATTTATTCTTTCCTCATCGCTTGCATTTTAGCTCCCACCTTTTAAAATGTACCTCTGGGTGATACTGCTGGCATCGAGAATAATTGGAATTAGACTGAAGTAAAATACAATACTGGGTCTCAATTAGACACTTAAAATATCTGTTTTAGGAATAAATGTTCATCTTCGTTCAGTATTAACCCCCTAAGCGACTTTAAAGTGGGTCCTTTTGAAAATATTACTTGACAATAAGATAAATGCAAAAAAGGTCTCACATCACAAATTAGGTGTTACGATGAAGCATCACAGCACACACTTTGCATGCACTTACACACGAGACTGCACAAGAAGCGTATGCTTAGCTATTTCTGCAGAGGATGGGTGTAATCATTTTTAACCTCATTTAGTCAAGAGCCAGCATTCGGCGTTCTGATCGCATAGATGGCGCAGGAACGTCCATCACCGAGGATGCATTCGCGTACTTACGCGAACAGACTGGCGAAGTTAGCAACTCACTTGTGGTTGAGGTTTTTCTCTCTGTGTACTTTTGTGTGCTTGTGTGTTGTCCGTAGTCGTAATTTTCCCATTCGTGGCTGCATTTCCCTGAACTTCTCACTAATGCTGTTGAGTTTGATTAACTAATGCAAGTATTCTACACGCGTCTATAGTTTGTAAATATTTCTTGGTTTACTGTATATTCAGATGGATATGGAACAGTTGGATCCTAACATTGATTGGTACTCTAAATACTACGCCTCCAAGGGTGAATTCAAGAAATGTACTGATTACAAAGAGCGTGGCTACGACCTACTTAAGGTAAGCCCCATTTCTCAGTTGTGCATAAAAAGATCTTGAAACAGGAAGATCAAGGGCTGTAAATTGAAAATCGCTTAAAAAGCGTCTTTTTCAAGCATTTTTTTGAAATGCTCTCAATGAGTGCATGGATATGAAATTCTATTACACCAATGTAACCAAGCTCCTGTTATGTATATTTAGTACTTACCTCATCCAGTGGAAGATAGTGAGGGCTTCTACCACTTCGAGGACTTTTGTCCAACATTTCACCTGTACCGAGGAAAGTCAAAGGATTCTGAGGAAGATGATGAAGAAAACTTTGCCGGTGACTTCAAGGGAACCTTCCGTATTTATTGTCTACCCGAAGATCCAAATGCTGCGATGCCGTTAAAATACCTTGAAAACGAGGTTCCAGACTCAGCCCCTGTCGAATGCATTGTTCGTGTCTACGTTATCAAAGCTATTGATTTGCAGCCGAGCGATCCGTCCGGTTTGGTAAGGACCTCTCCCCTTCATGTATTGCGTAAAGTAACTGAGCACTTTCTCTAAATGGCTTTTGTTTTGCCTCGTAGGCTGATCCCTATGTTGAAATTAGACTGGGAAAACAGAAGGTCAGCTCCAAGGATAATTACATCCCCAATAACCTAAATCCCGAATTTGGCAGGTAGGTAGATCACAGTTTCCAAGAGCCTGAATTGTTCATCACTTCTAACTGTAAATTCGTTTTCTTTCAGAATGTTCCAACTGAAGGCTTTCATTCCGATTGAGAAGGATTTGATTATCAAGATCGTTGATTACGATTTGATGACTCGCGATGATGTTATCGGAGAGACTGTCATCGATTTGGAGAATCGACTGCTTACTAGATTCCGCGCTACATGTGGCATTCCACAGACCTACAATTTGACAGGCTTAAACCAGTGGCGTGATAATCAGCTGCCCTCAGAAATCCTCGCTACATTCTGCAAAAAAAACTCTCTTCCAGAACCAAACTACTCCATTGAGGGAAATGGTATTGTCACCTGTCATATCGGAGAGCACTTCTTTAACATTAACGCGTTTGAAAAAGGCATGATTCCTAGCCCACATTGGGGGCCTCCCAAGGAACGTCTTGCTCTCCATATCTTGAATGCTCTCCCGCTGGTTAAAGAACACGTAGAAACAAGGGTGCTTCAGAACCCTATTCAACCTGGAATGGATCAGGTTGGTTAAATGCTTTAACAAAATTTAATCAATAGGTTTGGGGTAGACTTCCAGTTTTTGGAATATTCATTGATGGTGATGGTAGTTTAAATGGACTTAGCTCGACACCTTGAAAGTTTTCAACAGAAGTATTTCATAGATTTGAGATCTCAGACAACGCTGAAATCGTGGTAGTCATTTAGGAATATTCGTAGCTAAATTACCCCTTGAAAATTAATACCTAGGCATTCCACAAATCACTTGTGGATGTTTTAAACAGTAAGGGACTCCCTCATTCTGTTATAACTTTTGCGCATAAGCCTATTGTTCATACTAGCACTAATACCATATTATTCACTCAGTTGGTATTTCCGTTTGATAGTTTCTGGACTACCCCTTAAATGATTTGGTAAAATGATGTGAATCTGATGGATTAGCACCTGCGAATTGTATTAATCAGCACCTATGAATTTTGGATGCTATTATCCTAGTGCATGCAACATATTGCCCTGTGTTCATTCAGTTGGTATTTGTGTGATTGTTTTAACTGGTGTTTACTCATTAAATACCTAGTGATTGTGAGTTTTACATGACAGCTCATCGCGTGGGTGTGCACTTACTGCTGTAATATCCTGCGTGCCAAACAGCCAATAAATTGGTCTGGCAATGTTGATTAAATGCAAATAAACCTGTAGCATTTGCCACAAGATATCTATCATACCTGCCCATCCACTAGTCGCAAACTACCACAACACCCTGAACCTTCTTTGAAGTCGTGAAAAGCCGTCTCAGTAGAGAAAGAGACTTATTCTTAATGCGGTACAGAAGGACTGAGAGGTCATGAGCATTGCTGGAAGGCAATGCCGCCACAACGAAAGCACGACCCGTGGCGTCTGAAGAGGCAGTCCAGTTAAATGTGCACTAAAACACATGTCTGATTGCTACACTACAATTTAAGAAATACATTTTACATCAACCGAATCCACTGCAATTGAGCTGTGCAGATCGCATTTTCTTTTTTTTTTGTTTTCAAAATCACCTGTGGTGCGCAAATTATTCATATATATCACACGCAACGTTTGATGTAATTTTACGAAAAAGTGGCAGTTTCACTTTTTTTGAGTAGAGCAACCTATCATTTAGCAGTTCACGCCTCCAAAGAGTGCATAAAACACCACCGGTGTTGCGTGTGTCATTGCATTTCGCTTGGCTTCTGCCATCATCTATTGTCGAAAATTGGTGAATAAGTGTGTTTATTCACAGTTGAATGAAATTGCCGTTCGCCCCATCAAGAGCTTTTGCTATACTAATGCTTGGATTTCATTGTTATATTATGATATCTTTCTCCATAGGGCAAACTTGAACTATGGGTGGATATATTTCCTTTGAATCTGGGTCAGCCCGGACCTTGCTTCGACATTACTCCACGTCGTCCGAAAGAATACGAGCTACGAGTTATTGTTTGGAATACATACGACGTCAAACTTGATGAAACGTCGATCACTGGCGAACGTATGTCTGATATCTACGTAAAAGTGGGTTTAACTTTACTCTCTCCTTATATTATACACCCTCCAAACGCTAATCTAATACACCTATGCAAAATGAAGGGTTGGCTAATGGGAGTCGATGAACGCGAGCATACAGATGTTCACTACCGTTCGCTCGACGGTGAAGGCAACTTTAATTGGCGTCTCATCTTTCCATTCGGGTTCATACCAGCCGAAAATGAATTAGTTGTCTCGAAGAAGGAGCACTTTTGGTCTCTTGATAAGACCGAAAAGAGATTCCCGGCAGTCCTCTGTATGCAGGTACGTTAAAGTAGTGATTTCCTTGAATAAAAACGGTCACTTGATTAATGATGGGTATTTCTCACTTTTCTTACTCAAAACAGTTAGCCATAAGTTTGGTTACCATTTTGTAGGTATGGGACAATGATTTATTCTCACCCGACGACTATTTGGGCACGATGGAACTACCTCTAACACACATGCCACAACCAGTTAAGAAACTCAAGGAGTGCACCCTTGATATAATGAATACAAGCAGTCCAAAGAATAAAATGATCAATCTGTTTGAGAGCAAACGTGCTAGCGGTTTCTGGCCATTCGCTGACCAGCCTGGGCCGGATGGACAGCTCACGGTAAGTACGGTGCTTTAATCCACATATTTCATACACGCGTCTGAAAAATTAAGCTCATTTTGTGTTCACGTGTTGAGTCTATGAAATTCCAAATGCATCGCAATTATGTGATCATCTTAAGTTATATCATGGCATCGCAAATATCTACTTTTACATTTTAGCAATCAAGGTCAATACATTTCATTTAATAGGTTCGAATTTCCAGAAACTACGGCGTCAGGAAAAGTAGGATAATTTCTACATTTGCCTTACATAGAGTTGGGAGAGCTCCTCAGGAATTACAAGCAGGCTTAAATTGTTGGAAGTGTGAGCAAACGTTATGCGGCATGTTCTGTTGTAGTTATGGTAAAATAACTGACATCACCTTCCCGCGAGAAGTTCGCACATTTTTTAATTTTTACGTCACTTCACTCATGCACCAAAAGGATATTTATGAAATAGCAAAATGCAGGAATGATTGTGTTTCATGATTTCATAAAGTCGAAAAGTCCTATTTGAAATTTATTTCATTTACGTACAGGGTAAACTTGAAGCAGAAATAGAGCTCCTAACCAAAGAAGAAGCACTTGAAAGACCTGCAGGAAAAGGACAGGATGAACCGAATGCTAATCCGCACTTGGATAAACCCAAGTACGCCCCAAATTCTCCCTTTTATATTTCGTTAACTTTGTCAACAACTAAACAAAGTAATTGTATCTATTCCTCGACATCAGAGACCTCTAAGACTCCGTTTTAGGCTTAAAATAGCTAAGGCCATGTCATGAATTGTATTTTTAAATTTTAATATCATGTATTTGGTAAAAATGACAAAGCTTACCTCATTGCGAGATCGCAAGGTAAGTGTCGCGTTAATTTAGAACGTTCTCTTCTAGGCATTTTGTGCTCATGTACTGTCTTACTGATTTTATGTAATTCTAGGCGTCCGGAAACTTCTTTCTTCTGGTTCACCTCACCCTTCAAGACATGCAAATTCATTATTTGCAAAAGATTTAAATGCATCCTCATTACGATCATTTGCGTCTTCCTCGCCGTCCTCCTTATTGCGCTCTTTATCTACGCTATCCCGGTAAGTTAGTTCTATGGTTGCTTGCTTTGCCTCCCGGCCTGACTTATGTGGCTGCATTTGAAGTTTCCCTAAGAAAAATGCATATTCTATGCCTCATTTTTATTTATTGGCTGCGAGCGCTCAAAAGTAGCAAAATATCAATTAACATTTAAGAGTCTTTATATCAGGGATTAAATTTTCCATGTTAGTAAACTAGCGCTTGCCTTGTTATTTTAATCAATCAGGGTAAATGCAAAGGTCGTATTACGATTCGGCTCCTATTGCTGAATAACCACTTCTTACTTGGACATCGAAATTATGTATCCATCACCCTTTAGACGTCTATCTCTTCACGATTGTAAACGAGATTCGTTTTCACTTTTTCAGCAACTTCTGGCAAGGAAAATGGTTGGCGTGTAACTGTCCTTGTGATGGTGGTGACTTGCAAAACTCACCTACTTTTCAGACGTTCCAGCACTCTCATTGTGCCTTCATAGAACAGAAAATATTGATGCCCCTTATTTATTTTACCTTCTTTTATTTCTTCGGTTGATTATTTCTCTTTTTATCTGCCGTCTTGTCCTCTTTTTTGCTCATCCGTGGCTTGAATGCTTTTCTTATTCTGTCGTTCTCATGGCTAGTGATATTTAATAAATATTTGCACTCAAAATTGACTGAATTTCATTCTGCGCTATCTGTTGCAGGGACGATACTGTCAAATGTTTTATTCTCTAGCAAATCGTGAATGACTGTGCAGGTCTTATAAATAAAGGAGTAATCTTTATTCCGAGCATAGTATTATTAAACATTTGGCTAGCAGTAACGGAATAATTTTATTCCGAATTGTAATTATATTTCGGTAACGAAACGATATGGATAAATTGTGCCATTTCGTGGTTGTGATGATTACAACAAATCCTTATTGAATTGCCTTTTCAACATTCCATTTTGAGGCAATATAGAAGGCGATCGTGCTGCTGAGTCTCGTTTAATTTAATGTACTTTCTTAAACCGCTACGTAAATACAACCAATGGGCTATAGCATTGGTGTTCCTCCAGTGCCCACTTCTCTTCGACCATTCCATTAAAGTACAATTCAAAACATACTTTGTTTAGTCAATAATTGTCGTTTTTTTAAAGGAATTCGAAAACAGCGAGTTTGCAAACACTTATTTGTTGGCATTAGAATTAGGCTTATTTTCAGGTGTTTCTCTCTTATTCCCGTCGCCTTCTTTGGTCCTGAGGTGACGCTCTTTGGCAAGCAGTCCCGCCCGCCTACTCTGCAGTAAAACTGTCCAGAAGGCAAGTGCCATCGCAAGTGGAAGGAGTAAACATATCACAATTATAACTACTCCGATAACTTTCATTGTTTGCCATATCACATGCATCTAAAAAACATTTGAAGTGTTTTAAGGTGGACTAAAGCTATTGTTTTTAGATATAACTACAAACTTTTTCCTCAACAATTGAGTTATTGGTATTGATACGAGATTACCATACTTCTTTTTAACTAATCTGGTGACGTTATCGAACTAGTTTTAACTGCATAGCTTATAAAACATGAAATAAGACTGAATACATTTTCATATCTAATGTGTTCAAGTAGTCGAAATTCTGTCGAAAATATCTAACTCGTAAAGCTTGGCCTCTTCACCATTTATTGAAACCAGTCTCTGAAGTCTTAGAGCTCGGGGTAAGTTTAATATTAATTCTAATTCATTCGTATCGCGTTGCCTTTATGGTTCATTTGCAAGGAAATAACTACTGAAGCTAATTAAACGAAATAATAATTTTGGCCTATTTGTCTGCCGTTCTAAATGTTTTTTTCAGTGTGTTTTTATGTCAATAATGCAAACTATTGCTAGTAATGAGCATACAGCATTTATGGGCGCATTCTCGATGGATTGAGAGACCAGTTTAAGATAGCGATCACAGGGGCGCGGGCGACAGAGTCTCAGTTCAACAACCTCAGGAGTTGCGCGCTTTGACCCTTTTTGACCATTTTCTCTCTCCGAGAACTGGCAGTCGCCGCGGTAGGGGTCAAGACACCTGCGTTTCCGATGTCTGTATCGGTTACCACTATAGACGCTATGCTGACATGAAGGCTGGCACAAAGACCATGAAGTCCAGGGAGTCCAGTTGTTGATGAGGTAGGGGTGGTTGCAAAGGCGGCCTCTCCAACCGTTCTCACATAGGCATTTCGCCGTGACGTGCACACGGCCTACCTCAGAATTCCATTCAGAGGCCTGGTTTCAAGGGTAGGAATATTACGAAAATACTGAACACAGCGCCTACCTCAATTTTCTTTTTTGCCGAGGCGTATGCCATCATTATACCATACTTCAGTTGTCCTACTTCCTTAAATCGGACGAGAGCTTTATGAGGCCCGTTGTATAAACCTTAAGTGATACATGATTTTTATGCCATTTTTAATAAGCAGTAAGATTACACCTTCATTTAGGTTAAGAAATTTTAATAAATTGGTAGGGTTATCACCGGTCTTGGTGACAACTTTTAATACCCTAAGGTAACCTATCCTTCGCTTAAACAAAAGTTCATGGTCACTCCAGGGCAATGGCACAACTAAGGAAATAATCTGGGTACATTAGAAATTGCAAAATAATTGTTTTTCACCCTTGATCTACTGCTACCCATGTGCATAATAGCTGCCTCGTAAAAAAAAGATATGAAAACATGTAATTCCTAATTAATTATTCGACAACCCAGGTGATGTATGGTGGCGATATTGATACCCTAGTTTAAGGGGTTCTTCGAATTACCTCGTTGTTTTCTTTGCTTCTATAACTGTTCTAATGAAATTTGCTAGTGCCGATAAAGTGCTAATGCAGTCAGCTATTGACATGTCAGTTGATGACCAAGCATCGGCGTTATGCGGTAGTGCATCGGCATGTAAAAAGACGTACTGATATGCACGTTCCATGCTGACATTTCGCTTTCTGACACACATCCACCTGCTCCGCACAATTATCCCTTCCCATCATGGGACCTTCAGTGAATCTGAAGCGACGGAAACTGGACAAACACTGGCATGAGTAGCTTCCCGACCCCATATCCGCTATACACTTGTTTCCCCCGACAACTCTGCAGGCTATATCTCCCGATGGTAAATTGCCTATTGCCTGCTCGCAAGGATTTTTAATCTGCAAATAGAGGCAGATTTCCTGTTATTTTCTCGAAAAGCGATTCCAGCACCAAACCGGCATTAAACAATATTTTCTACTACAAGTAGAGGCAGATTATGCATTGCTTGTTCGTTTTAATGTAATATTAAATTTATCTTTTTTATTTGCCATTAACGATGGGGCAGTAGTCTAGGGCCAATCGAAATTATATGAACCTTGGAAAGAGTAAGCACTTAGTTTAACAGTGCATAAAAAGATCATCTTGCTGATTTGCAACTAGTTAAATGGAGAAGTCTTAGAACAGCTTTTGATGATATCAAAATGCTGTTTAGCATGGTGAATTTATTCGCGGATGACGCGCTTATTGAGTTCATCAAATGGACCGCTTGTGTCGTTATCACTAGAATGGATGTTGACTTCAAGTTGCACTCACTGCAGCTTGTTGAATTTGACAATTGATAAGTGGAAAAATCCTCACTATCATTGTAATTTTTACCAGATTTGTATTTGGTGAGACAACCAAATGTTCCTAATGGAGAATGAGACTAAATTGTATTCAACCTTGGTAGAATAATTCTAAAGCACCTTTTAAAAGCCGACAAGACAGGGTCATACTGTACAGTGTGGCGGTTTATTCTAACTTAGGTGAATTTTTAGTCGCATTCACCGCGCAAGCTTGTGTGACTCATTGCCTCTCCCTAATCTTGGTAGTGGGCGTCAAATTAGTGACAACTCGCAGTACCTTTACCAGCAAAATTTGAATGTTTACTTGGGACCCAATCCTTTCTTTCAGTCGAAGCGTCCCATGATTGTCAGTCACGTGTCGTCATGTGAGTCGCGAATGTAGTGATTAGCAGCACTCTTAAAACTTCAAATTAAAACTCATCGACTTTCGAGTTGACTTTTTAGTTGGATAGTGTAACCGTATTAATGTTTTTTGTGGTAAAAGTTGATATTTTTGTTAATGCTACAGATGGTTGATCATTGTCATTGATCGTTACGTCGCCATCGCTGCATTTTTTTACCACACCGTTTTTCAGTCGGCAGCGAGGAATCAATCACCATATTTCTGTTAAAATAAACAACAGTAACGACGCGTACGCCTAATAAGGGTATTCAGAATTCATTTATGCTTTTTACCTTCAAAATAAAATAGAAGCACGTTGCGAATAGTCTAGCAATCAGTAAGGCAGTTTATAATGCGTTTCGCATATAATCGTAAGCCTGGTACGGATTTCATCATGTGAATTCCCGAAAGCTTCTTTGTTGCCACTATCCTCAATGCTAAATAGGTTGTGTTAAGCAGACCTATTGCGCTTTTAGCATTAAATAGGCGCAATTTTTACAACGAAACTATCCTATGCAAAAGCTTTTCAAAAGCATCTTTGATAGTCGAAGCTGGTTTTTAAATTGTTTTTACACACTTAAGTGCAGGCAGTAAAAGCAGTAATTACTTAAACTAGACTTTAAAAATACCTTGTTTTTTTCCGCTTTATTTATAAGCCCATATAAACCTTTAGAATTATTTATGTAACGTTTACTCATTTTCCAGTCTGCTTTAAATATTTCTTTAATGAGCTTCCAATAGTTGAATAAGGAATGCGAACAGGAAACTAATAAGTAAAGTATCCTTCTACCCATAAATGCGATTTCGGCGAACCGGCATTACATGAGACAGCTTGATGTATGTGTTCTACTCTATTACCTTATCACAGAGGGCTCCGTAATATTGCGGTTTGCAGACACAATACTCAGCCTTTCGGCAGTGGGGTTTCACGAATCCACTGGTGAGATGGCCCTTGTCATTTATGCAGACGTAGGCGATATCCAGTGTCCCCTCGCGACTGCATTGTAGATATTTGTAGTAGCTCGGCGGATCGAACCTCCACATTGTGGTCCTCTGTTTTATTTCCTCATCAATCTCCTGCCAGTAGCCGGGCATCCGCCAGTTTAGATGAAATGAACACATTTTCGGACCACACATCCACTTGTACTCAATATGTGCGGGACACTGACACGAGAAGCTTATGCTTGTGTGCAATCCAACTATATTTATATAATCAGTTAGCATTAATTTAGTGGTTTGAAAGGTAGCTATCAGAGATTCTCCCATCGTCTGCAAGCACATTTATAATATTATGCGGGTTTTACGTAGATTTTTCTGTCAATCATGAGCTAAAAACAAATGTTTAGTGGATGTTGCAAATAAAGGACATTTTTTTGGAAGCAACAAAAGTAACTTTTCAATTTTACCAGTTTATATAAGTTAATAAAAGTGCTCATGAAATTTTGTCCAAATAATCCCAATTTTGACACTATCTTAGTGAAGCTCCAGTGAGGTTTTAATAAATATCGCTTTGGCCAAAGTTGCGTTCAGGGAAAATAATCTGATACTAACGGTTTTCCTTATTGATTAGAAAAACAATACCGTTAGCACCTTTCTTTCAAGATTTACCAGACGCCCTTACTTACCATGCGGGTCGGGAAAGCAACTTGAGGTGAGAATGGTTGGCTGACCAATAGATGGAGCACACTGTTCCAATCTGTGCTCCGGTCCGGCGAGACCGCGGTTTAGTTCGACCTCGCCGTCATCCTCCCCTCTTGTCCCACTGCGGTCACTGCAGACACGAGGACAAAGACCATAGGGATCGGGCAGGATCAACTGTTCACGCCTGCCCTCCTGCCATACGCGCCGTAGGTGACAGTAGAACACAACGTACTCTAAGCGAAAGGTAAAAACCTGCAGAATTGTCTTTTGTAGGGCCGTTTTGAAATCCTGATTGGTGGCCACTCGCTCTTCATCCATCTTCTCTTGCTGTCGAAGGAAGTGCATCCAACGGAAGACGCAGTGCAGCCAATACTGGGCGCCGCGCTTGCAGATGGCCTCCAAATGGGGCTCCCGCATAATGGCCTTGATCCACCTATCACGGGTAAGTCTATACCAGAGCTTCAGACGGGAACGTCCAGGTAATTGGACTGGAGGAAGGACTACAGAAGCGCACTCGCCTCCTATCAGACCCGGTGAGAAACCTACGCGTGAGGCGTAGGCGTAGCTCTGAGGCAGGCGATTTTGCTGGACTAGGTGGAGGTACTCAGACATTTTTTGTTCCGAACCATGTACTTCAGCGTTCCTTGTCAATACTATACACATAAGAAGAACAATTTTGGCCTAAAATAAAGAAATGCATTGTGTAATTGCATATTTTTACGTGAATAGACTTTTACTTAACGTCGTATCATTCACCTTCCAATTGTGCTTTATACTTTTTAAAATTAAGTGCAGCAAAGTAAGTCTGTGCATAAATGTGTGACTGTTTTAATGGGAAGTTCTTTTCAACACAAGTTAGCAAATCTCCTTAAACTATAGGGGAAGCGTCCAAGAGAACGGAAGATTTTGCAACTAGATATTGAGTTTTGAGCATTATTTTATCACTTCATGTCTGTAAAATGGAATCGTATGTGTCCTCATGTTAACATCTTAATATATATTTGGTAAATTTTGTCGCTTTTTTGTACTTGATTAAAAGTCATGCAATTTGATGGATTTTGTGGGTCTAATCTGGATTGTCATGATGCTGTACACCTGCTAAAGAGATTGCATTTCAAATTAAACTTACCTCCATTTAGGAGAAAGAGAAATCAATTTCACAGCTTTTAAATTTATCTCAGTCAATGGAATTTGGAGCAAAATAAACAAATTCTTCGCTGTGGTGGAAATCGTGTGCTGCTGCTTGGAAAGCCGCGCTCCTTATAACCCAAAATGACAATTGAAGTCTTCAAATTCCAGCATATAATACACCATCCGTATCATTTGACCCACTAAAACCTAAGTTCGTTTATGGTTTTTGGAAGAAAATGAAATCGGGTAAAAATTTAGCGCTTTAAACGGATTTGTAACTCTGTATTCCCAACTTATGAATGTCAGCACTCGAATAAGCTTTCCTATACAAACGGTAGCCATTTTAGAAATTTCAGCGCACAGACTCGAAGGGAATAGGGCAAAATATTCACTTTAAATGGCGCAATGCCAGCCACCCCACACATTGGTTGAAAGCCCAATGTAGGTGCATTACCACACCTGAAAGCTGTCAGTGCTTTAGCAACTGCTTTTTATACAGCATGCTTAGCGTTTAAATGTATCATCCAGAAATCGTATATGCTTCCCAAATTTTCCAGAAAAGCTATCGGACGTTTATTTTGCACATAATTCAACAATCAAGATATTTAAGTCAAATGGATTATGCCAAATATAGTTATTGTATTATGTAGTAGATATGTTTACTATCAAATCGGGGTTAAGGATGAAGATTTGTGCAGGTGCAAGCTCTTGCCGACTGCTAGAGCTATGAGGCTTTGTTAAACACTGCGTCACAACTATACCTCCAGTTGCCTTGATTCTGTCCTATTAAAACTGCATAAGGAAAATTTATTTAATGGCAAATTGCTTTCACTCTTTTGCACTGTAGGATAACTAAAATCAAGCGCATGCTTCACTGATTATTTTGTTTCACAGGTTATCAGCAAATATTTGATATTAGATGACGCAAAACAAATGAGGAAAAAAGCAGTCTTCAAAGTGGTGAAAGAAAGAGAAGGTAACCATTCGTGACTATGCATTTATTTGCAGCTCTATTCAAATTTGAGCCCAGTGTGAAAATTTTTAGCTTGTGAGCAGTTAGAAAAGCCAGTATAATGTTATCAACCCTGTAATTCTGTATAAAACTTGCTCTTATAGCAAAGGTAATTTAAAGAATTCACTGCTCCCTAACTGTTTTCGTTGGGCGATCTCCGATCAGAATGGTAGGAAATTACGTGGAAATTGTATTGTTTAAAAATCATCCCGTTGGAACCTAGCACCGCAATTTTTCTAACATAAACCTGATTATGTTCGCTCTACCAAGTGGAACGAGGTTCATATGCAGGTGACAGGGACGATTCATTGCAAAATGCAGTTTACCTTATCGACCAGTCCCGTATATATAAGTGTTTCTCTACCCTCAGGGCTTTATGATGGGCATTGCAAGTTGGGTGTGGGACTGCTTGGATCAGTGCTTCAGCATCAAAAACCGCGCGTGCTTCGAAACAACTTTTCTAGCTTAAATTTGCGCTTTCATGGGGTATATTTATTTACGTTAGGTTAAAACAGCACGCTCACACTACACTGTACTAAAGTTGGTAAAATTTGCTCCTAATTTGTAATAAAAAACTTGTGATAAACCAAGAAATAATTAACAGTATGAATGTTGGAGTGTGATTTTTTGGCGTTTTTCCACAGTTACATAATTTTCTTTGCCTAATTAACTTCGTAAACTCAGTTTGGACCACAATACCATTTAAACTAAAAGGAAATAAGTTCTTCCGAGTTACATTATCTGAATAGCGTTCCCTAAAGCGTTTTTGAGCTCCGTCCGCTGTTTGTGGAGCGTTTTTTCGCATAATCAAAGGATATTTGTTTATTAATCCAAGCTTTTGCATGTTATGGGTGATGTCCATTGGGAAACAAGAGTGTACACGCAACTGTTAATGTCTTTTCAGCATCAATTCGATGAGTTGACGAGTGAATCTTGGACATGGCTCTAAGTAGATTTCAGATTAATGTGATTCAATTCTAGTTTCCCAACCGCTAAATATTATAAGGTTTAATTTCTTCAATAATCTTATTTAGAATCGGCCTCAAGGAATCTGAGTAAGTAATTGGTGGCCATTCCATACGCAAAGTCTGAATTCTTAACCGATTCCCCTCAAACTATTTAAAGCTAAAGTTCATAAATGTCCACCAGTTTTAAATAAGAAATTACTGATCCATCAACCTTTCACAGTAAACAACAACACCTAAAGGATGTTCAATGAATGAGGTAGTCGGAAGATCTGCATTAATGAGTTCCTGATGCTAAAATGACTAAGTCAAGGGTAAAGTAACATTCTTTTCAATTTTAGGCATTCCAAATTAAAAATACCTTATTTACAAGGTAAAACACAACGTTCAGACTGAATCAGTTTTAAAAGCTGTTACTAGTTTAAGATCTGGAAAGGCCTTATTAGATCCAAATGGTTAGGTTAATTGTCTGTCTTGACAATTACGTGAATTGATAAAATAAGCAGTAATGACCATTTCTAGCACAGTAAATTGCAGCTGCCATTTCTAATATAAATGTCAAGATAAAATAGGTTGCATTAACTGTATTTGTTATGGCTACATTATCAAGAAGTGAAGTGAATTACTTTCCCATTGTCCGATCAGGGCCGATACTTTGCCTGGCTAACAGTAAATACAATCTCACCGGCAGCAAAGAAGGCAGGCTGCATGATGCTGCGCTATCTGTGCACTCGAAGATGGAAATGTATTGTTTAAATCTACAAACCCTCAAAAGCTGTATTCGGTTAACATTTTTCAAGTTTACTTTGTATGAAATGTTAGGCATGAGTTAAAAGGCAAAATCGCCAAAAAGATGTCCTCTAACATTATGTTTAGCTTTACAATGGCCACAAAGCACCTAAAAATTAACTTTAGTTGTATTCATTCTATTTAATCCATATTTATGTCATATTTACACTTAGGTAACTCCCGCAAAGCTCTTATAAATCTAGGTCGTTATCTCCATAAGTTTAGTTGTTTCCATTTTTTTGCCATAAATAACCATCTAAACACACTTCTGTCCTATTTTGACCATACCAAGGAGATGAACAAGCTATAACGTAAGGTTAGAAAACATAGGCCACCTCTCCTAACAGATAAAAAAGGTCTGTCGTAGAGAAATCAATTAAAATTCGTAAAAATTGAGTATGAGCACTTAACAGGCAACTTTCCTCTGGTAATATCTGTCTCAAAATACCAGAGGGAGGACATATTGTGGCATTTATCAGCAGCGAATGCATAAAATAGCTATCGTCAAACGAATTTACAGGTAAAAGCATTGTTTTGCCATTTTTTGTCAATTTTTTTTCAAACAAAAAATTTGTTTAAAAACCCAATATTTAAAATTGGTGAAACGTGCAAATAGGTAAATAATTATCTTTTACTACCATTTATGTAGCTTTGACACCCAAGCAAAATGGGTAAATATCAACAAATGATCTTCGAAATTACTTCTTAAAGATTTTATGTCTGTCACCTTCTTAACACAGAAAATTATTCTCCTTTGCCAAAAACGTCCTGGTAAAAATAGGTAAGATTTCATGAATAGTGCAAGTGGAAGTCAAATTCTTTTCCGAAAGCAGCATTTGCATGTACTAGTTAAATGGTCGATTATTCGCATCAGAGGTGTAATTACACTTCTTTTATTAGAAAACAGAACCTCTGTGAAGGTGATCTTTACAACGAGTCTTAATGTTTATTTTTTTTGACAGTTGTCGGTAAAAATACGTGATTAATGTAGAGTGATTTGATGCACAAGTATGGTTACGTGCATAGAGGTGGCGAATGGACCGACTTTTGCAAATAACTACAAACCTAAGGCATATGTAAATTTTCAAGACATTACTTACATTCCGTTGCAAACCTTTTGTTATGCAATTCCAAAAATATTTTCACGCCGAAAATCTATTAATTTGCACCACAGTTTGTGTTTATAGCTGATATGTAAGTCTGGAGGAAATATTTGGACTATACTTTTATTAGGGTAACAAGATTAAATGACAAAGACCAAATACACTTGCATATTTACAGATGGAAACCCTGGTGCAAATGGGACTAGACGGTGACTTATTTTTCCTATCCTTCCCTCATATAATATGCCATGTAAGTACTGCCAGTGGTATCAGAGTCATCTGAATCCATGTATATTTGATTAGTGGCGAAGCTGCGTTACCATAGAGATATACAGTCGAAAGAAGCCTTCTTTCCTCACTTTGACCTTCACAGCCATATTGTCCCTTCCGGAAACGAAGATTGGTACAGCAAACAGAAATTGATTCGGCGTTGGCATCAAGAAATTGGTCTTTACATTCCATTGCATCAGGAAGAATTATTTTGAGATTCGTTAGACTTCCACGGAAAACGCACTTAAACACAAAATTATCTCCTTCGCTGAGAGCGACTTTGTAGTCTCGGAGACCTCGATCCAGTAACACCTCGTTGGCAAAAGCATTAACCTCCAACTCCTCATGCTCCCATAGAGATCGAGCAATGGATTCTCGGACTCCATTCGGGTAAATCACTGTGAGATTGAGTAGTCCATTTCCTTCAGCTTTTGAGTGATTGAATACCAGTGATTCTCCTACACCTTCAAGCATCCAAGCAATTGGGTCTTTTGTAGGACTGTAATACCATAAAAACCGTGTGTTTTCCGGCAGTTCCACTTTGGCAATATTCATTGCACTCGCCTGTGTGTGTGTGTCGGTTATTTGTTTGATATTGATATCGAAAGGTGAGCGCTGTATGGAATAGCCCATCTGGCTGTAGCAAAAGGTCATCACAAAGTTGAGAACGAATATAAGCGAAAGACTTCGATAAATAACTGCGATTATGCCAAGAGTCAAATTCATTCTTTCGGTACCCTCACTCTCAAGCGCTGCCACCGCGAACTACTCAACTATACTGGTATCCATCGCACATCCGCTTGTAGCGACAGCCATTGGCTGATGATGTACTACCTTTGCACGTTGGCGACCAATCAACTTTTAGCTGTTGTACGAACGTCAAGATGATGGACGAGTTTTTAACCGCGCACTTTGGGAATTTCTTAACATAAGGCATCCATTAGGTCCCTATCAGAATCAGTAATCATTGAGACTCGATAGTCATCATTCTGGAAATTATTCATATTAAATCAATTTTATTCCCTTGACTGAATAGCTGGTCACTCAGTGTCTATCGGACCTGAAGAAAGTAGATACTGTGCTAAGCATTTACTCAAAACAGTTTTCAACGTAATGTTAGTCACTGGCAGATGCTATGCTTTGAAGAACCATGGTATAAATAAATTTCTCGTAAAGTTAATTCTGATTTGTATTTGGGATAGGTTGCAATTTTGCTAAAATACAAATAGATGTATGTTGTGATATTTTGGAGTGTGGGTATATTCTATTCGTGTGTTTTTTATTAAAACAAGGTTTGATGTGTTGGTGAATTTTTTTTCACCTTCACTGTTTGAGGCCAAAACGCAAGAGCAGTTCAAATAATTTGTCCCATGCAAAATACGTCAACCAAGGAATGTTTGCCAATGCAACAGGTGCATAGAAAGTCATTTTGGTAGCAGCTTAAGGGTTACGTGATGGGAACTGCCTGCAAGGACCCGTCCTCTGGTAAATCGAGGATCATTATCCACTTCATAGGATCTCATGAAGCTTTGATAGAAGGTGGTAAGTTCACTTCTCTGTGGGACTACCTTCAACAAATCATTGCTAAATTACCCATAAATTATAATTATTATTTCATCAGAACGCACATACAACCAAGATCATAATTAGTCATCATGGTGTTTTAAATGCCTTAAGATTCTATAATGTAATTGAATGAAAACAAACATAATTAATGTGTTGTGAAATGAGAACAGTAGGATTTTTTGAAGGTGAGGTTAAAGCAAAATAAATAAAGTTGGAATTATACAGTCGTCCATGGAAACACAGTGTGTGTTCTCTTAAGCTTGTAGTAGATGATAATTCTACGTTGCTCAATTGCATGATTCCAAATTATTCTCAAATAAATCGTGGCACTGATGACTTTCAATTCTCCTGCCGAGTGTATGTTGAACCTGGGTAACAAGGTTATTGGCAGATTACAGCGTCTCAGTGAGTTTGCACATACACAAACACTATTAAAGCAACTTTATGTATATGTACGTCAAATATCATTTCATCAAGAGCAGGATAACCGGCGTTATGAGTCCAAAAGCCCAGACTGCGTTGTGAAAGTGAACTTGATTTTCTACTAGACCACAAACTTACTCACTTCACCAGTAATATTTTTTGCACTAATCATGATGTAGCGATCACCTGCACTCACACCGGGGAGGAGCGTCGCACTGAGGTGTCGGGCCCTGACAACACAATGCCCGCATACCCCCATGTGCAACCTCGAGGTAGTGTGCATCAACTAGAGAATGACCCAGTCACAATCGGCACCGCGCCTAAGCCGGTATAAAGTAACCCGAATGAACGCAGGATGAGTGATTTGATAGATTTAACGTTGTTGACTATCATTCTGACATTTTTCATGACTATACCAGGAATGTTTTAATGTCATTGAAACTGTCACCACTATCTCTAGCTCGAATTTGAAGTTTGTGGACGATATTGAATGCTTTGAGTATATCTCAAGTAAATATTTCTCTTCTCTCATTCCTCTTAACACTCAACTTGCCTAAGCATACGATATTTTACATAATTAACGACCTTGTCTCGTTATGCACCTCTGCAAGTTCCAAGAATAAAAAGGGAACAATAGGTAATATCGCATTCCCTTTACAATTTTAATGTTATCTACAAGATTACCAATTATGCCAACGTTTCCGTGTAGCTTGTTTCAAATAAATAATGTGAAGCAGATGAGGAATTTAAGGAGAATGAAAAGAGGCGAATGTTTTATACTTACTACTCGTTTTAGGTAGTAGAGAAACGCATTTAACGTCCAGATCAAGCATCGATAATGGCGAGCGTGCTCAAATGTGATTAGACAATAAGTACACCAAAATCAAAGTTAAAAAGTGATCATTTAAATTTTTATCGACTACTGAACCCTTTAATTCCTCTAAGTGGAGTATGTGCAAACAGAATGGATTTTTTAAGACCATACGAGTACGATGAAATTCACGCGTTCTAGATGCCTCTCGTGTGCGAAGGGCAATGGATCTCAGTAGGACCGAGCATACGGATCCTCTCATGCTTTTTCCAACTAACAGGGTGAATCACCCACGCTATCAATTGGTTAGCCATCGATTCGGCGTGTGCGCGTGTGTGTTGCTCGGTGTCTTCTTGTGGTGCCGTCGTCGCGCGATAAGGCGCCAGGTGTGCCCCGTGTACACCAATGAGAAGTGACGTACGTGCGTGTGTGTATGTGTGTGTGTTCCCTAAATCAGGTCAACTCAGAGAATGAAAATACATTCCTCAATAAGACGGTATAAAGGTGCTTTAACCTCTGCCTCCCCACTTCGACGTTTATGCACCGCATCAATGGCGCCTCCAAAAACGCTGCAAGGCTAAATCAGATGCCACACTCGATTTTGATTTATTAAGATTATTTTGGTTAGCCCTGCAAAGCAGTTAATGTTTTCAAAAAAAATGATTCATAAAATAATTTTTATTCTCCAAAAAGTTGTTTTTACAAAATTTATTCCGGCTAATAGGGAATTAGCATTGCGATAATAGTTTCAAAGTAATTTAAGCAAACACCAAGCAAAACTCGTTGAATATGTTAATAAACTTTAAATAGACAGTTGTTATAAGAGAACCAGTAAGTTCACTTGAATTAATAAAATGAAACTGCAATCAAGTAATAGCATTATTTGGTGTAAATACATGCATTTCAAAGTTTCGTCGCTTGTTCTTATTTTTAAGATATTTTAAGTGTAAGAACAACGATTTTTTAGAAAGCTCAGGAATTCAAAATAATTTTTATCTGGAAGAACTGCTAAAATCAGTATTCATGAACAAGTGAATCAGTAAATGTTTAATTTGGGGAAAAAGTTTTTGCTCTAAGATGATAACTTGATCAAGACTCGAAATTGTCAGCTGCCCATGCCTTATAAAAGCGAAACCCATGCAAGAGTGAAAAGACTGAGCTACTTTAGATAGCCTTTAACTTTGGAAAGATTAAAAAGTTATCTGGATTTATGAATTTTTCTCTTGAAGATGTCTTCGGTACATGCCTAAGGAATTTTGTGGAAATTTATTTATTTGAGAGCCAGTTTTATTAGTTGTCATGTCTCATCTACACAAGAATTGCTCAGTTTTCTGTAGATGATGTGTTACCTCCTCAGAGGTCAATATAGTAACTAAGCAATTTTACGATCAAAAATTTCTTATTATTCGTTTTTTAGTCACACTCCATCTATTCAAACAAATTTCCTGCGCCCTGAGCCATTGGCCTACAGAGCTGCTACTTTTAGGCGGACATTTGATTATGGTGCGCGCAATTGTGACGCTATGGCCACTCTTGGGGTACTTCTCTAGCGCTCTTTTCCCCGCCCCCCCCCCCTCATCTGACCCAGAAACAAAGGAGTCGACCCTCCACCACATGCACGGGCTGCCACCTGGCGTAAATAAATTGCAGGGACGCAGGGACTGGCAAAGATACTACCGGGTCCACCGATTCACCCCCTGCTGAACGCCACCTCTTTGTGCGGCCCACCTAGGACAGAATGACGTAGGAATACTTTATTATATTAAAAAATAAGGCTTAGTACGTTCTATAGCCTACAGTGATGCGAAAGTGCGATAGAAATTTTATAGTAATACAAAAACTAAATCTGTATCATTGTGATTAGGCTAGTCCAAGAGCTTAAAATTATTCATCTGGTTACGAATTTCCAAGATTTTCTGCAAATAAAACTAATGGTACATCGATTTCTTCATTTCTTTTGCCATTACGGATGTGGTTTAATATAATTCAGTAATCAATTTAAGGAGTATTATGCGTTTCTGCCATGAATTTGTTCAAATTATAGGAAATGCCTTGATGAAAATATTTATATTTTGGCACTATTTCATACGCACTGCTTATTTGTACTAATTCAATTCCAGATTGAAACCAATTCACGGGACCACTTGAAGAGGAAGCTGTATTCGATACGGAAAGTCTACCATGCCAACTTCAGACGGTGATGGGGTAAGGGAATGCCGAGCAAAGGATCCAATGCTATCAAATAACATACCAAGCCAGTTTCAATCAAAGTATATTCCCTGTTTTGCCTGCAAATTTCTTATGAGTATACATTCAATTGCATGCGCTTAGTGGAATTACAATTAATTTGTGCTTGTTTTACTAAATAAAGTTTGATAATGTTATAATAAGGCATGGTTTGGTGACAAAGTACTACAAATAAAATATGCCCAACTTTGCAATCAATGCAAAAACAGAATAAGGTAAATAAAATAAGACGATCGTAGGAGATCCACAGCCATGCCTAATATGCAAATAAGTGGTATTTAAGTAGCATATCAATGGAGCGGGTACCAATAGCGCCTTCATGTGTTATATTCTCGATGCTTTAGTCACGGTGGCTTAATGTTCAAACAATAAATAAGCTATCAATTAAACGCCGAAGTCTAACATTCCTTTAGTGTTTGCTATCATTATGCGACTTAATTTTAACCAAACCGCCATTTCTCGTGCCAATAAACTGGGCTACCTTGCCTTGACTAAATTTGGTTATGAAAGTGGGATGGAAAAACCGTTTAGTGCATCCAATTTAAAAAATGGAATATTGTTACACATATTTTATTTCCATTTGAATAGCATTTGCAGTGAACACTTCATGGCATTAGTAAGGCAGCAATCCATTGCCAATTTAACCAAAGTGTCAAACACTACAAATGATGAGTGGCTCTTTATGGAGATACACGTATCCGAATACGAGTTTATTTCCAATACCCATGACAGTAAAGCCAACGAAAGTTCAAATGCAACGATATAACAGGGCTTACTGACTGACCGAGAAAATGAGAAGCATCAATAGTTGTTTTCTTTAACGTCTATAGTAATATGCTGTCACGTCACCAAATTTACTTGTATCGCTTAATGCCCTTTGCAATATGGTATTATTTATAGATGCAAATCATTAGCTACGAAAAGAAATAAGACTATTATAAGGTAAAAAAGCATGATTTTCCAGTAAATTGTATGCCTCATTTTTGTGTATGACCTAAAAATTTCTTAGAAATCTGTATTTGTGCAAGGCAAATGTTATGATTTAATTTTAAAATAAATCAATGTGGTCGGGAAAAGACAGACTTTTGGGAAGTAGACATCCACAGACAAACAAAAAACGCTTCACTTGAAGTAAAGTGGTAAAAACCACCCACACGCATGCAAATAGTGTTTGGTAAGCATTCCGTTACACACCACACTAAAGGCATTCTCTGGAATCGCTGACGCAACGCCAAGTGCTACTTCATGTAGCTGGTTGCAAGAGAGCCACAACAGCAGTCTATGGACGACACTGTCTCGCACCGTAAAAGGTCCGCCTGCCCGCATGTCTGTCAGAACAGTCGTACTGCCATTTCCTAAGGCAAAAATGACTATGTCAATCGCCACTACGTCATGTATACTGTCTTTAACCCTTACATAGATCAATCTCTGTCTACATTTGTGGCAAGATAAGTTTATTTACTTTCAGAGGGCACATTCACCTAAGCTGCCTGAATTGGCGACAGCTAACGACACGCATTTGTTCTTCAAATCGCGTTTTGTGGTTCACTTGAGTGCGGAACGAATGCCAGAGTCCCTTGACCGGCCATACACAGATCAGAGAAAGAGCATGCAGAGGTTGATAAACAACCACTCTTCTCCGCACTCCTCTGTGGGAGGCTTGTAAGGGCTGATTGTCTCATTTAACCACAACGACAAGAACTACGACTAAGATGATGCCCAATTCCGCGCGCATGCATGTGTACACATGCATTATGTTCCTGTGTGTGCATGTGTAATGTGATTTATTGAGAACGCATTTCGCGTACACCCCCTTCATGTACGCGCAGTTCAATAATCCCGTCTGCCCACCCTTCCCCTTCTATAGGGCCAATCCGCATTGACCTGCTCTGCGCCAATTGGCTGAGTGTGCGGTGGGCTACGCGATTGGTCAAATATTATCGCAGATGCGAAATAATGAAAAAGTAGCATCCGCTGATTTTTGACGCATTCACCAAAGACAATGAATGTGTGGTTTCCATTCAGTCATGGTAATGGTAATGGAACAGACGAATCCATAATACAACGTATTACGGAAGAGCCATCCGCCAACTGTGCCTGCAATGCGGTCCCGAGAACTTCACAGTTTTGGGAATTGGGTGGGAAAGAGACTCATAGTGAACAGTTCACTCCAACTGTCGCAACAACTACTACGACTCCTCTGATGTCAGCTGCTGCCGCAGCGATGGCTCAGAGCTTCTTTACAGGGGAGCCTATTGGCGCCACAAACTCCCCGTTGGATTCCCTACTAACGACGGCAGCTGCTTCGAACCGACACCAGGGGACCTGCATGAAGGCGGAGGGTTTCGCTTCCTCTAGGCGCTCCCCAGCAAATTCTGTGGTATCAGAGCAAAGTGCTCCTTCCCCTCACCGGAACTTTTTTTCACCTTCTGCGGAAGGTTATCCACAAGGCTACACGCACCTAACTATTTCCAGAATTGAAAATCCAAATCTGCCTCCTCGTACTCTTCCCCAACCTCCACCCCCTCAGCCACCCCATCCGCCACCGAAATACACCTCTGGGAGTGGGATTCCCTCCAACGCAGACTCAAACCCTGGAGCCAGCACACCTGGAAACATTGGTGGAAGTATGGAACAAATCTGGCCATGGATGACTGTAGTCGGTAAGTGACTTTTCCTCACAGAAAGATGCGGACTCTTATTCTCTCTCATGTTGGTGTATCAGTTTTTCTCCTTTCCAGTCTAATAACGGTACAATTGCTTATTTGATGTGATTGTTATCAAACCGTCAGCAGTCACAAATAATTAAGGCAAATGATTACCATGCAAATATTTCTTTCAAGACCAATATTGGCCTTGAAATCGTCCGTACATTTATTGGTCTGTTAATCATTTTTGGGAGATCACTTATATACAACGTCTTTTTCTCTTGACCTTTAAGAGACGATTTTAAATGAGCTTGCTTTCAACTTGTAAGTAGAGAGGTTTCCTATAATTTCATATTCATTTCTCGAGCATAGACTCAACTTTTACACCATGGTGTCGAGAAATTGAACTTACTTATTCGGCAATAAGGTATTACTGTTGATTTCGTGGTAGACAACGCTCATGGTGATGTGTTAAGTGTGATACGCAACCTTCTAAATACAAGATAGTTGAGCTATTAGACCTAATATCTATTAGGAGTAGGCTTATAAACACTCACGATTAATTAATTAAGCACAAATTTTAATGTCTGGAAAAGGCATTTTTCCTTTATTTCTTAGAACCACTTAAACAATTTTACAAAATTTTGCCGTATACTTGCAATGCATCACCTCCGAATAGTGTTACAGGAGTTGTTGCTGCTCGGCGCGAGTTGCAAAACTATAAGATTAATATTACTTGACATCTCAGTGGCTAATTTAATTAAATAACGGTTAATCACATGTATCTGTCATTTCCTTAAAAAGGAACGTTTTTCATATTCAACTCAATTTAACATATTAAATCAGATAAACAAAATTAATAATTATGGAAATACTTCCCCTTCCTACTACTAAAGACATATTCGCCTTAATTGCCTCTCAAAAATTTACCTAGAAATCATTAATAATGATTTGAAATGAATCTTGTTTTATTACATACTGAAGTTAACAAGCATCATAATGTATCATTGCCACTTAAAACGCTCTCTTTACTGATTACCAAAGATTAAGTAAACATTGTTTAAGATCGTTTAACTTGTCTTTATATGCGTGGAACGGTGGTTGTTATGCATGTACTGGAAAGAAAAAATGCTATATGTTGGTTAATAATTCAAAACAAGTTCATTTTGTGTAACTTTACCTCTGGCATAAGGCAGACTCTCTTACAGCTAGTGCCTCTAATTACAGGGATTGCTGAATGTGGTTTGAGGCACCTTGTTGTCTAAATAAATTTTACGGAAATGCAGGAGATTTAGCTATGAAAAAGTGCTGGACTGTTTTCTGGAATCGAAAGGTGTGGTTTCGTATCAGGTTTTGATTCGGTTCAACCCTCACCCATCACTCCATCTATCTAAAAGCCCTGTCTCTGATTATCCATTTGAGCATTTGGGTATGCTGGAGTCTTAAGCAAAAGGAAGTTGTCTTCTAAAGTCCTTTGTTTGCATTGTTAATGGTGCGTGCGGCTTCTCAAATGACATCTCCTAATTCAACTAATGTTTAGATGATTTAAAATGGATAGGAAAACCGATTTGAATTCTTATTATGAAATATATAGTTTTAGTGAACAGTCTACAGGTATTTATTTTAATTACGTCGCCATGCTCTACATAAATGGCTATTGTAAGGATATCTATTCAAATAGAATGTGTTTTCACATTCGTATCAGTGATACATTTGCCATTTTAAAAATAATTAGGATTATTGTACCGTGAAAATTTTGTGCATATGAAGACTATTTACTTCTTTTTTTGCTGTTGCAAGTCTACGAATGGTTAAGTGGATAATTTCCGTATGGCAGTAGTGTTTTTTGTGAGTTAGCTTAGCAGAACGAGAGTAAATTTACAACTGGCTCTCAAATGCTCAACAAACTTAGTGAATTTGGCCGATCCACATCAAATACCGTTCTTCAGGAATGCGGTCCAACGTCAGGTGGTATGCGTAAATTATGATCAAGCAGTGAACTTGCGTCTTTTCTTCGAGTGTTCCATTGCCATTCCTGGGCATTTCCCTAATATGTGCCTGTAACAGAGGGCTGCAAAGTGTCCACCAAACACCCAGCCTATTTGATTGTGTGTGTGCTTGCTTGTGCGTGTGTGTGTGTGTGTGTGCGAACGTGTGCCTACACGCATGAGTGATAATTTATTGGCGTTCCTCTCCAGGTACTGGGCGGTGCATCAAAGACGCATTGACCCAGAAATGCTAATTTGAAAACAACCGTCTAACTCCCCACTAATTTGCGTTAACCTTTACACTTCATCTCCAGTTACTTCAAGAATGCATCCTTGCTCAAGTCACTAAAGTCACGAATTGGACATAACTCTTTGTGACTTCACTGTCTCATGACGAATCTTCTTTAGCTTTAAACTATTAGGAACCAAAACGACTCACACGACTCAAATAGTGGTTTAACTTTAAAAACCTTAGCCCCATGATGCATAAAAAGATAATCATTTTTGACTTATGTTTCTGCGTTTCTTCTCTCAAAGGCGCTTAACTGGGTGTGTTTCGGATTTATTGCAAAATATTTTGTCGTGATATGCACTTTATGACACTACACTTTAAGCCCCAACCAAAACGGTCTTTCCATGCTCTGCTTTTCCATGCTAATAACTTACTGAGCTTTTTAAGCATTCGCTTAGACTAGTAATTATTCAGAATATTTACTTTCTGACTTTGACACTAATAAAATCCATGATGATTTAAACGTGAGAAATGAGGTATGTGTACATGTGTAGAGGTTTCCAGATTCTAATATGATATGATTCGCCGTTGTTAAGCTGACAGTATGAAGACAATAAAGTGTTAATGGGTTACACTTAAGCTTTTTTATTTACGATGTCTCTAAGGGCGGTCTTTACATTAATTCGCATACTTCATCCAATGGCAAAGGAAACAATTTGAAGCTAGGCAATGAAGAGTGTTTATACAAAATTAACATTAAGCACAAGTGGGCATAACTTATTAAACAGTTGGCTAAGTTACAGCCTATCACACCATACATCCGTGATCGAAGGTCTTTCCAACAGTACATAAAATCCTACGTGTTCGCTTAAATCTGATACGTAAGTTGATGCGATACCATCACTTTTGTTTATTAAAGGTCAATCACTTAGCCACAAATCTAATGGATGCTTAATTATCCCACTTTCTAAAATAAACGCCAATTTTTAAAAGTTTGCCCGTTTGTTTTCAAAAGCAAATACAATTATGATGAACACCAAAATTTCCTTGAGGGATTTTGTTTGCATATCATTGTTAGTCTTGAATAAATTTTAATTTTTCTTCATGAAACCAACAAATGTAATTAGGGATTTATTGGAAGAATGGGGTTTCACTAAACCGATTAAACATTACTTGCAATTTTTTTTGCAACCATGAAAGTGCGTAAGTTTAGTTTCGTAGATAAGGTTGCAGTACACAAGAGCATAAAGTTGGGAAAGCAGGTAATGGCTAAAACAAGAAGTTCATTTTAACTACTTTCTACTTTTCATATTTGCCAATACATTTTTTTATCTACGGTTGTTTTTACTTTCTACGTCTGCTTTAAATTAGGGTACGTTCAATAAGCAAAAAAGCTCATTTACAATTTCGAGATCATTTTTTACAGTCAAGCAGGAATTGTGGCCTATACTCAAATGTAGATTTTATCATATTATAAGAACCAACACTTTTTAGCTGAAGCAGTCGACAGCCGTCATGTTGCAGTTCATTGACTGAAAACCCTTCAACAGTTTCCAACGCTAAGAAAATTATCGAGAAAAATAATCTTAGTTCAGTGTAGATAAGTAGTATTTTGTGTACGCAAAAGTGGTGATAATGGTAGTTTGAGCAGATCTTAAGTTATGAATTCAAAAGTTTCTTGCAAAGCCTCTGCAAAATTTTTACCACGATAAAATGGAATTTTAGATTCTACGATGTAAAATTCGCTAATAACATGGAATCAGAGTGGGCATTTCGGTGGCAAGGGATTAATTGTCGACGGAGACTTTAGGGATTCAGGGCATCGATACCTTTCATTTGCGCAGTATAAGTGATCTCTTGGTTTAAGCCACTACTAAAGAATCCCTTGAGATTGCATATCAACTGAGGGTATGGCTTTTGCTTGCACTAATGCCTATTGTTGAGCGTCCGCAGTCAGTCAATTCCAGTATGATTCGAGAGATCATAAAGGCACATGCTTGAATCTTTCGCTGATTGCGAAATTCCGTTTTCATTGAAATTGTTTAGTGAAAGTACTCAAATTATGCTCTTAAATATTATGAGTATTTAGAAAGCTAAAGTTGAAGTTTCAGTTGGCTTTGTCGAAGTGTGTTTGTTTAGAGACCTGCTAAACTCGCATGAGCAGTCGCCCTCATGGTGCCCGATTGGGGACGATAGGAGTCCACCCTAAACTCACCCTCCTCCCTGCACACCCCCTCACACATATAAACATGTGCACACACCTCGGCACCATCTTTACCCCACCCTCCTCTACGTGCACAGTTGATTCCCGGCTTTGCGAAACGTCGCAGTCGAGAATTAGGTCATGTTGAAAACAAAAGAGAATCCATCTTGTTGCGAAGGCGAGTCACTAGGTGTAACAATCTCGAGAATTCAAGTAGAAACGTCTATTTGAATCACGGTTTCCATCTGTTAACAAAACAACGATTTGGCTTTAACATAACTGTTGTTAACTATGATAAAGACAGCCAGGTTACCAAAACCAAGTTTTAAGGTAGTTTTGACAGAGTCTTCAATGTGGTCGGAAATTAAATTACCCTATCAGGTAACTAAAGAGCAACTCAAAAGCTTTCGGAGGGATATTTCAATACAATGGAATCCCAGCAAAATACCGAAATTGCTTGATTGTGACTTTGATCAGTGCATGATGCGAGCTATTGATCAATCTCTTTTGAAATCTAGCTCATGCGTAACAGTTGTTCGACCAATGAAACTCGTTCACTAAGATTGCGAATCGAAAATTGGCGAGAACAGGCGTGGGTTTCATGATCGACACACAGACACACACATCACCTGATCGATAATCGCACTGGATGGACGGGCACATCAAAGGCGATGGGAGGCATCTTTGTGCGTGGGTACCACACACTGGCACGCTTGCGCACACCACGAGCCGACACAGTCGTTGTATTTTGGTGATGGATTCACCCACCACTGCACCACCATTCCCTATTCCCAAACCCCGATAACGGAGCAGAAGGGTGCACCGTGATGTGCCACGCTATGCCATACCCCACCATGTGGGGGAGGAGGATAAAGATGGAAAGGACGGATGTTTCCGCATTTTTCGCCAGGGAAAAGTCGCTGCGTCATAGGTCACCGCTAGGGTCCGCACAGCTGCCACACCCCAACTGTGCTACTGATCAAAGCGCCGCTTTAACCTTTTCTGCTGGAGTCTTGTGTGTATGTGCGTAGACAAGCGCAATTGCAGGCGGCATCTATTTGCAGTTGTGAAATCACTATTCCAACAGTACTAACGTTTATAGTCATTAAAAATTTGCATTTTTTTATTGTCTGTGTGTAATCTGGGAATATCAAATGCTTAGCGTACGTATTACTTCCCTCTTGCATGATATTCTGGTCCCCTAAAGAAATTTTAAGCAGTCGAATAAGTAACTTAAATTGTACAGTGTACAGATTTGTACAGTGCGATGTGTGAACTTGCGATCATATTCAGCACCGTAAACATTCCAAGTTCATAGAAATTTTACGCAAACAAGTGCAGGCTGGATGATTTAAAGGAACCTTCGTATCATGGTGTAGTTAAAACTTCGTCTAGCATTTGGTGGGGCAAGCGTTATAATTACTTAAAAGAAGCTCAGCTTGTCTGAGGAAGATTGAGATTGCACCAGTCAGTGTGCAGCACTCTTGGATTAATGCCAGGTAATGCAGACCTGTACCCACACATGAAACATTATTCTTCACCGTCCGATTCTGTAAAATTGCTTGAATAATTTTATTATTGCACCTATAACTGTAAAGTGGAGCCTAGAATCAAAGTAATAGGTATTTTAAGTTGTAACGTATCACTGAGGCTCAGCCACTTAAATGGTAAAATAATTAATTCATGCATATCAAGTCCACTTGTCACTAAGTAAAATAATTAATCTTCAATGAGATTAGAAAAGCGTTTCATTCATCTAGACTTACAGGTACTCCACACTATTTTTTCAGAGCATAATTTTATTGTATTATCTTCCCAATATATCGGTTTTCGGTGGTGTTTCTTTTTGTTTACACCACCAAAAAAATCATTTTGCCCCATGAAATAGCCTTTTCTATGTGGCGTTTAAAGAGATAGGGGCAGTATTATGTTGCAAATCTCTGGCGTTTGGAGGTAATAGTGAATCTCTTTCCAGGAGGTACGTGGTCATCCAGATGGAGACGGAGTAATCGGGAGAATAATATTACCAAAATCCTCATCAAAGATGACGCTAGGCAACATCACTGAGTACTGTAAGATCGTGAAAGGTCACAACCCGTCACTCGTGCGGATGCGTCTGCATGCGATGCGTGCATATTTTCGCACTCGATAGTTGATTTTGTAAGCGAGGCTACTTCAAAGCCATGAAACGGTGGTGTAGCAAATAATCCATTTCCCTTCTTTTCCTCACCGGTCTGTTAATGTTGATTTACTGGTAATCATCTGAAAAAACGCCTTTTTCCTTACGACTATGCAAATGCTCTATACGAGAGACAATCACCATTTGCGGTTTGCATAACTTATCACGACGGTTGCAGCCGTGACCAAACCATAGAGCACTTCAAAATCCCCTGTGTGATAGTGTACACTTTTCTGCAAAAATTGGTGAATCGGTTCTCAATAAAAAAAAGTCGAACTGCTTTAACTATTTCAGTAGGATAAAACCATCATTCATCATAACTTGAAAATGCGTTCTTTTATTTACGCTACCATTATCTGTTTCACATTAAATATTAAAGTTTCATTAATTAGGCTTTTAAAAATCAGTCATTGTCACTGGGCCCCCTCAATGTGAGTTTTGGAGACAAAGTGCAAACCGAACACTTCTAGTTACATACATTTCCGTACGGCTTTTCACAGTTTTTTTTTTACGTATTTTTACTTTGGTTGATCTATTTTAATGAGACTTAATCGCCTGCACCGACTCTGCATCAAGTGTTGAATGGGACTCACTACACGTCGGTCGCCTCCTTAACTTGAATGAAGTAGATTTACTTATGTATGTGTGTTATATGTATTTTGTAAGTTTATTTTCATCTGATAGTGATCCCATACCTAGCCCACGCTACCTGATATGTATCGATATTCTGACTGTTTTAAACACAAGGTCCACTCCCAAGACTATCTCTCCATCCCCCTTTTTCTGGTCTCTCCTCCAATGCAATATACGCCGATGAGTCACATTTTTGTGGGTTCAGTGGATACTCTTCGTGACTATTACCCACATTACGTTACAACTGAGACTCGTATGCATGTATGTGTGTGTGTTTGTGTACGTTGTACCATGCTGGTCTTCGAGGGAGGAGCAATGGAGACCCATCCACCTATACGCACCCACCCAACCACCCATCCCTGTGTGCGTGTGTTGTGTAGCACTCTGTGAGAAACAGGGAGCTCTTACAAATGATCATCGTCGAATAATTGATATGCGTTACTTTTATTCAGACTACTTGATGAAAACAGATTGAGTAAAACGTGAAAACCCCCTATCCGCTAAAAGCAATTTTATTACATTTATCACCCATTCTAAGGTATTTAATAGGTGCTAAGAAAATATGTAGCCAATTATTTTGCATAAACATAAAATTACCGATGCCTTAAAGTCAAGGATTGATTCAAAGCTTACAAATTTTATGCCACACTCTGTTAGTGGTTCAGTTGGTAATTGCACTCAGAAGGCCTAATGGATGAACTAATGTAGTACTTTAAGTTGAAAATACATTTTGATTAGCTACAAGAAATTACTAGGAGTAATGAGGCCGATAGTAGAATATTGTCAAACGGGTGAACTGCAAATTTCGCATTATTTCGAATATCTTATAAATGTTAGGCAATGCCAAATCAAAAGACTTTCTTCATTCAAAGAAACGGAGATACAGATTTGGACGGATTTAAGAATTTCAAACTTAGAAATGCGAATATTAACCATTAGCCCCATGAGGTTAGTAACTTAATAATATGCGCCTCCACCCCACCGACTGACCTCTGAGTGGGTAACTGTAGCGTTTTTGCTATTCAGATTACATGAATGAATGTTATTTAAACAGAACTTTGTAATTTTGTGGAATTACAGTGCGTGAGATTTTTATTCGGTACAGCAAAAGTTGCTAGTGATGCATTAGGTGCATTTGCTGTTTTTGCTGTTAAATGTCAATGCTTCTTTTCGCCTTAAACCACAAGTGCACCTTCATAGAACCAACATTTCCGAAACAGTCTATATAAAAACATTTAATTGCACAGAGGCAGTTAACTTTTAATCAAATGAACTCCAGCGAAGGATAGCGGTTACTTATCTACCTACAAGAGCACAATGGTTGGTTGCTACACCTGAGTTGGTGGACAAATAGAAAGGTGGATGTTGGTGATAGTGTATGAACAAAAGGGGGACCAACAAGGCTGCCAGATCCCGCTTTTGAAGTTGCCGCCACCGTCCCAATTCGGTTCCACGTCGGGAAGTGGAAGCTGAAGCACGCGCGCGTGTGTGTATGGCAGGGCATATGCGTGCCTACATCACAGTCTGTCCTGGTGTTGCAGTGGCTTTTCTAGTGGATGACCGCTGCAAACACAAAGATGATAATGACTGTATGCATGTCTACTGGGTTCACTACTGTGACACAAGGGAATACGAATGGTGACGCCTCACTTAACAACAGTGCTTTTCTCAGGACGTCTGTCATATTATCGGCTCTTTTCACCATAATTTTGGTGATCTGGGGAATAGCGAGGTGAAAAACTGCCTGACCTTTATTTCAGCTCAGTGAATCACCATACAGAAGTATGCTATCTAAATAATGAAGTGGACTAATTAAATCTGCGAACTGCCACCCACTTGTACACTCACTACCTCCGTCTAAAAAGTAAAAACATTTATCGAAAAGTCATTTTAATAGGATTACGTCTTCTTTATTTAAAGCAAAGTGTCACAATGATTCTACTTCAAGAAAACAATTAGGAAGATAGGCGAAATCGAATGCTATAAAAAGAATGGTTTTTCGATTTTCATTGAAATATTGGCATGATGCTGAAAAAGATTGACAGAAAGTCCCATCCAACGGATTTGTTTTGGTATTATATTGCTGCATTGTTACCTTCGAAAGCTTAACTTTACTTTCACTGCGCCCTTTAGATAAATAATAAATTTGTTTTGACTTTTGCTAAAACAAATAAGAACATGTCCCAATCAAGGTAGTTTTAATAATTTTGCGTCATTGGATAAAAGTGACAATGATATCTTGTTTTCTAAGTCTATACAAACCCAAAGTTGTGAGTTTACTTAGGACCATTATCAGTACCTGACATTTCCCTGATATGTTTCTTATCTTTAATCCAATTTTTTCGGAAGCACATCGAATCAAATGTGATTGGCCTAGCAACAAGATATTTCTTCTAAAGGAGATGATCTGATTGTTTATTTTGCTGAGATGGAATCTGTCTGGTGCGTGGGCATGTGTACGTCTCCGTGTGCGAGTCTTGTCTTACATCGGAGGAGCCTGAGTCTCTCAATTTCAGTCTCGCCTTGGGTAGCAGACATCGACGCGCATGCGGAAGTGAGGTTTTGTAGTCGTCAGTGGGGTTACTACAAGGGCGACAAAATCTGACAGAAATGAAATAAAAGTTTATCAATGTTCTGCAACTTTACCGTTTTTGGTAGATGCCAGTTGCTTTGTTGAAAATTTTCCGCATTTGGTGACCAATGTTATTAGGTCCATCACAATTTTAGCAATTTCTTTGATTCCAGGCCCAAACTCCGTCCAAAGGCGGAGAGGAAGACAGACGTATAGCCGTTTCCAAACACTGGAGCTGGAAAAGGAGTTTCAGTACAGTCACTATCTTACACGACGTCGGCGAATAGAAATAGCCCACAGCCTATGCCTAACTGAACGTCAAATAAAAATCTGGTTTCAAAATCGTCGAATGAAGTTGAAAAAGGAGAGGCAGCAGATCAAAGACCTCAACGATGAAATGAATCGTCGAATAATGAGCGAAAGCCACAGGAATCTCAAAGTTCCTTTCTCCCATCCTCTACCTCCTCCTCCGTCTCCCTCTCTTCCTCCGCCTCCTCCTAATATCCCACAAGTTATCGAATCTGGGTCCTTGTCCTTCCCCCACTTTTTGCCCCACCACCCTCTGTCCCATCCTATTAGCCTCCATCCCACCTCTACAACGTCAAATGAGGACTTCTCTAAAGTTGATCGTGCTAGCTGATGGCAATGAGAGTATAGAATGCGATCCAACGATTTCTTCTTAATTCGGCTGATGTAAAGCCCATACTTATTTTTTAATGAAACGTTGTCAACAAAGTAACCCTACTTATACCTTTTAGTAGCATATTTATGGCATGCCTTGGTTGTATTGTTCCTCAGCTTAAGTGTAGTTAATGTTATTGCAAACTTGCTCAGTGAAGAAATTTAGATATGAATGGTAAGGATTTATTTTGCAGTTTAATCACAGAATTTTACCCTAAACATCAAGTCTAAATAGTGCCTACTGCTCATCTGATTTACAAGACGAAAGTTATTTCCTAGAATTCATACGCATTTTGGGATCTTGGGTCAGTACAACAATAAACCAATAAACAATAAGCCAAACTGTTAATGACACTAGAACACGTGAATGTAGAGTACACTAGTTTTCTACGTTATAGAAATGATTTTATCAAGTATAAGTCTAATTTTATTATAATAAGTATTTACAACTCTAAGCCAAATATTTGCACAAATTCGTGAATAATCCTTAACTACCTCTAAAATGTGAACCCAATTTATATTAAACGCTAGATTTCTACCTGTATAAGGAAGCCAACCATGCTCGTATGGTAATTCATACTAAAATTAAATGACCTCAAAAAGCAGCTATAAGTACTGTATTTTTTTCAAATAATCGCCTTTCCCAATAAATCGTGACCTTATCATAATTTCACTTTACTAAAACTTTCGCCTTTGGAGCAAAAGAAACTATCCATAGCTTCCTCTGTATTCCCCTTTTTAGCCCCGAACCCTCCATTCTCTATGTGATTGTCCAAATGTAGTGGTAAGAAAGGTTGATATCCATCACTTGGATAAAAATCTGAGAAGTGCGAAGGATGAGACAGTGACGCTCTCCAATTCTAAAGTGCAAATCTTCCAGCGGGTCACTTTTGTGGCAAAGAATCTTGCATTTTACAAGAATTCAACATGACCAAAGGTTCTTGATACGTTAGCTTTGAGCTGTTTTACTTTCTCAAGTCAAGTAATTATTCATTACTAAGAATAAAGGATTTCCAGGATATGAGCAGTGCGTCCCGCTACTGTGCCCTATCTAAATAGTATAGCAAATTGAAGAAAGGCCTTTCCAGCTTAAATCGACTTGAACCTGGTTTTCAATAGATTTAGTGGACATTTTATTATGTGAGGGTCCAAGAAAAGAGGGCAATACTAGCGAGTTTAATGAAGATTATTGAGAAGAGAGACTGGTATATACCTCCGCTTTATAGTGCTTAAGCAATGGCATTTTGTACGTTGATGCATGTTACAATAAACGGTGCAGATAGCTATACCGAAAAATGCACTAACATTCTAAGTAGCTTCGTGCTCCAATAATGCCTTACTCCCAAGTAAATGAGGAATTAGACGCTATTTGTTCATTTCAATCTCCCCATTCAAAAAATAGTTCTGTTTGGCATGAGTCTGTTAATTACCGCTAAGCTAATTCTTAACCCAAAAATGGATGCCTGTAGACCGGATAATCATAGTGCGTCTGTGTGGTCGAATTGCGATGCGATGGTAAAGGAGCATAATAACATGACTAACAGACAGTGTTGACAATTTTTGCCGCAAAAAAAGCGTTATATTGTGTCTTTGAAAATTGGAAGAATTTCAGACACCACCTTCATGATCTGTCATTTCTAAGTAATAAAAGTTTGTTTTTCATTCTCCCGCTGGCAAGCGTACGTAATTGGCACCATGAGCCATTTATAGCACCACTCCTCAAGTTTTAAAGTGACTTCATATTTCGAAATTTCTGGAATGTCGAATGAAGATCCACATTAACCAGAATAGTCTGTATGTCGGTTTTATTCAGGGAATGAAACCAGAGTAAAACACCATTACCCTGAATGATATTCAGGTCCAGCTTTGTTTCACTGGTATGGACCCAGCCCATATTACTAAGTTCCGCGGTATTGTGCTATAACTAAGGTGTGGCAGTAAGTAAAAGCACTCAATCCACTTCGATCATTTTGCTCAGTAGTTACACATTAGATCGGGTGAACACGATGTACAAGTTAATTAGTGGCTAAATGATGGAATTGAGCGACTACCTATTTTGATCAAGAGTACCATAAACGACCGAGGAGAATCGTAATCTTGAACCTACCCTTAAAACACATTTCTTTGCGAATGTAATGTGATCCTATTAATGCTTTTTTAATACTTTCTCAAGACTTTTTAAAAACAACTACCTAAAATTTTGGGGCTGAGGTGTTTTAAAGTACTGCAGATATCTCGTTGGGCCCGTTTGAATGAGTAAGGATACTGGCTCCAGTTTAAGCAGGTCATTTCAAATTTCAGTATCGATTGCCAGTAAACTATTTTTATGAGAGTGTCTTACATTGGACTACTAAGTATTCTGTTATAACTTTGTTGCGAATCATGGTTTTCTCTTAAATTGCTTAATTTTCACGAAATACATCTATCATACACTCCATACTATTATGGTAAAAGTAATAATGAAGCCTTGATGTTTGGGAAAATATATTTTGTACTTTTAGGCACTTTATGGCTTTTAAAATCTTTCGAATGCAGTGTGAAACTGTCTCCTATGTTGCTGCAAATTTCCGAATTGCATTTATCTAGAGTCCACTTTTACCATGAAGGCAAATCTGCTGCACATGTTCAAGACTTTTCATAAAAATAACTTACATGCTTTCTTAAATTTTAAAATTATCGGTTTAAATGAATTGTAGTAAGAAATAGGGATCAGGCTGCTTGAAGATAAACTAACATGAACGAAGAAATTTGTACTACGTTTCTCATTGAACAGCATCAGTACATTGCGTCCGGAGCTGATTTGCCACAAGATCCTTCGCGTCTGTGCCCTCTTTATGCAAGCATGCACAAACAGACCTAAACAAACCTTCGTTTGCGTATGGAAGGAAGCGGAAAGGTAGTTGCATTTGAAAGACGAATCTACCAGTGACCTCAGTTGCGCGTACGTGAGGTGGGGAGATGGAAGGAAAAAAGGGGTAGAGTGGCGCGCGGACAGGGAATGCAGGGGGAGGAAGAGGTAGAGAGAGGGAGAGAGAGGGGGAGACAGGGCAACGCAACGGGAGGTTAAACGACTTGCCAGGCGAGATGTGTACTGGTGGTGGAGGTGGAGGTCGTGGTGGTGGTGGTGGTGAATCCTCCAGAGTCATAAAAATTAACCCCGACTTAACAGTGAAGGAGACGCGCGTGACTCACGTGGAGACGAATATACGCATAACCACCGCCGCGTTGACACTGTCTAGTTGACTCATTCCTCCATCGCCACCCTCCAGCTTATTCTGCTCGACGTCTGCATAATGCGGAGCGGATCACTTAACTCTGCTTCCCCCTACTCTACTGATGACCACATGATTCACATGCTTCATCTCAACGACTCTTGCTAAAAAACTAACGCTTTTTAATACGTGGGCACTTTAGGAATAACGGAACATGCGAGCATAGCTATAGAGATACATAAGTCCCAAAAAGTGAGAGTTTAGAAAATAATAATAATAAATTATGGACAAATTAGCGTTATTACACGTTTTTTTCTAATCAAAAGTAATAGCTAATATGAAGTTAATGGAGCCACTTTCAACACTGCCATTCCTAATACGAACAGTATTTATTGTTAATTTGATAAGTAATGGGGCCTCAAGCAGAACATCATCATCAGTGCAGAAGCACGAGGCTTCATCTAAATCAATACCAGTTCCCCAACACTTTCTTAAACCACATTATTGTACGCCGATCTTTTGTGTTATCATGACTATTCACGCCTTGCAAAATCGTATTGTCGAATTTTAATAGTCATATATTAAAGCCTGTACTTAAATTGTAAAAATATGACAGCCCACCTAAATCAGTTATTCCAATTTCATTCGTAAAAGTATACCCTTTATTAAATGTTTGATAATTTTACAACCTGATTTAGGAAAATTTATTTACCTACACTTTATGATTTTTATAGTTTCTTGGATAGGCATAGGTGATAGGACTTTTCGATGAACCGAATTTACGGAAAGGGATGCCAGCCCAAAGGCAAATCAAGGGCATGTCCTACTTAGCGATTGAAAATCAAATACGGATTCAGGTGCGGATTTTAACCCATTGATAGCATTTCAATGAGATTTTTCTGGATGCATCTATCAAAACGTATTCGCTTAAGAAGTTAACTCTAACTGAGATAAGAAACAGCTCTTGCAAGGGCTGAGTACCTCAGCCTTGAGTTACATGATTGACAGAACTTGTCATGCAGCAGGCTAGCATACGTATGCAGGCATGACTACTCCCATTGGTGTGTATGAATGTGCGTGCAGTTCTGCTTCAGATCCACACGAAAACACCGAAAAATTGAGAAGGCCATCTTTCCTATGCTTGCCCCATTTGAAAAGACGAAGATCACTACAGTTCTTAGTTCATGGATTTTGCTTCGAAAATCCTTTAGTACCAGTTGGCAAGTCATCCAAAATCGCTTTTATCTTTTAAGCTAAATAAAAGTTACAATCAGCTAGTCATATATCAATTCTATTTTCTGTTCATAACATTGAATTATGTCATTCAAAATAAATACCTTGTGCCATTTTTGCAAAAGCAAGATTGCAGCTTAATTAAGACAAATGATTGTTGTCAATTTCTTGATGCAGTTATCCTTACCTTTTTATAAATTCTACATATTAAAGAGTGAACCAGTAATGCGCTAGTGCCTACAATATTTTTACTTACTCATTACAAGCATAAAATATTTCGGTCCCTGTAGTCCTTCCATTACCACGACCAAGGGTCTAAGTAGCAGCATTTTAATAAAATTATTAGTAAATACTAGACGCGTTTGATAAAGGATGACAACTACGGACGCCCACGAATGAAGTAACTAAATAGGCTTTGCTTACTCTGTATCATCTAAAATCATACCAAGCACTCAGTTGTCTTGGTGAGTGGAAATCGACCCGCTTCTGGGGCAAAATTAACTAATCTGCCTAAAACCATTGTCCTACTAGGTTTTAAATAACTTGAATAGGTATTTGCGGTTTAGTCATTTTGTCAATTTAAAATCCAAGATTGAATTAATTGCATTTCGTTTATTCTCAACCTTATTGGACTCCACCTCTTTATTAATTGACTTTTAAAATTTTAAGCACTACCTAATGATTGAAGTCAGTGTGTACGATACGTCACTATTTGGTTTCCGTTAATCATTTGCAAGGCGTAAAATCCACATTAAATGAGTGAAAGGTGCTAAATTAGTTGTTATTGTGCAGCTAATACTGCATGACTAATAACATTGAACCGTCATGTAATAACGCTAGTACTGAGGGTGGCATTTCACTGCTACGAACTTATGATTGTTGTAAATTATTAATCATTACTGCTTTTGATTTCTTAGAAACTGGTTTTTTGCATTTACTTTTGCCTGGAACATTCCCCTCATAATTATTGGATCGCCAGAAATCGAATATTGATTAGGCGTGTGAAAGGCTAAAGTAATGGGATGATTGACACGCCAACACTGTCACGCTTCAGTTGCATAGCATCAGTTGCGTTTATATATCCAGTCTATTACACAAACATTTAAGATTTCACCATGATTTTGGTCTGCAATTCTTGTAGACTTTGGCTTCTTTGTCACAACTTTTGACTTGTAATTTGGTAGTTTGTGTGTTTACGACTGCCATTAAAAATAATTCCACCTCTGCCAAACTTTCGATTATGATAATTTGCTCAGAATTTTAGAACAATTGAGCAGCAATGGTAAAAGGGTTAAATAAAATTTTAAAATTCAACTTACTACCTTGAGTTTTGTTTTTTAGTTAGTTCCACAAAATGTACCGTTACCCACAACATATCACGCGTGTAATATGGCCTTTTGGTAAAGTGATTGTTTTTTTCCCACTATCATTCGGTAAATGAACACTGCACATTAATTAGTAGTCTGTCGGTAGTCATTTAAAAAGTCGTTTAACAGGTAAATCTTGCTCTTACGTGACACTTATTAGGGTATCTCTCCGCTCTCACTTCAAATTATTTAATAAGTTTACTTTTAAGGTTTGAAGAAATTGCGAAACCGCAAACTTTGTCCAAAACGGCTTTTTTAGTCTTTTATTTTTAATTCCCTCACTAATCACTGTACTCTAAGAATGAAATAAATTACAGAATGTGTTAGATTCCTTAGTGGCGGAACTAAAACAAAGGGCTTCTAAAAGTAAAAGTTAGGCTTAATCTATTTTTTTATAAATACAGCACATTTGAGAACAACGAGGCTACTGACCAGTGTTATTGAGTTTCTAATTTAGCTGATTTTTTGAAGGATTACAAAATCTTCACACACTGTACCGTTATGCAAAAAATTTACTCCATTGCGACAGAAATAGGTGGTAGATATTTATAAAATTATTTCTTTTGGAGAGAACCTCCATTTACAATGACTCGCTGATGTTTGTATGTGAATGTAAGCATAACCACTATTTTGGGGCTAACCATTTAGATTATCCTAAATAATAACTTTGATTACCTATCACCTAACCTAGCCACTACTTCCACAAGGTTCTGCGTTGAGTCCGCCTAGGTGTGGTCATCTCATCAATCAATTAAGCACTACATTAAGGAATCCATAATCCTACCTTGCTCTCCTGCACCAAGATATTTCAACTTTAATTTTTTTCATTTAATTAAGATTAAAATGGATTGAGTCATCTGTTTGATTTTCAAAACTGTCGAATTTACAGTAGATGCATCTCTGGGCATATGCATATTGACAAAGATCATTAATAAACTGTCTTGCTTACCACGAGAATTTGATGCGTAAGAACTACGCGATCAATGATTCATTATTTTGATTGATCGGCCGACAAGGATCCTCTTATAACGGTAGTGCAAGGAATGTTTCTCTTGGGCGTGGTTGATAATAAATGTTGGGACAAAAAAATTAAATTTAAATGGCATCATAAAGCGACTCTATAAAGTAGACTGGGCAAAGTAATGAAAATCTGTATAACTACGGAAAATTAGTGAAAGCAGATGCTAGTACCACTTATAAGGGATATTTTAATATAGTTTTTGGAGTTTTTACTGTTGTGGAGAACCATGCAGCACAGCATACAAGTTTTGAAGTTAAATTGAGAATTTTGGTATTTAATTTTGGCTTTGTAATAAAAAACAAGTGAGATAATTTATAAGTCGAGATTTTGTAAAATGGAAGTCAAAAAATAAGTATTAACAATCGAACTTGTTAAAATTCTGTTTAAATTTTAGTTTACGAATTATAATTGAGTTTAGCTGGGAAAAAGACAGGAGGTGAGTTTTCAATCGATGAACCTACATGCAAACTGTTTAATTTTAAAGGTGCAATTTTAGAAAGACCAATTTATAAAAGTTTGGTGTTGCTAGGCCAATGGCTTGTATTGTCAAGCATACTGGGGCAAATAACTGGAGGTTTGTGAAACTAACAACTGATAAGGTAGCTTATGTAGGCATAATCTTGGTTTCAAAAGCTTTCCTTAAATTCAAGAAAATGTGTTCGAAGTAGTCGAAAGTTAATTGCTTTGTGCGCTATTTTATTTTGATTTTAGAATATCCTTTAAATGTTATAGCGTCGAAGTAAACTTACAGCGAAATATAAGTAATATAAACGATTAGGAACAAACTGAAGCGGTATAATCGAGTAATTTAAAACCAGATTTAACCCTTCCACCCATGTACTTTTTAACATACTAATGGATAAATCACCTGGTTAAATAAAATAAGGTAAAGCAAAGGCTGTATTTCAAGAATAATCAAACGCTATTCCTGCCTCGGTGCAACTAACCTTATGCGCATAATTCACCTTAGGCCATAGTATGATTGGTTATTTTCATATCTCCCCCACATTGAATTTGCCAATCCACTGTCGGCATTATGATCCACTAGCCAATCAGACTCAGGTGATTGGCGCAAATCCTCAAATGCACGCGGGTCACGACTTCGACCAATAGAGAGGTGTGAGGAGGCTTTTTCATCTAAACTTATGCCCACATTTCCCTGTGCAGCGAGATTTAACGACCAGTGTGCGTTTTTCCATCTTCAAGTATCTACTTGCATTAAAAAAACATTACGAGATTTTCATATACTTGTATAGACGCACAAAAGCAACCAAAAATAAACCTTACGGCAGGAATAATAAATCTACGCAACGGATACACTTTGACGACTAATAAATCTCCTTCCATAGCTATAAATTTACCTGTCAAATGTCACAGCCGCCTGAAGACTCGGTGAACAATGCAGAGAGGAGGCAAAATGGAACCATTCTAGCTCCATCAACCCTGTGGACTCCTTCAGTTAGTCAGTCCGAACAAAATCTCACCAACCACCTACATCCCTACTATGAAGCTTCAGAACCGATTCCACCAATTACGATTGATTATTCGGGAAATCAATACCCTATGCCACCACCGTTAATTTCGCCACCAACTTCTGTCGAGGACTATCAGAGGAAGAAGCTGTCGCATCCATTTTCCTTACCTTCGCACCTACCACCGTTGGATCCGATGCGGTACCTTCCTCCACCACCACCCCTACCACCTCCCACCCATGGCCTCTCCGACTGTCCCAGTCCACGAGGATTCCTGAACATCCCGAATCCACCAGATCTAAATCTGGGTAGTCTTCCCTACTCCCAACCGCTACTTCCTCCTCAAACTGCACGGAGCAATGGAAATGACCACAGTGATGAAGGGGATTGCACAGTGGATGGTGATAGCAATTCGGGTGGTGAGTTGCTGTCTGTACTTTATTCCCCTTACTGTTTATCTTCAATAACCAGTTCATTTGGGCTATACCACTGTTTTATTATTAGGTTTTAACGCAGATTATATTATTGAAATGGTACTCATTTTACTTTAGACTTGGGCATGAATGTCAGTGTTTGATTGATAATTCTCTTGTGTGATGATCGAGGCACTTTTTAAACATCGACTAAAATTTTGCACCAGAAAACATTAGGATCTGGTTGATATCCATCTGCACCTTAAAATATGCGCGTACGTTTTCCTCGCTTTCTCCTTAATTAACGAAAAGCGGCTCTAAGAAAGCGCAGGAGTAACTCGGTAACCTTTCGCCTAATTTGGCTTTGGACTCATGCATTGTTTAAAGCACTCACTTAATCGCATTGTACTCCCGAAACTTTGCTTGATGTATAAAGTCCTTATTTCTTTGGTGAAGTAATAATGCGTACTCAACAGTGCACACCGTTCACGTAGTTATCGTTTACATTCTTTGCACTTTGCATCAAACTTTTGCCTAGCCGATGTCGTGAGGCTTCAATGTTACTTTAGCGGCAAACGTTTGCGTGAGTGATGCTGACCACGTACTAGAATGTGTATTGGAATGTGGAGAGTCTCGATTTATTGAACATTGACTTCGTTCTCTGGCTAACGCCCAGCATTTTAACAAAAAAGTGAAACAATTAGTAAGACGTGCATTTAATTACATTTCCTTAAAATCACCACTACAGGTTAAGCAAAGTAGAATGATCTGAAGATTGGAATAACCTTTCACAATGTCTTTGCTGCCCAGCTTAGATCTTGACAATTTTTAAAATTGTAGCTCACCTATAGGCAATCACTTATTTCATTTCTTGCGTGTTTTGACCATTGGAGTCATACCTGGTTTCAATATTCCAATAAAAGTCTATCAGCTACCTCCTAAGGTCAATCTACTTGTTGAGACATTTCAGCATTGGCCAGTAGCAAGTTTAATGTTTATTTTCTAGAACATATTTTTTATGCTTTCGACGTTTAGTAATAGTTAAATCCACAGGCTGTCGTCTTGTAATAGATGGAAAGTCACGGAAGAAAAGAAAGCCCTATTCCAGGTTCCAAACCATGATTCTGGAGAATGAATTTCTCGGGAACGCTTACATTACGAGGCAAAAGCGGTGGGAGATATCTTGCAAGCTGAACCTCACTGAACGACAGGTAAGGGTCTTTCCTACGAATGAGTTCTCTAACTTTGAACTTCCATTTATAATTTCACTTTGCAAACATCTCTGTGTGTTGAAAATTGAATAAAGTCATTGTTAGAGTTAGGTCGTTTGAATAAGTAAACGATAGTCCAGTTCTGAGTTATTAGTGATGAAAATGGTTGCAAAGTTTGTTTCCAGAATGTCACTATCCAAACACCAGATCTTTTTCAATTGTCTCTATCATTGTCTTAGTATACAAAGCGCGTCAACTGTTCAGGCGGACTGCTTTGACGGTTGATTTTCGTATATGGCACACCCTAATCACCTAAATATACTGTCATATGAAGCTAGACCTCTGTTGGCAATACTATCCCAATCTGTTTGATTAAATTTCAAATAAACTACCTTATTTCCAAGTTTTTTAGTAGGTGGCTGCTTGTTAATTAAAATATACGCACTTAAGGACATACATAACTCTCAGTTTTTCTGTAAAGCTAAGAGGTGGGTACCTATCTAAAAAGAAAATCAAATGTCTCTCATTCAGTCTACATTAAATGTGCAATTGCGATTGTCGTATTCATGAGGTGTTGTTCGTACAGAATACAAACAAGTGTGAAAACTAGTGTGGACACTGTAGTTCATCGTAAAATAACTTACATTTTGGACTGTCGGAAATATTGGATGCAACAGTGCGCCAAATATGACAAAACTATGGTTGACACCTTCCTTTACTTGACGAAAAAAATTATCCAAAATGGTACCTAGCGTATCGTTAACTCCTTCTTTTTGTTAACACGATCAGATGTAAACAAAGGTTAGATTTAATCAATCGTGATCACAAATTCAGATATTCAAACACCTGTTTTTTGCTCACCAGACACTTTTCCCCAAATAGTGCGTTCACCAACGTATCAATTTCAAAAACTATCTACATGAAGTGTTAATGACGGTGAGATGTTTGTGTAATCTCATTCCACTTTCTTTCGTTGAATTCATCCCAAATTTCTTCTGATTGAGACTCCTGCAACGATTGCCCTTCATTTAGTCATACAGGACGTATCGAAGTGCCAGAATTGTGTATCGAATGCCGAGAACAAAGGTCTGCCATATCAAACGACGGCTTCGGGTTACGCGCTGTAAGCAATCAAGGGGTGACTGGGAAATGCTAGAAGCTTCGCCTCAGTTTCTAATCATAAATGACCACACAAATCAACAAAATACGTCAAATTCCTTTTGGAAACTGAGACGAGTTTCATCTTTAACGTGGAGCAAACATAACAGACTACTTAAAATCCCAAATCAAAGATTTATCAAAACTGAACATATAGAACCACCACCTGAATTTTATAACGAGATTCAAGAATACCCACGTGTTCAAATCAGAAATGTGGGCCTACTCATTCCGCAACTACCCCCATCCACCACAGGATTTATCGTGACATCTGTGCTGTGATCATGTAAAGAATTAACCCTCATAGTCTCCTTCTATCCCTTCCTTCCCCCATTCCCATGTGACTGACCCGCATCAAGGGGACGTCCGCCCCTGTGCCCGCTTGAGCAGATTCATTACATGGGCTCTCTTAACACCCTCGAACAACCTGTCTGTTCAAAGCAGACACTTGCCATTATGCTTCAAAGTTTAAGTCCTCGGTTCCCTTATTGTTCCAGTGGTAGGACTGTAGTTAGATTTTTGTAAACTTTCTTTAGGTGAAGGTATGGTTTCAAAACCGCCGTATGAAGAAGAAGAAAATCCAGTCTAGAGCTTCCGGCTCTTCTACTACAGGCACAACAGCGGAGAACAGCAAATCCCCCCATGCCGAAGACAGTGACGACGAGAGCGAGTGCGCTGATCACTCAACTCACCAAGTGCTACCCCCACGACTATCCCTTGAATCTCCTCTTTCTCCATCTGAACAGCCAGTCTCCATCAGCTATCCTCATCCCGTTCCTCCCCTACTGCCTCCTCCTCTTCCGCCTGCTTCACAACCGAAACAAGACGGATTCTACTTACCCAGCGGATACTTGCCGTGTCCTCCACCTATTCCATCTACTTCCTCCTCCACCTCGTTTGGAGCTCTGCGTGATATAAGTGCCGGCTATCCGTCGTCTACGTCTGAGCTGTATTCCATGCCTCCGAACCAATTCCTGGCTTCACAAAATAATTGGTTTAATTCAGAGGCGAATGCAAGTAGTGAGAACAGCAGCCCCTCGATGGCGGGTCTATTGGGCAGCACTAATGATCCCGGTAGTTGCTTATCGCAACTCGGTAGTCCACCAAAACAGACGAACGGATTGGGGCGGTATGCTACAGTTGTAACTAATCTGCTCGATAACACTGCTGACCATGCACGAATGGGTGAGTACCAGACAAACTCGCTCAGTACGTATCTATCGCAGGCCGCCTATACACAAACTACGATGGCTTTCTATGAGTCTGGTCAGACAGGAGGTGGAGAAGTGAATGGCGGCGGCGGCGGCAGCAGTTACCACCATTTCCAGAGTGGGTTGTCAATGATGGGAGGGGATGGCGATGCACCATCGTTTGATTACGATGGCTACTCTTCTGCACTCGCACCACCGATGCAGACAGGCGTTCGAACCAGTGGAGTATGAACCAGGCATGGGTGTCCGTCCATCCATCGCATTAGTGTACAAAATGCATAGAATTATAATCATTTTTTGTTACATCACGCCAAACAGGGTATCCCTTATTTGTAGTATGTGTACTTTCCCCAACCCTTTGTGTACAATGTTTTGAGACGTCAGTCGATTCACACAAGCTATGAATAATGAAGATCTATTATCTTTGAGGAATGGGCTCCAAGGGAATAGAGTACTTACATAAATGGCACCAGTCAGTATTTGAAAGTGTTAATTACCATGACTAAGTTTATGTGAACATTGTTTTATGCCTCTTGCATCTCACAATGTAACACTGATAGTAGACGGATTAGTCATTGGTTTTTTAATCCATGACTTTCGTCATCAGGAGTTCAACAAAAGCGTAAAGTTCAATATGTTCCCTAAGATGACCCAACATTCGCAAATGCGGAACCAACAACAGTGCCTTTATAAGGGTCCTAACAAATGATTCACTTATGGTTAAATGACTTCCAATTCTGTTTTAGGCGCATTCTCAGCAGATGTCAACAGGAGTAGCCCCTTTCCCCTTAGTTCCATGGATATTCATTAATAGATCTTATTGAAAGAGCATAAATGGGCAGTATGTTCTGTTAGTACTTGACCAAGAACCGTGGCCATGTTCTCTAAATTCGATCAATTTAAAATATTCTAGGGAGCCGAATAAAGTTCGCAAATGTCAACCCTTATTCTTCTCCAAAACATGCATCCCTTTTTCAGAACAAATGTATCAAAATAAATTTACTGAGGGACTCTTAGTCGAAATTCGAATGCACCTAAAGTATATCAGAAGTATGACTTCCGAAAAATATTATAAACATTTCGGATCTTGTAGATGCCTTCTGTGGTTAGATGAAGATACTTGGGACACTAATTTTCTGCAAAGTGGTACGTAAGATACTTTGTTAAGTTATACAAAATTAACATCTATGCAGTGACTGGCCGTCATACTGGCCCACAGGATACACTTTTACGAATTATGATCCGCATTACACTTTATTTACATCTGTAGCAACAAAGGGATGATTAAGACACATCATGAGTGCTCCATAAAAAATTACATTCACGACAATAATGCCTTTACAGGAGATTGTATAGTCTTGCAACATGGGCACGGATCTGTGAAGAGATGAGCCTCTTGACTGTTGTTTTATGCCGGCCATTAATTAGAGGATCTCCAATGATCAGCTATCCCATAATTTCGTTTTCATGCAAAAAACTTAAATATCAGCCATTTTTAACGATGCCAAAATTATAGGTACCTTTTGATCCAACTAATATCTATATGTTATGTTCGTGAATGCACTGAAAGGATAATCTAAGCAACAGTTTGTCTCTTTTCGCTATTTCAAAACGTATGCTGCGTTAATTTCTGAGAAATTTATTCCCCTAGGACTCGTAAAATTCAGGGTTTTGTCTTTCGCTCCTAAGGGCAACAAAATGAGTTAAAATTAATTAGATTGAACAAATAGTAACAGTGCTGTTGATTGAACCAAGACGAGTGGTAAAGTTGAGCACTTTAAAACAGTTCCCCTCGTTAGTAACTCCAAACACTGTTTTAACCAACTCGAATAAGTCAGTTATCGAAACTGAATGCGCTCAACATTTGAGAGGCAAACGAAAGTGAGAGAGTGTCGTTTGAACGTACCGCCAGATGCTGAAGCTCGGCACCAGCATACATTGAAGCTCACCCCACCTCTCTACCCAATTGCGCACGCCCGATATTTATGCGATTTTTATTACCTTTCTCAGTGGCCGGCAGACTATCACCCCCACCCCCTTGCCTGGGCCTCGTATTGATCGCCAGCCCGCCAGTCGCCCTGCTTCGTCTCCAAGCCGGGCCTACTGACGGCACACAGAGCTCAGTCCCATCTTTGACCTTATTCTTTTTTGCATCTTTGCCCAGTAATACCAGGTAGTGTGCAATGTTAACTGACACTGGTTCATATATTCATGCTGCTTCTTAATCTACGTACATGCCTTAGTATTAAAAAAAGTTTTAAGTTATACCCTAGAAACTACGACTAAATCCGATTTGAAATAATGAGTGGTACGTTTTGCCCGAAGGCAAGTGTCTTCCATTGAAAAATCACCAAATCTATTAAACTCCATTCACATGGGTTTTAAGTCGGCAAATCTGCTGAAGAAGTCTTAACTTTCCACAGATCGGATAATCGTCTCCTAATAGTGGTTAAATTGCTTTGTTTATTAAAGACAATGCTAATAGGTTGCTTGTTTCATTATTATCGTAAATTGGTTCTGCAGCAATCCATTCAAATTGTAGAAAAGCCACATATTTTTTATCTTTTTATAATGTCTTAGAGGTCTACCGCGGAAAAATAAGAAACAAAATTAATTGGAGCTGTATTGTAGGCCCACAGGAGATTGAGTTGAGCAAAGTTCCTTATTAGAGTTTTCAATTAGTTAAAAATCTAGATTTTGCCCAGATTTAAATTGTTAAATTTTGAATGAATCGTAGATAAATTTTCAAATAATCCTTCTAATTGTGATTCATTCGAAGCGAATGTCTATCATATTCTGAGCTCGCGTTGCAACACAAAAGAGACAAAGCCTCCAAGTGTGTCACACAATCACTAGCTAAAATGTTCTTACTATTACTGTTTTCTGTTAGCCTTTTTATATTTAACGGGGTGTGATTTCAATCAAACAATGTATTACCGTTGTCAAATGATAATTGCATTTTAGTGGTGATATAGGATGATAGATAATGAAGAACCATAGCCGAGGAGTCCATGACATTGTGTCGCTAAAAAGGCCAGGAAGGAAATCGATAAGAGCTCCATGGACAGTCGCTAAGCTGCATTACCAATCTGTTAGGATAAGTGTGTTTCTCTCCCCCAACCCCTGGCTTGACAGCTGGCGTGGAGATGGGGAGCCGAAGGGGAGGGGATGGAGGAGGTAATAGCGTCCACACCCGACCTCGACCCGTTGTTTAAGCAGCACATTTCCCACACTGAGCGGCCGACAACAGGCGCCCAGCTACATGTACGCGCATCCACTTCAGTGACTTATCGGTTGCGCTGCTCGTAATACGGCGGAGCTTATTTCTGAGCCAAATCGAAGCAGCCGTCTCTATCGCGGGTTCACGCCACAGTGAGCTTAACCGATGGTGACCGACGAAAAACTACAACCAAGCCAGTTCAGCGTGGAACACTTCAAATAGGCATAGGTGAATCTGCGGGATATTTTAGGGGAATTTCCATTATCAACAGTTAAACGATTTTGAGGTAAAGGTTTTGACCAATTTCTAGGGGTAGAATGTGAGAAGGCGAAGTTCGGTAGCTAAAGCTATGGAGTTGCGCTTTTTAGTTTTTATTCTAAGTCTTAGCCAGAGTATAAATAAAAAGGCAGGTAAAGGCAACGAAATACACCACAAGGTTTCGGAAATTTGTGACGGCAAAAAGATGGTAAACAAAAACCCGTTGGTATGCCCTGCTATTTAGAATAAAATGCAGTTTTTACATTTGAGAGGGGTTTAGACCCATCTTATAACTTGTTTTCAAGGCTTACTTTTGAAAACTGTACTTTTTTAGAAATTCTACAATTATTTCCTATGGATTATATTCTTTTAGTATATTTATTAAAAATGCATTACCTGCTTCTTAGGAATATTAATTCAAAGATCTCTAAAGCTTTGACATAGGATTGGATTCGTAATTATGATACCAGACTACGACATAATATAGCCGTTCTGACGCCCAGACAGGCACCTCAATTAGGTTCTTTGCCTTCCTCAAGGCCTTCTTTACTCGTGAACGCGTATGTTTGAAACTTACTGGTGATGATGTTCTGCAATAAGACACAGTGGATAAAATAAATGAATGGTGCTGAGTTTGCATGAATTTCTCCTGGAATTGTCCGGTAAAAGTAATAGCCTAGCCTACAAAAAAATTAAGAGATTTTAAACTTACGTTTCCCTCAGAATTCAAAAAAAACTTCATGGTTCAACGAAGGCGCCCATCGCTGCGATGGTAGACTTGGTAGATTTTAAACTTGAATTTCTTTCGTGAAGCTTCTTTACACCAAAATGTCACAACTTCATGTTTTCCCTCTAGACCTCAGCTCTTTTCAAGACTTTCGGATTTTTCTCATCATATAACTCACTCATTAATATTTTCATATGAAATATGGATTTGCCACCCTCGACCCACCCGGAACTTTTCTGTAACAGCGGTAAATCGAATACGCACCTCATGAATAAGCTAAGCCGTTCAGACTTAGCATAATTGAACTTAAATGCAAGTTCAATTTACTGGATTTAAAGGGAACCAAAGAGTGGTGGTGCTAGTTCAGGCGGTAGCGGTAGTGGCGGTGGTGCAGATGATGCTGACGGCTACTGGGTGTTAGTTGCGACGCGTTTTATGGCTTGGGTCGTCTCTGACCATTGGTTTGGCAGTGAATAACCGATGACCTCTGTTGGCTCGTGCGTTTTGTGTACCTGTATGCTTACTTCTAAGCAAACGCGAGGATGTTTGGATGAAAACCTCTTCCACTTTGTTTCTTTTTGAAGAAACTAATTTCAAAAAGAAGTTATTAAATGGGCTCATAAGGTGTTGCTATAGCAAATATTCGCCAATTTATGTCGCGACTGCTAACTCCAACTGCCCACGCATTGTAGGCAATCAGGTGAGAAAAATCACGCACCTATTTCCTTATGGACGAAATGAAAATGAAACCCTCTTGATGAGCTGTGTGGATGTTTGTGAACGTTCATGACTAAAAAAACCTTTTAGTCATCAATTTGATGCCTTTTTCCATTCTCTGCATGTTGCAACAGACGGATCTAAGGAAAGTAGTTTGTCAGTGGCGTGATTCATTATCCGCTTAATTTAATTCAAGTAAGAATGCTGAAAACGCAAGATGTCGATTACAATTGCTTTTACTATAATCTTAGGCGGGATAATGATCATCACATTCTAGTATGTACCCCCTTTGGTTGCTAGACCATCTGACAAACGCGTGAGATAAATCGAATTTTGACTCGTTTGTAGGTGTGTTTGCACCACGACCCCGCCATTACTCAGAGCTTGCAGTTGTTGGATTGGTGATGGAACACGTGTTTTAGCGCAGAAACCACGACTCAAGTTGTGCCACACGTGATTTAGACGAATGGGATCCTATCCAACTCTCCAGCCTCGGCAACACATTAAGCGAAAATTCATAGATATTTATCCCATTCACTTTTATCAATGCATTGACCTGAAAAGTATACTATTCCAGATTTGGCTGAATAAAATAGGGGACATTTTGATTTCCCCACAATGATTCCATGAAATAAATTAGACAAATTTCAAAAAATTACCATTTCGTTAAATATGACAATGAATTGTAGTTACAGTTGCTAAGAAATTGGTCAGCTTGACAGTGTATGGATTGTGCAAAATATGAGCGGTTCCCTGCAATGCAGTTTTATGGAATAGAAACAAATTTTTACAGTACGTGGCTCTAGAATGTTTAACTATGGTATGACTACCTATGTGAACATCAAAGTTCTTTGCGTGATTTTAAAGTCACTTTGTGCATGGTTTGAACAGATGGCATTTCTCTCCTTAACACAAGATAAATCCACTTTTATCGACAATCATCTGGTCAGAAATAGAACAATTCTTTTAACACTAGGAGGGCGTGGAAAGAAAATAAGTGAGATGCGATACATGTCACACACGCAACTAGTTCAAAACTCATTAATCCGAGCAGCGGTTGAAAGAGAGAAAGCTGTTCATTAAAATCACTTTTGACCCAATGAACCGAGATAAGCAGAATTTCCTAAGAATAATTGTGCCCTGAAATGCATGGATGGGGAGCACTATAAAGACATCCTCACAAGCGGCACAATCCCCATACGTTTTATTTCATATTATTGGAAAGTAAACAATCACCCACAATAACGCAAAGTTACGATTACTGGGTCGTATCGTCTATGAAGGTGGTTATTTAAACGAAGACCTAAGGGTAAGTTAATCCTACCATATTTGCGTCATTATAATTCGAATAGGTTATTATTGCGTGACACATTAGTACTTAACTAATAATAATAATTCCTATTCATTAGTGATTTTAGAAAGGTTCTGATGCTATGTAAAATGCTTAATTGAAAATTAACACTCAGTCTTCTTAATATCGTTAAAAAATTCAAAAAGCTAGTTTACAAAATGTCCTATATCCACTTGCCTGTCTATCTACGTATCTATCTCAAAATATGTAACAAAAGCGCGAATCCCTTTAGTATTAATGACTTATCAGAAAGCTGCGTTATGTTCATGCCATTATGGCAGTTGCAAATTCAGCGTAATGCAAATAGTTAAGGCTCCGATTATCTTTTAGTGCAAATCCAGTGGGGTACAAATGAAACTTAATGAGTGATCACACTTACTTTAAAGATAAAATTTGGTCTAAAGGACATATTGACATTAGCTGAACTGAAAAGAATATAAATTTGCTATTTGACTAATGCCAATCTGATCTTCGAATTTCGGCATGAGGCTCTGCCTTGGCAGTAAAAGTACATCTTAAATGTTACTGACATAAAATGAGTAGAAAAATTGTATATAGTTCCCACTCCCAAGCCATGATTAAGTGACTTGAAAATACGGCCCATTTGACTATTTTTACCTAGGATTTTCAAAAACCAGTCTGCACTATGCTTACCTTGAAGTTTGGCTTATTAGAATCAAGAATCACGAAAATTGCGCATAATTTTACATGTCACATATTTATAAATGGATCTGTTCACTTAAAATTCACCAAATTTTCTGCAGAAAATCGCATGAGCGCAAACGAAAACACCTATATATATCAAGCATACGTTACACCATTGCTAAGTGGTTTTTTATTTGGATGAAAAGGACATTACGAGGACAAAATATAGCATGTAAATATGTAACCATTTTATTGCATTATTTGCCTTGAGTACATTTCTGGCCTATCAAAATGAATGCTTGCGTGATGCGTTGTTCACATAATTACCATCTAAAGAGATAAAGGGCTACACTGAGGGGCCATCTGTCAAAAATACAACTTCTTACATATTCGAATGATTAGTGAAAACCAAATCATTTAAGAGGATGTATCCCAATTCTCCTTTTAACTTTCAGCTTTTATTGGGCAGAAGATTAAAAAACTTTTGGGTTTTACGAACACTTGCGAGGCGGAAATTAAACACTGAGGTAGACCGCCGAATCAAAGCCAAATTTGTTTTGTAAAAATTGAACGGCCTTGTAGTTGAACTTGTTCTAAGTCCTCTTCGGGTACCGAATAGAATGCAAACTAGCAGAAGACGATCTTGACATATGTGCTAAAAATTACCAAAGAAATCCTGTGCCTTGACATATTGGAGGAGAACTGTGGATCTGGCAACCCGATGCATCTTTGCATTGAATTTAGCATGGCTAAAAATTAACTCCAAGCCCATCCATTTATTGGCATGATTCCGATTTAAAATCCAAAGTTCCAAAATGATCTCAAATCACAAGTTTAGCTTTAGGTAAGTTTCTTGACAGATTTTTGCGCCATTTACAGTTGCATAATCTACGTCATTTTTACTAAGAAACGCTATTTACAACAATTTCTTTCGTTACAGCTAACTGCAACACCTTTTTATGCGTTGGACTCGGTAAGACAAAGACGCTTAATATAGTCAAATAAGCGAGTTAATAAAACTCCTGGCGAGTAATTTCTGCTCTTTAGAAAGTGAAAAGGCAATCTTTATTAGTGATCCTATTTGATAACCAGGTGAAATTTAATCTGAAGAAAGGGTGTCTAATGGCACCAATAATCATCAAACGGTGTTGACTCAAGCAGTGACTACTCGTCCGGAAAGTGTTTTGTCAATCTAATCCATTTAGTGATGTCCCAAAAGTGCTTCCTTCACATATTTATTGCTAATTTCGAGAAACTGGCTGGGTAGTATACTAAGGAGTCAGAGCAAATTCAATGATGGTAATCAGTTTTTGTGAAATCAAAGTAAACACTGGTCATGAATTTTAAATTACATGCTTCAGTAAGTTGATGTGATTTGCCCCATTCTAACCAGTAAGTAAATTGCGCTACTGCATAAAGCGTGGGCTGATCTCTAGCATATTTTCTTTGACTGGCTGAGGGCACTGACGATTCTTCGGAAATTTGGTCTGCATATTCAACCTTCATTTAAGTGGAAATGAAATAATAAGTCTACCAAGAATATCAATCTGGTACCAAATTGCTTTGTTTAGCATCTTTTATACTAATTGTGGTAATTCAGTGATGTATGGTCGACTTTTGGAGGTTTCACATCGGATAGTGACCAACGATCCGTGAAAATAACGAAAGGTATTGTTCATTATCGAAATAAAAAATTTGTGGTTTAGCTGATTCGAAAATTTTGTGGTGAATGCGTCATTACCCATATTTTTTTCGCAAAGTGCTCCTACACCTCTCTAAACAACAGTCATAAAAATTTTGCTTTCGATAAGCAACGTAAAAACACATAAACGTTGGCGCTGATAAGTCGTGTTATTCGATTTCTGTTTGATCTGGATCAAAATGTGCCAATCCAATTAGAATTACTACCGAGAAGCATTTCGTGAAGATTCATTCAGACTTGCTGATGCATTAGGCATGAACGAATATAGGCGCCACTGCAACAAACTGGGGAGACACTTTTTCATTACGAGTTGTTGAGGCAAATTTTGCATTAGCATTTTGCAAAGGCTCAGGTATTTAGGCTCGTTGAAAAGCAGATCATTACGTATTTCACACTTAAATTCAACATAACTGTGAAGCTTGTATTAGACGAAGCGGACCCGCATAAACAAAGGAATTTTTTAACGGGTACAATTTTAAGCACTTTTTAAATGCTTATTAAAGTATATTGAGGATTCAATCCTGTGATAAAACAATTTATAGGTGGAGTCAACTTCACTAACCTGCAAGAATGATAATACACGGAACTTTGATTAAAGTGCAGAGGAAAGTGATAACCTAAAGACAGATAGTCAGACTTGACGTCTCCGACACAACATAATCGTCTGCTGGTCGTTTGTCAAGCACCTCTCCATGTCTACTCACGACTCGAAAACGGCCGTCTAGAGATACGGCAAACTGTATCATGTCCCTAGGACCGCGCCTGTGAAGACAGAAATGAATTCATTGCTTGTTCCATTCCAAAGCTTCTAGGTGTTGACTCGGCTTCCTAGGCTTTGTTAGGCTGCAGTTTAACAAATCCTTGGGCCAGAAGACACTTTACTGCCTAAGTGCATTGACCAAGGAACGGCCGTCTTCCATCTGAGAATTGTGTATTCATTGTCAGATTGGATTGCATGACAGGTTCAAATGAATGCGATGGTAAATATATATATATATAGTATCTCAGAACCTCACCTCACACAGTACTTAACTCAGTTTTGTTCCATCTTTTAATAATTTCTATTCATGGAATGAGTCTTAAGTCATAGATTTGATTGCATTTTTGTCTTGTCTTTACTGTTGGGTAACCTTAAAGCCTGCGTATTCAAAATAACAAGCAGCATCAAAATGAAGTAGGTGCTTTATCGATATTAGGTCACTGTCGCGTCATCCGCAGCATTCAACAAAACCCCTAATCATGCATGAAATCTTAATGTTTACCCTTACAGCCTAACTTTTGCAAGCGTAAAAATATTCCTAATCATTCAGTTAAGTGCCTTTACGCGTTGATTCTTTCCAGCTAAAGTCACTCCCACTTTCATCCATTACCTATTAAATCATTCAGACAAACTGGAGTCAATTTTCACTGATCCCCTTAAATATCATTTGACAATACCACCCAATGAGGCGCCATTAAACTAGTAAGTAAAGTTCACAATGTTATTGCTAAGTTGTAAAATTACCGTTGGTTCGGAAAAAAGGGCTTCTCACTTTCCAAGTACACCAATTGGGGACATAGTATCACAAATGTAATCATGATTCGGTAGATTTGAAACTTTTTAAATTACTAATCAAGCTACTTTACGAAAAAAGGATATGACAAGCTTTGAAAGTAAAAATATTCATTTTTGGTTTACAAAGAAACAAAAACCTACCTATTGCATGACCAACTTTTGATTGTCAGGTGCAAGGATCACTTTTTGTTTGCATTTTGGGCTTCATTTCTTACACATATGTGGTTTGAAGCTGCGAACGAAAGGTTTGAGTTTTACTTTGTTTTTCAACATAAAAAACCAAATGGAGTAATTCTGGAAACCCGTCAACTTGTTTACACCATAAAAATAACAACAGCGTTCGGTGCGTGTCTCATGTAAAGCCACGAGGAAGGCATAATACCCTTACAGCTGCTACATCATCAAGCACAGTTAAAATCAGTTGCATTCATCCTCTCTTAACAATTTTCCTCGGACTCATGCAAATGTAGGCATAATTTCATCTAAAAAAGCATTTTACAGTAGTGCCTCAGGGATGATATCTGCACCCATTAAGAGCACCGCTTTCACATCAATGCGGTCTCGCCGCACCGTGAGAGCTTAGTCGTCCATCCTAGAGGCAATAATGCTTTTCAAATTCACAAACCTAGAACTTGAAAAAGAATCCTAACTTCTATTGGAGTTAAGCCATCTTACTTTAAACCGTTGATTCATAAGATCAAATCATGACTCACATATTTCGGTTGAGTAGTACACTTATAACTAGCCTAGATTAACGGTTACGAATGTTTGGGGCTTATCAATTTATCGCGTAAAACCTTTTTTGTTCCGTCTGTACATTATCCCAAAAATGACTTTAATGATTTGAAGAAATTTGTAGCGAATAAGTATAGAAATTACATTATTAACCAGCGTACCGACAAAGATACATTGTGAACATTTTCAAACAAAATATCCCGTTCACAGAAACCTTTTCTTACACGGTAAGTATTACTTTAGTTAACTTCGAAAATCTACCCTAAGCATAAATTGTAAGCAAAAATCAGTGAATTATTGTTTTACCGAAAAAACCTGACTAATCAGCTCACATCTACCCTAAGATGAGATGACAACGGCCTGCCTTAAATACCTTATCTAGTTTTGGAGAAACCTCTCACTGCAATATAGTAATGCTAGTGAGCATGAGAAATAAGGTTGTTTCATGGGTAGCAGCAGCCACGTCTCTAACGTTCAAGTGTCACGTGTTTAAAATAAAAATCACTAATTTTTTACATGTGATAGAAGTGAGTAGCACATGTGGGCGTTCCGCTCCAGTGTCACAGTCATTTTTAAATATTAACGTAGGTGCTGACTTCTCAGTAGATCTAACCCATTCTTGCGTTGATTTGACGCAAATTAAGGTACTGTTTAGGTGGTTTTGCTCGGGCCACTCCTCTTGAAACCGCAGCGCCAGGATTCAACAGCATGCCTAAGTTAATTCCGTATTCCCGTGGAGAGATTGAAAGCTCGGGCCTTTTCAGCTGCGTCCATGATGGCAGTGCCTGTTCCTCTGTAAGCATGCGTGTGGTGAGGCAGACGCCACCGTGCGCACTCGGTCTGGCCACATTCAATATCGACCATACAGGTCTTACATTTACTCTACTTATTTTAGACAATTCCCCTAAACCAATTAACCCTCAACACAAGTGCGCATATTCCAGTAAGTACAGTGTGTAAACTGTTATATTTTGTTTTCTTCTGTACAAAATTTCCCGAGTCCGTGAGGGTTGTTTATAGATGACTGACAGGAACCAGGCCGAAACGATTAACCTTCTCCCAACAGTATTTAGATCCCTATATTGTCCATATCATATATGATCTATTTTCGTTGCAGTGCTACTTTTGCATATTACAGCCGCGGATAATGACTTCAAAACGTTACGCTTTTATTGACTAATCATTTTACTTCCCTAGTTATCTGGAGCCCATGGTATGGGCCGATAAGTGTGGCAGATGTGTCCAGCGTAAACATGATATTCGGACTTCATTGCAAATGAGGATTCTTGATTGATGTATAGGCAAAAATCTTTATCATAATAAATTTTATGCACTTGTACACACAATATTCGTAAAAAACTGGAATATTCTAGTCTTTTTCGTTTTGGGACCCAAACAGATAATCAAATGAGGGCGTGATACCTGGCAATAGCATACAATCACAGACACAAAATCGCCTAATTTGACGCCAGATCCTACCAGTAAACTCGCCAATAAAGAGAGACAAAGAAGGCCGTGCTTTCATCAGGCGCCATGATGAACTTCTGCATATCCCCCCTCCCCCCCAATATCTTCTAGTCAAGAAAATCCCACTTTTACGTGTATAACGAGAACTGCAGCCACCCAGCTTGTACCAAAAAGGTACCAAAGGCGTTTTTGGACTCAACCTCAGTCTGCCCTTTGGACTAAAAATGCCTTAGTTACCATATTAATCACAAGTGACAAAAACGGTGAATCAAGTAGTGCTAATACATTTATAGCCCTCATTAATGTGATTTTCCGAAAGAAATGAAGTAATTTTCCTTCAGAATTCAAGTAGCTTGTGCGAAAGGACTAAGAAGCCACCGAGATGGCCCGAAGGTCATGCCGCGAATCACAAGCACGACCCGCGGACACGCCTCCGCTCAGTTCAGCATGCAGTTAAACAAAATTTCAGAATAAATACAATACTATTTCATGCCCCCCAAAATGTCATTTTAATTCAGTATCCATATGCCCCAACCCTAACATTTACTATCAAAAGTTCAGATGTGGTTTCATCAATCCGTCAATCGGGATGTAAGCTTGCCTCCAGGTTACACGCCAAAAAGAAGCGTCATTATGCCCCTTTAAACTACAATGACTTACTAACCGCTATGGTAACATTAACTTGTTAGTATAAAGTAGGATATTGAGCATTAAACAAGTCGAAAATAAATAAAATGTTGTCCGTTATAGAACTTAGACTATTTTTGCAAGTTTTGAAAAAGTAAGCTGGAAATTTTTAATAACCTGCTCCAGTGTCAAATATCGGTGTCGCAAAAACAGGCCAAAATCTAGGATAATAAATATCTTTTGCATTCCCAATTAATTTTGCCTGCAAAACAGTCTTAGAAATTTTAAGTATTATTTCGTGGTATAGCTGATTGTAAATTTTGGAATTAATAATGGCAAAATCAGAGGATTATTTTACATTACAGGTATTTGAGTGAGTCAGATAGTGGAGTGTGTAGGTTACTTGCATTCCGCGCGTTTTTGCGTCTGAGCGAGCTGTCGTTCTGCTGATTATGTGTGGCCGTCGAATGCTTGGTGTTTACAAGGCTAAATTTCTTGAATGTCTATCTTTATTTCTTTCTACGTAGTTGGTGCAGGGAGGTTGCCGTTGAATAATGCATTACGACTGCGTACACGGTTCCCCTGGTGTGTGCACTTTATTGCTGTCCTGCTTTCCTCTACTGATCACATGCTCTCTCTACAGCTCTTCAACTCTTAGCGAGCATGTTTCGGAAAATATCATACCATTTTCCTTTCCCTTGGCTGCGTATACAGCAACCATTCCACCTGACATTGGTCCAAATTACTACATTTCAGCCAACGAGCCTCGTCTCGGTGTTCCTGAGCCTTTTAATGGCCGACCCTCAGGAACTGTTGCTTTCTCCATTCTCGGAACTTCAGAAATTCAGTCTTTTTTTTTGGCCGAAACAGCCAAACTCGGTGGCTTTTATTTTCTTCGTCTGAGAACTACTCATAGTGCTGAATTTAATGCTAGAAAACAGTCTGTTTACTCTTTTGATGTTCGGGCTGCGTTTCAATCGCAAAAAGTTGGTGAAAGATCCTCAATATACCTCTCTAATAAGACTCATATTACTATCCGACTCATTGACCGAAATGATAACTGTCCTTTTTTCTCCCAAGAGGTATTTCAGCTAACCGCATTTGAAAATGCGACGTTGTTTACTAAAATCGGCTCAGTATCTGCAACTGATGCAGATTCAGGAATCAATGGCCAAATCTACTATTTTCTTCAACCAGAACGTATAATGGTCCCATTCCGTGTCGATTCACGCTCTGGGAATATTTTTCCTACAAAAAGTCTCGCAATTAAACGTAGTCGGTCTACAAGCATAGAACAAATTACTTATTTGTCCATGTTTGAGGGTCTTGAGGAGTATTCTTTCAAGGTACTCGCTAGACATCGGGGCAATTTGAGTCATATTTCGTGCGAATTTGTCAGCCATGCCCGAGTGCACGTCAAAATACGTCCAGTTCGATCAGACAGTCCTCAAATTTCTGCTAATTTGCTCACGGATATTCAACATCCCGGTGCTGCAGGAACAGTCTATGCAGCCGTGACAGTAAAGTCCTTCGGTGATCCCCAAAATACGCAACTGTCTATACTCGAACCCGAAGCAGCAGCCTTCTTCGAGCTCGTGCAAGTTGGACAGCAACGGGAATGGTTACTTCAACTAAAGTCTCAATTCCAAATGCTTTCCTTAAATTCACGAATTAGAGTTACTCTTGAGGCTGTTGACACCGAATTTGCTTCCATAAGAAACATTCCATCGACCAGTCGGCTCTTCTTGGATGTGGAACTTCTCCCACGGTCTGTATTTCAAATTCGTCTGCCTCAAGAAATTCAAATTTTTGTTAGTGAAATCGCCCTTGTCAACTCCACAGTTTACGTCATCAATCCACACCTCGACTTTCATACTCACAATTCGAGCTTCCTGTTCTCTCACTCGACAAAGGATAATGAGTTACCTTTCAGCATAACGGAAACGGGGGCGGTTGTTGTGACTAAGCCTATTGATTTGGAGGCTTTGGGCACTGACCGAGTCGAGATAACATTTACAGTTGCCGATCGGAATAACATCCTCTTGAGCAGCATGGTTGATTCGAAGCTTGTAATCATTGTTCTTGATTATAATGAGCACGACCCCGTAATTTCCAACAGCGGTGCTGAGCGATCAATTCTAGAGTCTTTTCCAGTCGGAGGTGAGGTTTTGCATATCGAGGCTCATGATCCCGACTTTTCAGCCACACGACTCTCTTTTACTCTCTTTGACGAGGACAAGCTGCCATTTAACTTTTCAACTTCAAAGGTGGGTTCATTGCTTTTAAAGACACCTCTTGATGCCGAAACAATGCCAGCTGAATTTCATGTTAAAGTAAAAGTATCCGACTCGGGTTTCCCTTTTCCACGGAGTGTGATAGTTATCTATGTCATACGAATTCTTGACGTAAACGAGTTTAGCCCCGTGTTTGTGGAAAAGTCGTGTGATGCCCGGTTGGCCGTCACGCCGCATGGACAGGTTCAAGCCATGGCGCCATCGGGTCTGGAACTAGGGCGCTTCTTTGCCGAGGACCTTGATCGAGAGGGGGGTGTCGCTGTACGAATTCATTTGGCGTCTACGACTCTATCTAAACCTTGTTTTAAAATCGATTACGATACTGGGCGGCTGGTTCTTATTTGCTCGAACGTTGGTCTTCCAGAAAGCACTGTGAGTGTCTACCTCGAAGCTACCGACGGAAGTCGCAAGTCCGAACAACTTTTTGAGTTAAAAATCAGCCTGGAGAAGGCAGGTTATGGGCGCGTTTATTCCAAGTCCTGTCAACCTTCAGGTATCTACGAAAAGGTGCAGGAGCAAAAGCGGAAGCGAACTAATTATGAGTATCTTCTGACTGACTTGACAAGCATTGATAGCTTCTTCAAAAAACATAATGAAATTGCTACACCAATTTTAAGCATTCCATCTGTTATAAGAATTCCCGAAAACCTGCCAATCGGGACACAAGTTCTTAACTTTGCCGCGAAATTCATCGATCCTTTTAAAGGAAATAAGATTTCCCAATTAATCTATGGTATTGAAAGTCTGGAAACGTTACTGGCTACCAACACTACGATGGTGCCTCCCTATCAGGCATTTCGTTTGCGCGGAATATCAACATCTGATGTATCCGTTGACAAGGAGATGGTTCTTGAGGTTGCGGCGCCCATTGATCGTGAGACATTTTCGGCATTCCTGTACTCCATTCGTGTTTGCGTCCTGCAAGATTCTCTTGGACCCTGTGCATCCAGCTCTACCTCCATCCTTGTTGAGGACTTGCTTGATGTACCCCCGCGTTTTGTTATCGACGAGACAAAGACAAGTGCACATACCTTCTCCGTCTCCGAAAACGAAGCCGAAGGCTCAGTTATCGGCCAAGTGATTGCTGTAGATGGTGATGTGGAAAGCAAGTTGCGTTTCTCTCTGGGGAATTTTAAGGACTACTTTAAGGTTAGCTGCCTCAAAGCACACAACGGTTGCTTCACCTATAACAATTTGTTAATTAACGATTCCGGTTTTCATTTTGTTTAGCGCCATTTACTTAAGTTGTAAGAATCACTTTTCTTGTTTAGATTCATCAGCGGACGGGCCATATCAGTCTAAAACAAGGACTCGATCGTGAGCTACTTGAGTCCTATCTGGTGGCGGTGAGAGTCACTGACATTCTGGATCCTCCACCACTCAGCTCACCGTCTGAACTCAACGCCATGGCATTGAATGCAACTCCTGATTGGGCTCTAGATCGAACTGCGACTACCTACATCCGAGTCAACGTCCTCGACACAAACGACAACAGTCCTGTATTTATAGACACCTACGGTGATCTTGTTATACCCTCCGATCTCCCCAGGGGCGCCTATGTAACAACCCTACGGGCGAGGGATGCCGATGACGGTAACAATGCACTTCTACAGTACAGCCTCTTCGGATCTGAGGCCGACAAGTTGTGCTTCGACTGCAATCTCGCTACTGGGGTGGTTCGCATTTCCCCTGAGTGTAAGGCGCTACAGCCCGGACGCACCTACTCGCTGACTGCTTGGGTTCGCGATCTTGGCACACCTGAGCCTAGACAGACCAGTACTGAGTTCAAGGTAACCATTCTGGGCTTGAGAGTGAATGCCTACCCTCCGAGATTCGATGCTCCCAGCGGACTCTACCAGGGAAGACTGCGTGAAGGCGCCCCCATAGGAAGTCAAGTAATTCAAATTGACTGCGATAAACCTCTGCGTATTGGTGCCTTCGATCCCGATGGCTTGCCCGTAGTCTACACGACTGTTGGTGGTAGTGGACTAGGAACATTCACTGTAACTCCTGACGGTGCGTCTCTTTAGCACTATTATTTTCTATTTTTTGTTGGACGAGCCTTACTGCTGCTCGTTTTATTACCATTCTTTTCTACCCATGATTTGCATCACTTCATCAATTTAGTCGATGGAATGGCTTAAGGGTTAACCTCAGGGCCATAAAAACCTGACAGATGAGTGCCCGTATGATGACCTGCCATTTGTCCCCCTGGTGTTATCATTGCGGACCCCAGGGATGTTATTCCTCTTACGTGAACCTTAGCCCCGCGTAGTGTCGTCGAACTGCGATACCTAAGCTCCATGGCTCGATTTTCTGTTTTTTGTCGCCATTATACCCGTTACACGTCACGTCAGCAGCTCAATCTCAACTAGTTCTACTATCCCTACAGCTTTTCTGTGTATTTTCATCCTGTAGGCCAAAACAGCATGCATACGATCAAACTCCAAGTGGTATGGAAGCTCACTTATAATTTTATCCATTCTTTTTTTGACGATATGTAAGTGATTTTGGTTATAATGCCCAATATTATAAAAATAGGATAGACGATCGCGGCTGATCCTGTTTGACCCATCCTTGACACAAGGGGATTTTTACGAATGATTGTTTATTGCTCATTTTATGGGGTTGTTAGTCTGCTGTGTTATCTAGCATACCTTCTCTAGGTACAAACATTTTGTATAAGTTTTGCGTTTGTTTACGGCCGTGATTATCCCTATTGTAGGTTTTATTGTTTCAACTCGAGAACTGGACGCAGAAAGTACTCCCTTCTATGTTGGCTATTGGTTGGAGCTTTACGCTGAAGAAGACCAGTCATTAAGCTGGGCTGTTGTCGCCACGGATGGGACTCCAACCAGACACGCGGTTGCCGAAGTTTTTATACAGGTAGGTAATTGTCTCTGTGCTTTTGGCAAGCTGCTCATTGAAGGAGCATGGCATCGTTGAATCAGCACTGCTTACATGTCTGTGGTTTCGGATTTCCATAGCCAGAGGTAATGGGATACGTAATTTGCCGGCGCATGGACCCACCTGTTTCGTATTTCTAGCTCCAATGTTTCAAGTTTAATGTGGAAGACTATTGTGAAAGAACCATAGTAATGTGTTGTTGCTACTTAACTTAACTTATGGATTGACATCAGGAGTATTTTGGTCTTAATGCTTAAAATATGATCGCCTCATTTTCTTAATATTAAGGCGTTTCCTATTTTGATGGAGTACTTAAGCATCAATCACTGGTTGGGTGCGAATAGGTTCCATTGTGTTAAAAATTAGCAATGCAGCTCCATAGGATTACGTTGCATGACGATGAAGCTTGTTCCAACTTGAATCCCATCACCTCAACTAATTCTGGATTTTAAAATGGGAAATTTTTAAACCTGGTTACAATTTTCACCTAGAATTGCTTTATAATGTGAATTCCGACGTCAATTAATTCAGATGTTTTACGGACTAAAAACTTGCTGCATCACGCAAAATAATGGATTGGGCCAAAAGACCTAGCGCCTGCTTTACTTTACAGAAATTCATGCACCGTTTTGTGTCCAGCCGTTCTCACTAGTTCATTTGTGTGTATTTCACTTGGTTCCAACATTCAATTTTTCAAATTGTATGTGGCCGGTCATTCATATGCCCTAATTACTCATCCGCTGGCCTTTTTTCTCCCTAATGAACTATTGTTAATTTACCAATTATATCAAAATCGTTTCAGCTACTAAATTGACTTTCATTGCGGATTCTTTCATTCTGTTAATTGCTTATTTTTTCTACGTCAGTCTGAATACGTAAAGCTTATACCAAGCTGTTCCTCTCTCTGAGAGGGTTTTTCGATCTCGTCATTTATAACTCGTGTGGAAGAGGATGCACCAAACTGATCCATCTTCAATTAATGTGATTATTGGTTCTGATGTAAATATGGCAACTGCTTGCTGCCATTTCGAATCAATCATGTGCTTCTTTTTGAAATTGAGTTTATAGACAGCATCATTCAATTCTATTAATTATTCGTTTGCGGTGCTTTAATAAGTGCCAGCTTTACTGGGCAGTTGGGCCTATTTTGAATCACTTCCCCTATCTTCATTGAGCTATAAATTCCATTTGGTTCTACACGAGGCAGGAGGCACGCTATTTTCTTCGCAGACAGGAATGTAAAAAGAGCGCCACTAGTTTCAACCTTAATGCAATTTGCTCCCGCACGCATCTGGCGACTCAAGGTGCGTCCCACATCAACATTATTTCGGCCCTCTTTTCAGCTTTATTTATGATAGAATGACTGCAAACTCACATTATGCACCCCGTTACAACCTGCCACACGAAAACCTGTAGATACGGAATGGAAATGCTCATCTTCAGTTCATGGAAATTTTTAACTACGCATAATGACAACTACGTGAACTTTGCGGTTATAATTCTTTGTTTTTTACCTTATTGTTCGGTATACAAAATAAACCATGTCGTACATTTCATGGACATTTTCAAATGCATCTTTTTGTCTAATTCTCATATGAAGTCTACCAACACCACTTGTAGCTTTCCTTAACCGATCTTTAGACGGTTTAGGATAACCCACTCGAATGCAACCAGTACAGTTCTGACTGTTTCATTCTCTCATAGGGGGTTTGTTTTGTAGGAGCAGATATTCATGGCCAGACGACTGCTTTTTGCACTTTAGATAGATGATGAGAATGACAACTGGCCTATGCCAGACGCACCGGAGTACCGATTCCACGTGACCGAGGGCACTCCACCCCACACAATAGTTGCTACGGTGACCGGGGAAGACAAGGATGCCACGGGACATCAGCTTCATCACGCCATTATTAGCGGAGACCCTGATGGTCACTTCATTATCAATCCATCCACGGGTCTGTTTTGAGTGCACTTCCATCCTGTTCGTTATTTCGTTGAGCTAAACTGCCTCTTGCATCTGTTAGCATAATCTCCATCCTGGTGCATGTTTATTTGACAATGGCAGGTAGTTTATGTTCCTCGCATGCGGTAGTTCACAAAGCGTCGCTTCCACTCGATCTTTTAACTGCGTTAAGGAGACGTATTACCCGTATGATTACATGTCAGACAGAACTATTAAACTTCTAAAAAAAAAGTACACCTATGTCAATTTTACAAATGTGCAAACTGGAGCACTAACGATGCTCCCGGTACAAAACCCCACACGTGCGCTCATGCGCGAGTTCTCGAAGTCCACTCGCTTCTACCAATTTCGCTTGATGCGTAAGCAAACACTTGTTTACATCACAGATTCACGAAAACGTAAATGTCGGTTTTCGATGCACACACTTATTCAAAAGGAGGCGACGTAAAGGAGTAGTCCGTGATGTAAAAGCCATTTGTGTCAAACGGCTCCGATATCGAATATCCTATTTCACTTAAATTGTTGCTGCTTCTTTGATACGTTTGAGTTTTTACTTCTGACTGCTTAATGTGAATGCGTTGGAGGACCTTAAAGGTGAATTTTGATTAATTTTTCGGCTCAAACCCAACCACGTCTTCTTTCCTGTCCGAGAGACGGGTCAGCCATCGGTTCGACGCGTTGGGTAGCGTTTTCCTGCCGGCACGAGAATGATTAGCCTTGCAAAACCTCGTTAAGTCGCCTAAGTGGGAGCTCTTCTTCGTTGAAAAAGGGGTACCAATGGGTGCTGCTTTCCCCTTACCATTCTCCTCACAATAGAATATTTCATGTTTTTTTAACTCGTACACTTTACTTCAGATGGCTTTTGGCTCTTTTGAGCATGTCTGATTTTATGGCTTTTATTTGTCCTCGGCCGTGACATATCTTAATAGGAAATGAAAACCCGTTTCCTATTAACTGAATGCTGATGGCATGATGATACCTGCCTTTTCGTGATTGTTTTGACAGTGCATTTTGTTAATCTAATTTTCATCGCAATTAAATGTATTTCAATTAAATCAACGCTTCCGTTTGGGTATTTGAGCTTTGGCCCTGCAACATTTCTTAACGCGGGCCGATTTTTTGAAAAATACGACTAGCATAACATTTATACACATAGCCGGGCACTTTTATTAATATTTGGAGCGATTTTGTTTATTATTGGCACTCATTTGTAAAGGTAGTGATAATCATTCGTGGTTTGCATTGCAGGTTTTCTAAGTTTCTGCTTTTCATTGGCGATTTCAACGCGGGCGGTAGGTGTTTAGTGAATCCCCAATGCGCAATATGCGCAAATTAGGGCTTTTCGACCACAAATGTGCATTGAATTTTGTCTGACTTTTGTTTACACAGCTGAATTGTCTGAGTAGGAACAACAGCAATGCGATAGCTGGGCGGTTTTGAGAAGTAAGCGCCATTAGGAGAGGTGTATTTGATGCTTAGGTTTCGGTAGTCAATCTTGAATTATTCATACAGACTGAGATCTTTTGTTTTTAATTTCAGGGTGAGTAATTTCCAGGTTTCTAATACTTTGTATACGAAGGGTCGCATTCTTGAGTAATTGGCTTCAGTTAAGTCTCTTCGATTCGGAAAACCATCCTTAAAACTCCCATTAATCGCAAACTGGTTATTGCGAGTATGCAAGATACCTATTTTATTGCTTTTCACTCTCCTCTCAGGACAAATTGCCACATCCCTACGTCCAATAGACCGCGAATCTTCCTTCCTAGACGCCCAGGGCCAGCCCGCCGACGAGGTCAATCTGGTCGTAAGTTTCGAGACTCCTACTTCACACAGCTTTTCTAGAAGTCCTACCTTGGCTACACTTAACCATTGGCATCAGTTTATGTCTTCTGCGTTTGAAATAGACGGCTGTATTAACTAACAGGGTTTTTTGTCCTTAACCTATCAATACTCTCAATTCAAAATGGGTAATTGAAGGGCTTTTCTGCATTTTAGTTTCAGTATCCGTTATTGGTCTGTATCTTCTAAAATACAATGTCTTTGGATTCAGACTCTTTTTTCTCTTTGACTTTGAGCACATTGCGCAAAACCAACCATTAGGACGAACTTTAAACTCCTTGACAGCTACTGGCTTGGCGCCAAGGCCAAACCTCATAGATAGGTCAGGAAAAATGCCTTTTTTATGTGCGCGCGACACTCCCACCGTATTCCACTTTACACCTCTGCCATGTTCACATGAATAGGTTACCTCTGCTAGTATAATAGCCTCGTAATGCCCGTACTAAAGTCGGTACTATTTGAATTTTGGGAGAGGCTTCGGTTCTCCTTTTATCTAAATGTGTAGCTTTCTTCTAATAAAATTTTAAATGATTTGCATGGAAACAGTGTTCATAAATGCTGCTTCCGGTGGGAGTGACCATAAGCGTCTCCTGTCCGTCGACTCCAGCTCTGGAGCATTTTTCGCCATCCGCTTAACGTCCGTTATTCATCCACTTTCTTAAAATTTAAATCGATGGCCAACTTGCTTGGGAACATTTTAGAAATCCAGTGGTTTTTCATTGCTTTGGGAGATATGCGGAAGTCTTAATGAAAATGCAAAATCCGTGTTTTCTTGTTTATGTGTCCCTTCTCACTTGTTCAACATGGTCTTTTTTGTCCTCAGGGCGCTTTGCAGTTTAATTTGTGCTTACTCACGGCGTGATTTCCTATCGCGATTTCATATTGTACGGACGCACCGGCTCTCTTTAAATCGATTCTAACAATGCCTAAAAACATTGTTTTTGTGTACACGGTATTTATGCTTGTTAAAATTTCAAACAATTATTGTTTGCATTAAAATGTTAGTAATAGATTAATTGAACTGTAAAATCAAGGATATTTTGATACCATTACACTTAGAGGCCTTACTCGGTGGAGGTTATCATTGAAAGATTTGGGAATCACAACATGACTTCTCCAAAAAACTCATTTAAGAGTCTATTGTTATAAAATCTGCCATTATTAATTAATAAGCCAATTTGTTTGTGTCATAATTTTAGATCACCCTCACTGATAATGGATACCCCAGGAGGTCCACACAAGTGCATGCCACCGTGGTGATAGATGACCTTAACGACAACAGTCCGCAGTTTCTCTTCACTGGCGTTGACTGTGCCCAGGAGGAAGCAAGAGGCGGTGGTGGGCAAGAGGTCGAATGCTACCACTTCTTCTATCGCCTTGGTGGTGGTGAGTTGACTGATTTCTCGCTGCGCACCTTTTTAATGGGCTGTGAGCAGAGGCCACTGTGCATTTCACTTAATATAATTGTCTATGATTTTTATCGCCTCTCCTACGCATTCTGATTTTCTAATTAATGCTTCTGTCATATCGATTTGTATCCATTGTGGACTATCCTAAGTAGAAGTATTAGTTGACAACTACTTACGCGAGCCAAAAATTGTTTCTCCGAGAACATACAGGTAGGCAAGTAATGCGCATCTCAGTAACAAATATTTCATTGGTCCGTCAGGGTGGTGGAAAATGTTTTCACCCAATCGACTACTTCCTTTGAGAAAAATAAGAACAGCGTGTTCTACATTTCGCTTCCAGCGCTCTTAGCTAGCTGGGTAACCAAATAAGAACTAAAATTCATCTCGGCTTTGTTTTCTTCAGTTAGTAAAGTTTTGAAGGCTGGTGCAGAAGGACTGGGCTGAGCCAATCAACCTGAGCTAAAAACAGGACGTTTTTCTATAGTTGCCTTCTTTGCGCCTTTATTGGTCTGTTGTAGAAATATTTAATTGCGGACAGTTTGCCATATTAATTGTTCTGGTGACTTTTGGGTGAGAGAAATCCTGCCAACCATTGAACATGCGGAATAGTCCCATTTGGGATGAATGAATTCGATAGTTACTCCTCAAATTATACACATGTTGATGCATGTCCGTGTGTGGCAGAACCGCATGTGTTTTAAACACCGGATGTGTGTTTACACGTCTCTGAATAGTTCAGCAGCCTTGATTTGCTGCCTGGTAACGCACACCCTCTGGTTGTGTCCCTGTTCAGGAGACGTCTGTCTCGAATCAGGCATCCGATGTGTCGAGAATGCTGAGGCGGTGGAAGGACGAGAGGCGAAGTGGTACGAGGAGGCTCGAGTATGCAGCCACATGTAGAGAGAGGAGACAAATTCTGACTGATTCCCTTATTGTAGATAGCAAAGGGATGTGGGTACCATGACTTCACTTGCAGTTGGTCATTTTATGACAACCATGACTACCATCAATTGCACCGATATTAAGGAAGTGTTGGTCTTCACATTTTTCGAATAAAACCAGTGGTAATTTGGCGACAATTATCTCTTGCAATGACTAATGTTAAAATATTTCCCCAATCATCTTGATTTATATCAATTAATTGATATAAATACTTAAACTTACTTAAAACCAAGTCACCTAAATTTTGGATTGACTTAATTGTTTTTTCATACTGTAAAAATTTGTACACCTGATAAATCACCATTATTGCACTAATAGTCCTTTGCATTAGTTTCCTAGAGAAAAAGCCAATCTTGTATCCAATGTCGTGTGCGTTCACGGTTTATGGGCGTCAAATTGTATGTCATGTCAAATTGACTAGCCCAACAAGTACAGCATATTCTTTCCAACCTCAGAATAATTGTTGCGCTAACAGAATTAGATTTATTCGCTTTAAGAAAAGTGCAGAAATACGCACTCATGCATCTACTAGTGTGGCGGTTTTAACTCTGAAGTTTCGCATGGTCTCAATCTGTGGAAATTATTGAAAAGGTAAAAATGGAAATGGGAAGTTTTAGACTGCACTGCTACAAAATCAACGATCTCGCCTATTAAAGTCCTATACTCTACTAGATGTCTAGTCTGCAATTAAGTTGCGCCTTGACTTGCAAGTTTTCCTTCTAGGGATTGCTTTTTTTACTCAATTTTGGAGTGAACCGCAACACCTCGTGATGCGTAAATGAATCTGCCATATTTGTTTCCTCAGTAAGCTGCCAACAAATTGAAAATTAAATGGTTTTGACAAATGGTATGTTCTCCGACTAAAACGTAGCTACTCATCCATCTGTACGAGCAACGTCCTATTCCACTCATAATTTACTAGAAACGGTTGAATATTTTGTGGCTTGTATGATCAAATGCGTTAGCAACAAATGTTGGCATTATTTTGGGCCTATTTTTAGAACTTAACTGTCTGTTTATTGGAGTTAATCTAGCCCCATCGCTGTTGGTGATAGCTCATTAACGATCGCCGGACGGAGAAGTGGAGTTGTGATGTTAGATTTAACTTAAATGGGGGGGAGTTGGGTGTGTGTAGGAAAATACGCATAGACATCTTTCCCTTTCTTTTGAGCTCAGATAAAATCCTAACTCTGTGACCCAGTCGTCAAAGTTAGATCCACCATGTCTTGCGAGTGCATGGTTGATGTTTGAAGTCCGATTTGATAGTGATGTGCTATCCAATAAAATCAGCATAAATGTATATTTTTGTATGCCTAATTTGGTAGAGAGCCAAATCCCTTATTCTTTTGCACGTTTATTTATATGCCACACTAGACCCATTATTCCCCAATTCTTCATTGAACATTACTATTGTTTAGTAATTTGTTTGAAGTTTAGTGTATATCACATATCTGATCGTACCAAGTGGTTAGCTAACTCGCCTATGGTATGTATGTATTAGCTTTACGTATCCCCGGATGTATCCTGCATCCGTGTGGCACCAACTAGTGATAATAGAAGAAACAGCCATCCACGTGGTTTGGGCGAAGAAGGAAATTCTTGGATGGTTCTGACAAACAATATTATGAGACCGGTATACCTATCTTTTAACATGACACACTAAAGTTTTAGCCTTGCACCTCTCTCAACAGCGTGCATACGCGCACAACTTGCGTGAACTCATTTTCAGCCGCCTCTCCTGCCCCTATAGGTGGTAGCAGTGATGGTGAGAGTTCCGAGTGCTTTGGTCGCGTCTTCGCAGTGGATCTGGACCGCGGCGCCAACGGCAGCGTTGCCTACGAGATGGTGCAGCCCAACACATACTTCTCTGTTAACTCAATCACAGGACAAGTCTGCTTAACTGGCGTCCCTCTTATGCACCCCTCTGAGCATGTCATTTGGGTATATTTGTTCTCTGAACTATTTTTACTTTCTAATTATATATCGAATACGTTTATCCACCAACGAGTAACCAACCTTGTTTGGAGTTTCCCACTTATTCTATTTTTCCTCCTTCCTTCGCCCTATCGTCTGCCACAGACAACATTTTTGGGCCAGAAAATTTACCAACATTAGTAGAATTTTCGCAACCTTTACACTCACTTAGATAGTCTCAGTCGTCATCCACTTGTGGCATGCGGGGAAGTATACTTTTCAGTGCTGTTTTCGTCTGACTAGTATATCCCCTATCCCTACCGCGCTCATTAATTTCTAGTTTCTTTCACACTTGACATTTTTTTATTAAGAAGGTGCTTAGAGGAAATTAAGGCGCATTGGATCCCACCCCGGTGAAAACGTGGGTTCAATATTCGTTTTATTTAATAAATGTTATTATTCTTAAGTATGACTTTGAAGATCATGGAGGTCAGGATGCTGGTTGATAAGTCATCATTCTATGTTTGATGTTAATCCTACTGTCTATTACCTGGTCTCGTTCATCACGGTGAGGGCACAAATGGTTGTAAATTCCACCAAGGGTAAACCCACGTTCTATTTGTCCCCCTTTTCAAGGTTTTCTCCACTTGTTGTTTGTGGTTTGGTCTTTGATATCTTACCATATAGCGATGCCTTTTTTGGATAAAACACGGAAATGTGCACACGTCAAGATTTAAGTTTTTTTTAACTCATTCCCCTTTCTCAACTACCTCCTCTCAGTATGACGTCTTCCTACCCTTAAGAATTATTCTTGGGAGTGGTTTGAAAATTTGGGAATAAGGGAGATTAGTTGGAACCCAATATCGGGAGTTTTATAACTTCATTGGTGATCAAGTGTCTTTTCGCTATATTCTCACCGTTGTAACCTTTTGTGGATTTTGTGATAGGTGACGGCACGAGATCACGGTTCTCCTCCACGCTTCACTGCCCATCCAACAGCAGTCTACGTCTCCTTTCTGCCACCAATCTCAGAGTCAGCGCTCTCAGGGGATGATGGCATTCACTTCCTCTCAGCCCCACCTCTCAATTTGACTGTCAGTCCACGAACTCCCCCTGGTACCGTGCTCTACCAGATTGAATTGGCCTCTGGAGCTTCATCTAAAGTCAACTGGACTTTTAGTCTTGTTGGTAGGCCATTCAGTGCCTCCTTCTTTGATCATCTTTTTCTGCCCGCATTGAAAATGTAACCACTTTTTCCACCTCGATGACTCAATAGTTTCGGTAACTTTTGCAATTAGTGGTTGTCGAAACTAAAAGGGTAATTTCCAAAGACAAAATTTCACGTTCTCAATGATTTACACGCCAAATTTCACCTTATCTTCTCAATAATGCGCCTAATTTTGCATTTAACGTTCTTGGAAAAGCTGTGTGCATGAGTGAAACAGTTAAACTCCGGATGAATGCACTTTAAAGTGGTTTAATATTGTACTGAAGGAATTCCTGGCATATCGAGAGTGGCAGCATTATTATTCTCTGATTTAGTAATAAGACTGATAGGGTAAATTAGTTCGGGATCAACGATTTAATGGGAAATTCTATGTTAACGTTTTGTGTGTCTTAACCGTTATCCAACCTAAAGCACAAAGTTAAAAGAATGACCCACCTCAATACGTAAAAACCATTAGGATAAAACGTCGATCTAAGGCTTTGTGAATCTGAAAATTATTTGTACCTGACCATGCAAGAGGGTTTGCAGTGAACGCATTACTAAAATAGGAGTGCTGACTGGTACAAGACGAGGAGCTGCTTTCTATGCCTCCCTACTTGCCGCCCCGGAGAGAGGGTGGACATATCCATCAATCGGAATAATTTCTCTCAGCCACGGCAACTTGTGCCGTTAACGCATTGACATGCGTGTCTCGCCTATACGGAGCACTCATCCCTGGCCTTTAACCTCCGTCTGTTTGCGTGTGTGTACAACCGTTTGTGTGGCCTCTCGCCGGGCCTCAGCTTATGTCGGACGTTTGACCTCAAATGTGTGTACGTGCGTGGTGACTGCAAATTCCAGTCGACGCATCAGTAACCTTCCATCTCGGTGATGAACCACCACTCATGTACCGGCTAGCATTTGTGCGGCCTCTCATAAGTGGTTTTTTCTCTGTCAGATGCGTTCACTTTTCATCTTTTGCCTTTATGCATTTGAACCGAAACATGTCTCATCAGAAAATTTTTGAAGATATAAGTCCTTTAAAGTCGCACTCTAAACTACTATACGCTGTATTCTGATTTGATACGACTACCAAATGTGTTACATAATCGTACCTTTTACAAAGTACAGTGCTAATTTCAAATAACTGGACTGGAAAGCCTGTCTAGTTTTTTGCTGGTTATTATTTAAACAACCCGTTAAAAAGTTGTGTTTTTTTACGTGACCAAATTCTGCATTTTGGCTTTGGTATCTCCAAGCTTATAAATGCATACTGCGTTTAGTTTGCTTTTGCTGCTTTGAATGTCCTTCTTCTGATAGGTGAGTGGTTAGCTCGACTGCCCATACATAAAAACAAGCAAACCAATGATTTGCAGAAGTTTCTAGATCCCTTAAACCCGGTTTTTGTCTTCATTTGTGCCACAGGAATATCGTTTTCCATAGCTTGAATCTGAAAGCGATGAACTTCGGATTGCTGGTATACGGTACGAAAAAATAGAATATGGCAAGGTGCCCATGTTTCATATTACTGAAGCACTACCTACTGGTTTGATCGGTCATGTCTACAATTATGCTGCTGTCATTCACATGGCAACCGTTTTTAAATGTCTCGATGTCATATATATGCACGTATGTGGCCTTGAAGATGGTACTGGGTGCAGTTGAAAGTCGGTTGACATTTGTCACAGCAGCCTTCCTTCTGCTATCAGCTTAGTGACTCATCTCTGTCTAACCCATCACCCTTCACTTTGTTTTTAGCCCAAAAGTTGCCACTTTCCTCGGTTATATTTAGTCCTTTTACTCTCCTACGTGCGTTTTTCAACATGCAGCAACAAGGGTGATTTCAGTTAAGTGACTTTTGGCCTTTATTCACGTATTATTAATCTGTTGTTCTCAAATTATAGTTTTGAATGTGATCGATTAAATCGGATCGCGCACCCCTTTAAAAAAGAAAATTATATGTCCACCAGATCTCGCACTTGGTGCAGTGGATAGAAAAATAAACCAGAAAATAGCCCCTTCATTCCCACAGATTTCTTCCTCAAATTTCAAGCAAACCATTTCTCGTAATTCCCTGTTACTTATAAACGTTTTTTCCCGAGGTCGGCATCAAATATAAAATTAATCACATTCGTGATTGTGTGTGAATGAGGAATCTTTCCGACTTTGTTCTCATTTCTGCTACGGAGATACTGGGTAGGACTGCCCTCTTCGAAACGCACGTCACTTAACTTTATTGTGCTCTGTTGGCTTTCACCACTGTTATATCTTACCTGAGTTTTGAATTCAAGGCCGTTTGTAGGAATATTAATGTGCACAGTTGTACATGTGTACTAACAAATTTTATTTTCCCAATCATACACTATTACAGATCTTTCTTCCCCAACACCCTTTGCCATTGCGACTCTGTTGAGTCACAAGGCGGTCGTCTTCCTCCAGCGGTGGCCGAACACCACTCTTGTCGGATCTTTTCATGAAGTAGATGTCGTTGTCTCCTTTGGGAGCCTGATTACTACTCGAAAAGTGAGTATCCCATCTAGCACTTTCCATAGCTGGTTTATCATTAATGTATCTTGCATGAAAATAAAACTATACTACTAGTATTCTTAGGACACTTCAGCAACGTCCACTTTGGTCCTCATGTCTTTCGTTTACCTGCCATTGTTACGTTTACACCTTCGTCCTATGATTGACTAGTTAACTGCAATTTGACCAAATTTTTTTAGAAAGTTAAAATAATTGATGTTTGATTATTACTTGGACTTTGGCTCTTCCTCATCCAAAAGTCTTCATATTAGTATTGCTTTCCTCTACCGTCCTATAAAGCAATTTTTTGTTTTATCTTTTAGAAATCAGCATATTTTTATGTACCACATCCTCCTTCGCGAGAAGGATATTGGTAATTGGAGGTGCTTTATGGCTCCGATTCTTTTTCAAGATGCTTGCAGTCAAAACCCTAATGTCGTGTAACTTAGGTGTAGGTAATAAGCTCCAATAATAATCGCAGGGTTTGTAAAACAATCCTGGAATGTACTTTTCATTGTGTTTCACCTTATTTTGGCAATAAATCAATTAAATTCACACCACGCCACATAATTAACCCATTTGCTATCAATAAATTGCTAATATAGCAACTCAATATAGCAATTCAATCGTCCGCTTTGTCTCCGAATTCTGGTTTGATAGTATTTTTTAACAGTATAAATGATTTAGTGTAGTGATTCGCTTATGAAATTTTGAATGTTTAGTTTTTTATCATAGTCTGCTCGTTTTCGCCTCCACCCAACCTTACCATAAGCGTGCAGTCTCCACATTCCAGCACTGTTTCATTATCAAACCCATTAACCTTCTGATGCGTTGTTTATTGGTGTCTCTTCAAGATGTCCCTTCTTCTATCAATGTGTGGTTTTAGTTGCGTTGTCATCATTCCTTCCGCACAAGTGCCAAAGAAGTCGACGGATTCTGTCTTTCAATTACACCAATTAGTCAGACATAAATTGCGAATCTCCAAATGGTACCCACCGTTTCGGAATTGGCATTCTTTGACAATCAGATAGACAAATTTATTCGGTTTAAAAAAGTGGCATGAACATGTTGATGATTGGCTACAAAGTTGAAGCTTTAACTGCCTTCTTCACATTCGACATTGCCTTCATCTCTCGCTCAGCTATTTAAGGCCATTATTTTTTATTTGCAAAAAATAATTATCTGTAGGTTCCAATTGATGGAAGACACATTTCTCCTGATCTTCACTGGATCCGCAGTACGGCACCCATACTATACATTTGAAATTTGTAAACAGCGTTGAGTTTTCTAATTTTATAATTTATTTGCTTTGAAATTCCTTCCAAATAGTACATGTTTTTCACTGCCTGGGTTCCTGATACTCTCTCTCAACAGTTATAACTAACTGGATTCCATCCTTGTCGATGCTTTTCTACTGAGTTTGTTCTCGTTTCACTTACGCAGTGATTTGCACAATGACTGCATAGCATAGCTTTTTACTTAATGCTTTGACCTCTATAAATCTGCTAATCATACCGGCATTGTCTTGCCAAATTACTAAAATTGAGTTACTGATCAAATTTACGGCTATTTTTGTTTCTTGCCAAAGTTGGTGGGCTTCATATCCGCTAAAAGGTGGTCATTTTTTAGTTCAGTGGTATGGTAATTTATGCCATCTTCTCTTCATTTTTTTCAAACCCTTAATTAGTGCTGAAGTACCCAAAATCATTTTGACATTTTTATGTCCATAATTATTTTAAATAATTTTGCAGAAGAATTCAGCATTATCGGGGTACATATATGAAATACAATGCAAACCAATTTATCTGCGGTGCCACATAGCCTTCGCTGTAAATATTGACATTTTTAGCAGTTGTGGTAGGTGATTTTTTCGACCTCCAACTCATCAATTCCTTCTTTCAGACATGATACAGCTGTCAACCTAGCCATTTTTACTGTTTCTTCTACTTTCTCGAACTCAGTGCAGATAATCTCACTTCCTGCAATGTTCAATCTGGCGTCAAAGCTCCGTTCTCCCTCCCTCAATTTATCCCGACTTTGAAATAGGCGCCAAATTTTATTGTTCACAAAAGGGTGTGAGTACCCAACGCTGCATGCGAGCCATCGTCGAGACAAAGTGGTTTGATCAGCTAAAAAACCACCTATGCACGACTCGACCATTGAAATCAGTCGAACTTTGAACGTTTTTCCAAGCCAGAGTCTAAACCACGTCTGTGAGAGGCGAAGAATTTCGACACTGCTGAGGTAGTTCTTGTCTCCGTAACAAGTGGTAACGAAGGAGTTTGAAGTCCTATTCATTTATTTATTTTAACAGCCACTATTGTTTATTATCATTCTCATTAGACTTTGGATTAATTCTGACGAACTAAAGACTACGTGTTTTACGCGTTTATCTGTGATCATCAGCATTTACTTTTGCACATTAAAGTAACTTGTCTTGCTTGGATAGACCTGTTGATAGTAAAAACTACTTGGATTAAAATAAATATTTCGCGTCACTCTTCAGATCCCGGTGTTAGACATGAAATCCGATTCCCCATTTAATTCTCTGCTGTCGGTATAACTTAGGCTTTTTGAAACTTGTAATCTAATTCGTCTCACTCACGCGTGCAGCATTCTTGAACGGCCCCTTCGGAGTTAGTTGGTCCGCCCCAAATCCTTCCTTAATTGCATATTTCACGCGAGGTTTGGAATAGAAGGTGTACAAAAACATTGTGCAGTGAGTCAGCATCGAAGCACTGAGTAGTGTTAGCTCCAAGTGCCAAATGGCGCCGAGGCTGGAAGGTAAAAATCTTGCCAAAGCAATGGCTCGGGTTTCTGCAGGACAAGATGTGTGTTAGGCACCGTGATATGAAAAACTCAGTTTTCTATTTGTTTATGTCTAAATAGACGTCTTTTCGTTACTGACAAGACGCATGCTGTTTGCTAAAAAAATGTCTCCTTTCTCAGCACTCCTGAGTTTTACTGTGGTTTTGTGCGCAGCGTTCTGTATCTTCATTAAATCAAATAGTTTGTATGCTAATGCCTGATGGCTAGAAACAAAAGAAAGGGGTTACTTTATTCTACCCATTGACCGATGCTTTTTCGTAATTTACTTTACAACACTTATGGATATCTCAAAGTTTCAATTTGCCAGCATTTAGCTGCTGCTGGCATCTCAAAACTACTCCGGTACTGCTCTACTCACTAGTTGTTACCAGGTCTTCAACTTTACCACAGTAGAGTTACTTGTTCTCATGAGCTAAAGAAAATTTAGAGAACTTGGGCATTGTTTGTAACCCTTACCGAATGTTCAACTTTTTTGCTCAAGATCTTGGAATTTTTCTTGTATTAACTTTTGCTTTATTTCCGATTTGATAAAATCAAACAACAACTTGAGTCTTTATCAGGATAAAAGACAAGTTGGGCATGATTTTTTAGAGGAACCTTACCTATTCATCAAAGCCTAAATTTGCACTAATCATTTGCATTGATGGTGAGCACTTATTAATAAAATATTTTGACAACAACCGCAATTGTTTTGAAGTACGAACACTTTGTGTTCTAAGAAATCCTGAATGCTACCTGATTGGAATTATGCCATTAAGGGGCAGTCTAAGATGCTAAGCTGAGCAATGCTTGTTGGAGAATCAGGATGTGCTAATGATGGAGTACTTTTCCCTTTATAATCCACAATTAGCTTTCTTCTTTTCCGAAGTGCGTAGCATGTTCTTGCTGAGGGAACGTTTTTTATACGAACCAGCAAACCAGTTCCGTGGTTGTACATGGCTGATCAGGAGTTTGTTTTCCCCCCAAATTTTCCCTTTCACTACCTCTCCTCTCATCTCACATCCACATATTGCATTTCGCAATCTTTCTACCCTTATACCTTATCATTATCGGTATCAGAGACACTATCTTGACCACGAAAATGGACACACCTGGAGGTAGTCCGTACTGAAAGCAGGTTGGTGTGCACCAGCTTCTGGATGATTTGTGGTCGAACCCCTGAAATGATGGGCTGCCTTGGCTGACACGGCTGGTGATGGGTTGCTCTCCCCCACACTCGCACGCACGCTTGTGCAGATACACGTAAACACATCTATCCTACTGACAAGTGACATTTCATTGATGAGTAATGAGCTCTCGATCGCATTAAGTTTGGCAACTAAACCATGTGGAAATCCTCATCCACTATACTGCCCCATCTATTCATGGAAAGTGGGCGAATTGTAGTGGCATTTCCAAGGGCAATGGGAAAGCGATGCTTTACCGCAGAAAGCATTTCAGTGTTGTCTCAAAAATACTTGGAAACGAGATCTGATATAACCTAGAAGAACGGAATGAAATACCTGGATTTGACTACCCACTGACCGAGTGTCATTGCTCACAACGGTGACTTGATCGTATTCTCATTGTTTCATTGTTCCAGCTTTTGACAAAATGAACTAATTTTATTTTGTGCCTACAATTATCATCAGTGGAGTATTCTAAAATTGATTGATCATTTTGCCATATAACTACCAAACTAGGGTGAAATTCCTTAACAAGGGATTCATCTGAGTGTGTGTGGTAAATACCTTCCAATACCATGAAACAGCTGCTCGTTATATCTTTTAAATTTAAGATAAAGCAAGACTTGGAGCAAGCCTCTTCAGCATATCAATTGTACATGCTTTTTACTAACCCTCACCCTCCCAGAGTTTTCAGAATTATTTTTGTGGCCTCCCCACTTATGGTGACCTTCTATTCTCATTTTTCCATTTTTGCTAAACGATGTAAGAATGGAGGAAATTGTGGTCGATTTAATGTTCTTTGTATATCCCTTCCACATCACTTCTCCATATTTACTAATGCGTCCGGATATTTTGTGAGGTGATAGCTATCTTGCGGAAAACAAACCCTTACATGAAACATTGCGCAAACCCCTCATTGATTTAGAGGGGAAGTGACTTCGGAAGTATTGTGATTTTTTCGATGTTAATATTTTGTGATGAAGCACTGCAAGAGAAATTTGAATTGGAGGACAATAAATAAGTGGTCATTATTGCGTTTACACGCACACCAGAACAGTCGAATAGGTTGCCTTGGGACAAATGAGGTTGGGCCTCACAATGCAAAATTTTTGCTGTCCGTGGTCTTTGAAGACTACTTTCGAGGCAGGTGTTTTCGTTTGCCACTACAGGCGTTTTGATTTTGCGAGCTACTAAATTATTTCCAATTTAAACAAGTGAAGATAAATTAAGTACGTCTTTTTAACACTGATTTTATCCTCAAATCGCATGATACATTGCGTAATTGCACTATTTTTTCAGTAGAATATCAATACTCTGTAATCTTACTGACTTAACATTACTTCCACTTTCCATCATGAAGTCTCCAAACGGATTTATCTGATCCGTAAAGTCGATTCAGCCAGGTACTTATTGTTAATAGGTGTTTGTTCCACTATTTATAAAAGTTACTCATCTGTGCGCTGCTTTTTCCTAAGCTTAACTTGAGTATCCGAGATACTCGATCGCATCACTGGCAATATTTCTAGTCAAAATAGTTTATTTTCGTTTCCCTTCCATGACTCACGTGCAGCGTGCAGTTGGTTTTTACAACACCAAGATTTATATCGTGGCTCTGCTCCATGGGTCTATCGGTCATGGTTACCACGATATCGTAGCATTTATATTTGTGTGCATGTGTGAATCCTTACGATCCGCTTGAAAAAACCTGCTCCATTACTCCCCCCAGTTACAGCTTCCGACTTAATGAAATAGCGTCTCCAAATTCCACTATGCTGATTTGATTATATGAGTAACGTTTAATTTATTTGAATGAAGTTCTTTATCAATCAACGAACCACCTCTTTAAAGTGGAGGTATATGCGCTGAGGTTCATTCCAAGCCCTCTTCATTAGGTAAAACTATAGTAGCAATTCGTGAATGTTTTTCTAAGGTTCATGTATTCCTATTGCTGGCTAGATTTTAAAAAATTAAGTGGCTATTTATCCACCGAAACCTTTTAATTAACAAGACTATTGTTAGAGTTTCACCAAAAGGAAAGCTCGATTACTCGGGTCCTTCACAGTATCTGCCAAATATTGGGTCTATTAAAAATTCAGTCCTCCCTCCTTTTGCTTAATTTTTTTGGTAGCTCGTAATTGTAACGCTTACAATCGTCAGGTTGATTTAGTGAGCAGCCGACCAATTTAGTGTGATTGTATGTAGGTGAAAGGATCTTGATGACTAATTCCCCTTTCACTTTAATTGTCGACTCTTTAAAAGGCCACGTTTAGGACAAAACTGTTGTCAAAGCGAAATCGCACATTCCATTTGCACATCGGTAGTACTTCTCTTTACTTTTCGAAGAACGAAAGGCATTAGGCTAGGGGACTAGTCGACGATGGTCCATCCTTATCACATCTCAACACGAGGCGGATGCAGTCTCATCTATTCTTATTGCTCGCTATTTGTCTCACTTAAACGTAACGAAGGTGAATGCATTTTTATAGACTCGTTAGCTTTGGTATTTTTGGGGTTGCCACTATTCGACTCTGAATTCGTTACCAGTACCCTGAGAGGTAGTTTTTGGAGGTCAGAGGTGGGGATTTAGGTCAATTCAAAGGTGTCGCATTTACTGTCAAGTGATTAAGGTCGGTATTTTTGATAGCGGTTTACTGTTGTTGTAGTGCTTATATGGTCTTTTGTAATTCCCATGCGTAGTTATCCTTGCTCGGATTGTGATCTATTTACAAAATTAAATTTATTTATTTAAAACAATTTTCATTTACATCTATCTCCTCGGCGAAAGCAGCTACTCTGGCAAGTACAATTTCATTTTATTTGAAAAAACCCATGACATCCCTTTAAAAAGCTATTCTAGCTTACCTCTATATTGCAGGTTTAAAGTGTATTTTACGCAGTGCAAGTGTGCGAAATAGGTTCTGACAATTCGATCTAGCCCCCATATTTAGAAGCAATTAGTATTTGCGGGAGCTGGGAATAGCAATGCCATGCCATAATTTTCTTCTATGCATGACCACTCATTTTTCGTTATTCTTAATAATGCGTGGGACGTACGACCACATTCTGCTGTAGACGAACATCTTGATCGAGCCATCAGTGCGACAGCCACCGGTTTTCCACACTTCTGCGATAACTACCGGCAAGCAGGTGGCTCTGAACGTAACGGACTTTCGACTGGAGGAGGAGGCGGGGGAGAGTGGCGCAAGTGGGGTCGCAATACACCTCGCTGTTGCAGAATCCATCCTAGTCGGCAGTGTGATTTGCAGTCTCACTGAGCCCAACCGTAACCTCTTCGAGTTTGCCGTCGTGGGCGCTGGTGACAATGACAGTCTTTCACACTTTCACCTGTCAAAGCATAGTGGTGAGTGAGGTCTTTCTTTGCTTTCATTTATTGTTGTTAAAAGTTTTTTTTCGCTTCATCGTTTTATTTCCCTTTAGCATTTTTCTCATTGGGTGGTCCTATCATTTTACTGGCTCTTAAGGGAGTTTACGAGCCCGTCTGCAACCAACTTTGGGTCTAATGGACACACTCGTGTATGAACCTTGTTTACCAGACTTGAACCACACAATGCTGTGGCAGCTGGCTAAATTTCTTTGGCTGATCTGCCGTTTAGTTTCATGAGACGGTGTTTACTGATCTTTCTATCACAACTCTGTTTCTAAAGATTCCTAGTAGAAATCAGGGACATACTATGACATTTTTCCCACGATAAACTGTTCTGTAGCTTGAAGTCGTAAAATATTTTGGCAAATGATAAAGTATCGCGTGCGCAGAGGAAATTCAAAGTTGTATATCATGTGAGCTCCAGCAGTGAAAACGGAAATGTATTGCAAAACCTTTCTGAGCTCGAGTTTTTTTCCACCGCACATGTATAATATGAGTTTTATTCATAGCCACAAGCTGGGCGGCTACTAGTTACCAACAGATTGCCTCACATTTCTCTCCACAGGAAAAAGGTCAGCGTTTATGATTGAAAATCATGGTAAATGCTGCGAATGTGCTTGCCTGCGTGTTCGTCTACTTTTTACCTCTCTTCCATGCAAGAACAGAAACTTTCTTGTTACCATTGCATCGGTAAAGTAGTCAGCCCACGCACGCTAGATTCCTAATTTATGCAAGTAAAGTCATGGCAAACCGAAGAGGTCTTGATTCGACAGTAAGCTACCACCATGTGAACTCGGGGATATCGGATCAGCAATACCTTTTCGGCTTATATCTTATCCTGCTATATTTAATTTATTTTAGTAAGCAAGCTTATTGACGTGGTTTATTCCAGGTATTTTTTCGTACTCATCAAACACAAAGTCTTACTTTCAAACCAACATTGTACACTTAAGTGTGTAAATCCATGCTTATGTAACTTTTACGAGTTTGCGTTCTTTGTCTTGGAAAGTAGTTTACTTTGAATGAAAAGTGTCATTTTTTCATTGTCTACGTTTCCTTGCACAAATTTCCGCCTTTCATGCCAATGACTAAGGTGTGAAAGATAAAGTATAAACTTGTTTTCAAACTTCAAAATGGCGTTTCAAATTGCGATCTTTTGCAACTTTGTGTTAGGTGTCGAAATGGCAAGAGTCCTGCCTCCAATTTGACAAATGTTGACGTCGAATGGGAAAGTTGTGATCAAAATGACAAACCAATAAATATCAAATCGTGATATTTAGTATTTATGCTGAATATCTGGATAGCGGCCCTCTGATTAGTAGAGTTCCAAGCAGCAACCATGACAATTTATGAATGTAGGAAATTTCTTTCAATGATAATTTTTGCGGATTATGGTAAGGCTGTAGTAAGTTTTTTTAACATTCTATTTCATCAATACTAATATGAATCACGGTGGAAATATTTTATAAAGGACTTTTTTGGAATCGCATGGTCTCTGTGTGAGGCATTCGAAGAGAGTGGAAAAGTTCGGTCGATTTTCTCCACCTTTTAATCCAATTCAGTTTACTATAGCTACCATTCATTCAAACTTAGTGCTTTTAAAACGCAAATTTGTGCAAACGAAAATCAACCTTGTGTTAGAACTTGCAATTTTTTCTAAAAAATATTAACTTTATGGAACTGATAGACTTAATCTAGGGAAAGTATATTTTGCTAAGTAATGTCCTTCTCTACAAATTAGGATTATTTAGTATATCTCAAGAAATTTACGGACAATCATTATTCATAAAGCTTGATTGACAATTGAAGATATGCTTACCTGTTAATGCTTGTTGGACAAAATTGACCATACCACAATCCGTCTCATGACAGGAACGGCAATTCTACAGTGTTCCAATTAGACAGCGGCTACCACCAATGTACTACTAGTTGACTTCATTTATATGAACTGATACTTTGTTAAAAAGAATTTATTATTATTATTATTAGGATTATCCGCCGACCTCATTGAAAAAAGTTTTTCACAAGCGTCCATCATTATAAGTGCTCCATATTTGTCACTAAGAGAAAACGGATCTAGTACGAAACCGAATAGATTAACAGGTGTTTAAGTTTGTTCTTAGGCGAAGTCAGAAATTCAGACAAAACTATGCGCTAGGATAAAGATTAACTCAAGCAATCAAGCTATACTTTCTGAAAGCATACGGTTCAACGATTAATTCCTACATTCTGGATTAAAATTCCTCAGAGAATGCATAATAACTGGCTAAAATAACGTTGTTTTCGTTGGCTCACATTTTTGCATTATTCAGGAGAACTGACAATCACCCGTTCTCTGGACTACGAATCCCATCAGGAACACCATTTCCTGATCGGCCTCTTCCACCCTGGCGAGGTGGGCTCTCGAGGAAGTCACATTAGTCTGGTGGTGCACGTGATTGATGTAAACGAGTTTGCACCGCTCTTCTATCCACGGGGCCACCTGATGGCCACCTTGGACACTCCGGTAGGGAGCACTGTGGGGAGGATCTCTGCCTTTGATCCGGATTTCCGTGGAGACGCAAGAACGGGAATCTCTTACTCGATTATTTCGGGTCAGTTTTTTGTTTCTCTCATTCTTATAGCAGATGCTCCTTTAGATTAAACTAACCACATCTGCTTCGTCAGTTACTGTTTCTGAGTTTTGAATACGAAAATAATAGGGTACTGTAAAGCTTTTCTGTCGCTAGTGTTGATTGATCCCTTCTACTGGGATATCGTTACATTTGCACCCAAATCTTCACTTGGAGGTTAGACGATTTATTCAGTGTAATGCAGTTGTAAGGGGATCCTTCAATGATACTTTTTCTTTACAGTCGGAGGCGCGGAATTCTTCTCTGTCGACCCTGAATCCGGAGCTCTTCTTCTGGCCAAACCTTTGTGGCCCACACAATCCGCCTTGTCTTCCTTTGTTCAGTGGCCTCCAACGTACAAGCTGAAAGTAGCAGCCAAAGATCGTGGCGATCGTGTCAATCACACTATCGTAACAATCTCGCTGAACGTCGGTCCTGGTGCTTTCTCCACACCACTTCCACGCTTCCGTCAGGCGACTTTTATCACCAAGGTGACCGAAAATACCCCTGCAGGTTACATCGTCACCGTTCTACGGGACTTTCTCGAGACACACCCCCTCGTCCCAATTGCTTTCCAACTGCTGAACTGTAACGACAAGTTCGCGGTCTCCACCACCTCCGGCATTCTTGCAACTTTAGCCTCCCTTGATCGAGAAGCGCAGGATCTCTATCGTCTCCAAGTGCAGGTCTCTAGTCTGGATGGACTGCCAGCTAAACTTCCACACACTGCTGAAATCGAAGTAATTCAGAAGGAACTTGGGGATTATTTCATCCTTTTAGCGCTGAACCAATATTTCTGATCACTATTCTCAACCATGTTCCGATATAGATAGCACTCATTGATAGCATCAATTTGTTTTCTTAGTTATCTTAAAAAGGTGATTTTCAATGCTTACCATTTGAAGTGCCTGCATCTCAGGATGTTTCGAATTAAGAAATCAAATTCCTTAGTTTTCATTACGAGGTCACACCCCATTAATTCCTATTTTTCAATTTAATTCGTTTACGTAATCATGTTTCAACCCTTTCTAAAGTTAAATTGAATGAGTTTTCCTGCTTATTTGTGTGTAAAAGAAAACATGTTTATGAAAAGCTGATATTTGATCTCTGAAACTTTTCATTAATAACTAACTCACGCATGTACTACAGCCTCTTCATTGTTTAATTTAAGAAATTTTTGGTTTTCTACCTCGTTGCATGCGCTTTCATGTTGACTCTTTTATTGATCTAAGTTGGCTCATGAGACTGGCATTTAAAATATGGGGATGGTAAAATCATTTTGGATTTTTGGCACAATATATCCAAATGTATATCGAAAAACCAACAATGGAATATTTGTTGAATGCCACATTACCTTTGCAGGCACATTACAAAACATTTTGTGTCCAGGTTCACGTTCTGGATGTTAATGATAACAGTCCACGCTTGAAGTTGCTTTGGATGACTGGAGTGATAATGGAGAACGCGTCAGCCAACAGTCCGGTTGTTGACACAGTAAGTGGGCAGCCACTGGCGCTGCGCCCGGTCGATCCAGATGCAGGGTCGGCAGGCGAGGTGAGCTTCCGCTTTGTGGGGCCTGGAGCCGAGAGCCACGCAGAACTCTTCGCTATCGACTCCGCCAGCGGCACCCTCTACCAGCGCCTTGGTGGATACGAGTCAAGGGCGGCAATGAGGCGCCACGCCCTTCTCACCCTCGAAGTGGCGGACCGCGGCATGCCCCATGCTCGCACCGCCGACGCGCTAGTGCGTGTGCACGTCCGCCTAGACGACGACACAAATGACTCACCGCCCTACTTCCCATCCTCCGCAAATCCACTCATCGCCAGCGTTGCCCTACCAACATACGAGGGCGCCGAGATCGCACGATTTACTGCCCTTGACCCTGATATCAATGACTCCGTATGGCTTTCATCGGTTATGGCCCGCAGGGATTCACTTGTATTGCTTATTTATATTCGGTCACTAAAATCACTGAGCTGCAAAATTTGTATTTTGGTATTATTTAGGTATCCTTAATGTCTAGAAAGTGTTTTTCAAGCTGCTGATATTGTTACCGTTGATTTACTAGGTCTACACAATGCTCGCTATACACCTTCACTGTTTTCTATCGTGCATAGGTGACATGTGATGACTAATGTTTAGGACGCATCAATCAAAAGATCGTTCCTCTCCGTGCATTATCACGCTTGTCTTACATTTTCACCTCATAAACTCATTGTATTTTTAAATGCTAAATCATGGTCTATTTCATGAATTTCGATATTACCTTGAACACACTTCTGTCGATATGACTTTCATTTAAAAGTACTGAAGACTTTTGTCTAAATAAGTCTTTGGGTAATGGTGCTTTAATATACCTTTTTTAAGGTTACGTACTACATCGGTGAGGGTGAGAGCAGTGGTTACTTCTCGATCGACCCCTATACGGGCATCCTGCGAGTCTCTTCCCAGTTGGCCACACCAACCGCCGTCATTCAGCACCAGTTTCTCTTGCGAATCGAGGCCAGAGACAGCGACTCACTGCACACGGCGACTCACAATGTCTCCGTGTTCATCCACTCTCCGGACCTCTCCAAACAGCGACTCGTTATCGAACCCGCCGGTGGACTCAACGTAACTCTAGTCGAACACTTCTCTGACAATGGCATTCCACGATTCCTAGGCCAACTCCATGTGCACAACGCCCTTCCAAACGAGATTTTTAGGTATTGTCAGAAAGCTCCATGTTTGGCACAAATGTTGTGTCTTTCCAGTCTACGGTTTAATAATTAGGTGGGTAGAGTATCATGTGTCGAGTAGCATTCTAGATTCTGTAATCAGAGGGAAGTAAACGACTTTAGCATATTGGTTTTCTATAATAGAAATATTAACTAACCCCGTGGCACGACGTACTTTGTCTTCACGAACCATCTTAAACATACCACAAACCACGTTTTGCATTCTTGTTTTTCTCGAATCACGACTTGCCATCCTCCGTGCTGGTTCGCTATTAATTCCATCAACATCTTGTTCGTAATATTTTGGTTTTAAAACCCTTCTGTTATTTCTAGTTTCGAACTCGCTAATGCATCAATACGCGCATTTTCCATCGACCAATTCAGCGGAGCCCTCTATGCCACGGGTGATACCTCGGCCAGCGCGGAGCTGGATCGCGAGACTAGTCAGGTGGTGCGTCTCCGGGTGCTTGTACGAGATCGCGTCGTCACATCGTCGGGCCTAAGGCAGCTTCGCTACGGCGAGGGGCTCGTGAACGTCCACCTGGAGGACATCAACGATCACGTACCTGTCTTTGTCGGACTGCCATACCACGCCACCTTCTGTGTAAAGGAGCATTTTCAATCACCGGAACAGTCCAAACTTTCTGAACTGGCACCTTCTCACACTCTCTCCCAACTCCACCAGGCTTGTCAATCAAACTACTTCAAGGTATCCTTTCCTATTCTTAGTGCAATGCGAGTCGAAGCGACTAGCTGGCAAGTTTATTTGATTTTGAAATATATAGATCTTCAATTTCTTAACTTTACTTGAGGAGTGAATATGAATACTTGATTTTAAGTACTCACATTAACAAATCAACATAGACCGGTGCCTCGATTCGAAAAATAAATTTCCTTAGAGCAGTATTTTAATTTGATGAAGTTATGCGATAAACCAAGTCGCGAACTCTGCACTCTTCTTATAGATCGACAGTTCCCCAACCCACTTTTCAAATTGTGCCAATTTTTTGCCATAAAATTTTCACTCAGCAGTTCTGCTTGGGTAGCTAAATTAGTTTTTTGGGTGCGAAATTTTAGACCACCGTGTTTGTTTGTAGCGGCAAAGCCGTACAAGAAACTTCGCTTCCGTTACGTTAAAAGTACTTACTTTAGTCAGTATGCACATGTCGAATCCATAAAATATCGGAAATGTCGTCCCCAAACTATTCCTCTTCCTGGTTTTTGTTTTCGCAAAAGCAATAGTCGTGGAGTTTAATTGGTTGTAAAGCTCGGCTCAGTGTTTGAAGTACCTATTTTAAAAGTATGCTTTATGAAATCATCCTCCTAATAGTGTGATTTGTCTATATTGACGTAGGTGGAGGCGAGCGATCCTGACTTGGGTCGGAATGGAGCGGTATCCTACCAGATAGTGAGCACACAGCCTCATGCGGAGCCGCCACTGTTCTCGATCGATCCCATGTCAGGTCGAATGTCACTCATTCGCGCTGTTCCGGCAGACTGGGCGGGTCGACAGCTGGTAGCGCGGGTGCGTGCCACTGACGGAGGGCAACGCTCCGCGGACGCTGAGGTGATGGTGCAGCTGGCCGCCCGCCTTGGACCGCGCTTCACAAGCACGCACTACGCCGCCGTCGTGGCAGAAAGCGCACCCCCCGGTGAGTCGGTGACTAGCGTGGTGGCGATCAGCGCCTCTGCCACCACCCTCATCTATCGCATCGTCTCTCTCAGCCTTGACCACACCGAATCCAACGTTCAGGATAACCCTTTCTTTCTGGACTACAAAACAGGTGGATTTTTTAACATTTGCTATTCGTAATGGTTTCAGCTTAATGTGAGTAGATCAACATTGGAGATATTCATCTTTTTATTCTTAATGTCGCTACCAGATTTCGTCGGAGAATCAAATCTTGCGAATGTTATAACTAGAACCACAACCAGGCAAATTGGGGATGATAAAGTGTTGTGCTGAATTCATCTTATAATGCGACAACTTTAAACTGACCCACTCTGTAGACTAGCATTTTTATGCATTCTCAGCAGACATCATTGTTTCATTTACTCAGTATCCCAGATGAGTCATATTCATTACGTCCCTCTTTGCTCAAGCTCACTCTAACTTTCCTTATTTTCTCACTGGTGAACATTCCCCTTTTACAATTGATTGAATATCTCGTGGCATTTATATTATCTTTGCTGTTTCTAGGTTATGAAATAATGGTGGTTGGGCGCTTTAACTTCGAAGGTTTTCATTTTCATCGAATAAGTTTTCTTGGAATGGAGGTAGTGTGGCTTACACATAGCATTTAAAAGAAAATTAGCTTCTCACGTAACTTCTTGGGCTTCAGCTTTTATTCTACGTTAAAATTTCTTATATATGTACTAGCTGGAATACCTTTTTGTTGTGACAATAGCATACGCCGCGTTGGGTGAATGTGAGTTTCGAGCTTACATCAAATGTTATTCGTCGGGATACTTGTTCGTTGTAAAACTCTCCTTCATTCTGCTAAACAGTTTCCGCATGCTTGTCGTCATGGTATTGATTTTCAATCCATTCGTAATTGCTTGACCTCATTTTCCCATACTTTCGTATCTAGGCGTTATACGAGTTTGTGCTCCTCTTGACTATGAGAAGGCGAATCACTACAATCTCCTCATCCAAGCCCTTGATACGACAACCGGCAACACTGCTCACGTCAGTGTCTATATCGACATCATCGTGAGTCTCGACTCATTTTGCCCCGTCAATGTTTGAGCAATCTTTTAGGCGTTTAATTAACCTCTCATTCTGGCATGCTTGAAATAACCCCGTTTTAGACTTTGATGGACTTAATTATTGGCATTGATGCCGTGATTTCCTTATTCAGACCGATTAATAGTAGCATGAATGAAGTTTCGTGACTCTATTTGTCTAAAAATTCCTCTAGTTTCAGGATACTGTTTTCCGGTTCTGTTTGCTTTGCTATCAGCTATTCACCCAATATTCTCATTTTCGAGACCCCTATAGTTACTTTATTTCCAATTATGTAAAATCGGAACTCTTTTCTGCCTTGAGCTTCGTTCTCCTTCTGGACTTCTGGAGACATTTTGATGTGCTTCGCTTCTGTGTCCCCCCGTACCTGACAACTTCCACTACTTTTCTGTGGATGAGTAAATAATATTTGCGCGTGGTAGTTACAGTCTTTGTAAAAACAATCACTGTTCGTGTTTGCTACGCTTGAGGGCTCATTACCTCTGCGAGATAATGGGGTTTTATCGGATTATAAGTGGAATGGCCAGTTAAGGCGGGAATGAATGGTCCAGGTGGCATTGCTAGACCGATTTGTCAGTGACATTTTCAATAGCAAAAATTTTATGTGGCAGCTTAAAAATACTACCTGGGCTGGTTCTGCCATTGAGACTGTTTTATTTATTATTTGAGTTGTTAATGTATGGCTATTACTTTCTTTGCATGGAATTTATTCTAAGAGTACTGTTTTCCCATTAGGCGAAGCACTAACCAATATTTCATCAAGCAGAGCTGATATGGGGTTCTGGTAATGGTAATGAATGACTGAAATAAAATGTGTAAGTCGTAGAGGAGTCTAGCATTGTACTGAGTAGTTCACTGTTTTTATCTTTACCAAGGCGGTTTGCTCCCACGCTTTTCGCCTTGAGTGATGAGTGCGGGGCTTTCACTTAGTGTCTTTTTATCCATATCGTTGTTACTAAAATTTGAATTGTCGTGTTAACGGGGATATTCACCTTGATATTGAACGTTCGGAACTTCAGCAGACCGGTTCTGTCGATTTTAGCGAATTTTCTTTGGCTGAATTACCTGTATTAATTCGTACTCAACAAGCAAACACTTGAGCTTTAAGTTATGTAACTAGGCATCCCTCTTGATCTTGACTTCCTGTGTCATCTCGTACGTATAATTTCTAATTTTAACTTCTAAACATGTCAAGTTAACCTTCTTACTCTTACTGGTGTTTATTTGTTGTTATTTCTAATGGAAAAATACGTCAGGAAACGTGGATGGAGAAAATTTTTTAGCGAATACCTAACCTTTTGTGAGTCTTTTAGGATGTAAATGATGAGCGCCCAGTATTTTCGGCGCCTCTTTACAAGGCCGTGGTCTCCGAGGCGGCGAAAATAGGTGACGTTATACCTCTCTATCCCCCTGAACTGGCAAGCGACGCAGATTCAGGATTAAATGGTCAGGTGGGCCAAATCACTTCATCCCTTTACTATCATTTATATTCTCAGTGTTAGAAGTTTTTACATATCCCTGTTGCATAACGGTTAGTATCGAGGCGTAGCAAACTCCCTTTCACTCTAGGATTTAATAGTGTACACAGTTTTAAAGTTAAGGTAATGATGTCTTGGGAAATTTTACAATTCTTTATTCCCCCAAAAAAACTCTTGAGTATAGATTCATCATGAAATCGTATTCTTCTGCGAAGCATTGTAGTTTTTCGGAGCAGTTTCTTTATTTTTCAACTTGGAAAGAAGGCAGGGGAAGGACGGGTGAGAAGCGAATCTTTCTTGTTGACTGAACTCATTTGATAGGAGCGAGAAGGAAAGGGAGGTAAGGGAAGATAAGTTATTGGCTGTCGGGAGGTAGTGCCCTTGCGATAATGGTGTGAAGGGCTTCGCTCTTCCTTGCGGGTATTCCATCCCCATCTAGCCACAAATCATCGTCCACTGACTAGCTGCCAGTCCATGTATGATTTTCGTGTATTATGTAACACCTAAAAGAACGAGAAACGGGAATATTTACTAATGTCGGGACTATCGAATTCCCATTATCAAGGTTGCTGACTTTGGTGAAAGGGTCACTATTGGATAGGGAATAGCAGGTCATATGCGTTACTCAAACGACAATTTTAACATAGTTACCATGATGCCTCAGTAAGTATTGGACAGCTCGAAAATTACTCTTTCCAGTTCACAGGCACTTAAAGATATACTGAGTGTTGATTGCGCCAACTGGATTTGTTTCAGCAGGTTGCTCATATTCCTAAACGTCAACATGATCCAAAGTCATACCAGATAAATCTTTTTGTTTTGAAACGCTAATCTTTAAACATAACTGGCATTTGGCAGCCTGCTATGGTTTTTTATCTATTTCCTATTCCGATTTTATAGAAGATTTCGAGAACCTTTTTAATCTAGACAAATGTCAATATCCGGATGTTTTTGTCAATCATTTGTCAGTATATAGTTATTCATCAATCTTTTGTTTCCGCTATAGATAGACGTTCAAAATAGTTGGTTTTTAAAAAAGCCTTATGTACACATCCTTCCCCTAAGGGCGAACAAAGATTTCCAGTTTGGTTTATCTCAACTGATATAAGTACGTTACACTGGTGCAACAGTGAAGTCCCTTCATAAGGGTGGTGGGATAAATGTATTCCATCAAATCAAGCATCCACTATCACCGAATAAATTAAGTATATCCTAGAATAATGCCTACATTGTAAGTTACCCGCAGCACTATCAAGTTTATCAATACGTGTGAGCGTTTGGTCATATTCACGGCTGGTATTCGAAAATCTTGGGAATTTTGCACTATACCATCATATTTTAGGAACAATCCCGGGGGATATGACATTTGTGTAATGAAAGTTATAGCAACGACTTATCTATTATGCAAATTTCAAAACAGATTTGTTTGTTTCCTGTTAATTCAGTATGCATCTGAGAGGCCGGTTCCGAGTCTACCAGAACTGTAAAAGGCGTACTTATGATTGAAACGTCTCAGGTTTCTCCATATTTTTTGTACATTACTAAATGAACTCCTTAATCACTTAACAACAAATACTTTCCGTGTGTGCAAAAGCGGGCTATTTACAATTAAGGCGATAGCCTTGGGACGCCCGAATTCCTCTTGACCGTGCAGGAATTTTCGTCCGCTTGCATTATCATTACGGTTTGATAAAATAGAGACGTTATTCAGGTAGTCGTCTCATTCGTGGCGGCTTAATACTGAAACGGATCTTTAATTCAAAAATAATGAAGTCATCATTTCATGTTATTTTTAAAATCCAGTTTGATTTCTGCTCTAATTAGTTGATGAGATCAGAAATGTCAAGATAGTCCGTGATAAAATTGCATGGCCTCGGGCCAAGAAACCAACTCAGGCTCAGAACATTTGCATACTTAACGCAAAGTTATTTTACCACACTATCGCATTCCGAGATACTGCATTCACCTACTTTTATGACGTAAACTTGCGTCAGCTCACGTATTTTTTGAAGTCTTTGGCCCAAACTAGTACATTTTTTCTTGTGTATAAATGTTAGATTCGATATTACCTCCAACTTCTAACCGATGACGAGATCAAGATCGGGCAAAACACTTTAGTCCCGGATCTAGAAATCGATCCAATCAGCGGTGTTGTTCGACTGTCGGGGAAATTGGATTATGAACAACAGCCATCGTTAACGTTTTGGATCGTTGCTGTGGACGGGGGATCACCTCCTCTCTTCGGCAGATCTATCGTTGAGGTTTGTCCTGATTAATTTATTGGAGACGCTTTTTTCTCCCGTCCTTAAAATTAAATAATCACGTTAAATGAAATCTACTCCACGTGAATATTTAATGCTCTGCGGTAAATCTGTCTTCCCTACCCTAGTTACTGACCGCTGCTCAGTCACATCAAGTCCTAGTTCTATTTCAAAGTAGCAAGTAGTAGTTGATGTGGTGGGTATTATTTTGGTAGTTATTGTTGAGATTTTTTTCGTATGCCTGCTTGCCTGTCAGATACCTTACTGACGTGTCAGCGATGGATACCAGCCTCCAGAGGATGCGAGCTGGATGCTACTTTAATTTTCCGCAACTACCTAAGGCAATAATGGGTAATGTCGTGATAGCATCGTTTTCGTTCTGCTGATTCAATTCTCCGTGTACTCTCTTACGCATGAGTTGTTTTGCCCTTTGAAAAGAAAGCTACATTGTAACAGCCATTTGGCTGCTGGTCATTAGTGCGCATTTTTCCTCATACCTACACAGTGGCGTGAGGGAGAAGGGTAGGTGAAGTCAGCGATGTTGATTTCATTTCTCTCGGTATTTATACCATGCAAGAGGGGGCTTTGTAATTATAATAAATGCGTCTATTTTAGATAAATAGTTGTGTAAACCTATGATAAAGTGATCACACTTTGGGGATATTGATACTCACTACTTAGAATGATCTCCCTGGAACATTTCACGCATTTTTCCCATCAAGCTCCACAAGTATGAGTCGAAAAACTCTGCAAAATGCGTAACTAATGGCTAATCAAACAAAAATTACTAGCTTATCATTTCTAACTTACTTTTTATGGGATAGATTTATGATTTTTTGTTGGCTGTCACATCCTGCTTTTACGGATACTAGTCGCTCGCACTGAAATTTATCTACCAAACTTTTAAAAATAATATATCTCCACCCCATCAACCACTGGTTAGTTCGGTATTGATGATGATAATGTGGGCGGTGCATGTGCCAATCACTTAAACAACCACCTGGTCGAACCCACTGACGGTCTCGTCGGGTGTCTTTAGAACATTCGCCCTAGTCCTGATTCGTCACCTCATCGTTAGCGTTCGAATGACTCATCACTTCGAAGCACATGGCCATGTATTTTACGCCCATTCCTGCTGTTTCTCGTCATCCATGTGGCCGAAGCAGGAGGAAGAGTGGGTCGTGTGGTTTTGCGTCATTGTCCCCTCTCTACTACGTAAGCAATCACACAGACGTGATGGGGGATGCTCTCCTTTCAGTAGCTCAAAAGCAGATCTCTCATCAGCTCCTTTTAATATCAAAGAGTGAATTAGTGCTGCCCGAATGTGAGACCTGGTACTTTCCCCTATCTCTTATAAATATCATTGTTTTTGTACAATTATGGGTGTACGTAAATTTGTTGTATATTCATTTTACAGTGAATTAAGTTGATCAAACTATACTCTCTGTAGCTCAATTTCATGGCAATTTTTAGCGTGCTCAAACGGCCATCATTCGATATGTGTCCTTGCGAAAGTTTATTAATCTGCTCCAAGCTTTTCAACTTTTTAAGTGCTCAGCTTTCCAAAGTCGTTTAATTTTGCCCTATGCTGGACTTCTGAAGGGTCTAACTAAACTGTAATCATGTACATCTACGTGCAGAGCCAACGCGAAACAGTCCTGTCGAGTACATTGCCTCTCGTTGTTGCGAGCTTGAGATAAGAGGCAGTATAAAATAAAGTAGTGTTAGGTCAAAGTGGACTTCGTGCGTGTATCGCACGTATTCTCCTAAAACATCTCCTTTCACACAGTCACATGGACAACTAACTACTTGGGTTTCTCGCAAGGAGGTAAATCGTTGTTTACTTTTATAGAGGCATGGCAACATTAATGCGCTTGTGTTTAAGAGGGCCGGATAGTTATGGCGTGCTTCCTCTCCCTACCCACACTCTAGCTCTCCATCCTCGACGCCAACGACAACACACCGAGATTCGATGCTGAGTCGAACAGCGAGAATGGGGCTGGAGATGGGGCCGATTCTGGTGCCGCATGTCACCGCGATGCAACAGTCGTAATTGATGCGCCTACGGACGCCTTCGTGCTGCGCCTCACTGCATCTGACTCCGATGTCAACGATAGTCTAGTTTACCGTCTGCTGCCCTCTGATATCGACATCTTCCGCCTCAATGCCACCAGCGGCGTCGTCCATTGGCGCCCTCCGCTCACTTCCTCTGCGGAGGCGCGCCTTACCGCAGCCCTCCTCGCCCACGAGGGCGGCAGCACTTCTCGTCTCTCCTTCGAGGTGCTTTTTCTACCTCATTTCCTAAACTCCTCTTAACCGCTTTTTCTTGACGATAATGGATGTAAAACTACACCAAAATGTTGTAGAAACAACTGGCACTAGGGTTAGTGTTCACTAAGTATTCTGATCGTATGGTGTATCCCAGACGCTCTTGGAGGTGGTGTTTGCTGACTGGGAGGAGGCGTGTCTGTGCTCTAGATTGAAGTGTCGGACGGACTTCACAGCGCAACGTGTTGGGTAGAGGTGGAGGTGATACCGAGTAACCGGCACGCCCCTCGCTTCCCTGTGACGGTGCAGACTGTGCTAGTCCCGGAGGACGCGCAGGTGGGCAGTCGCATTGCTCTCCTCGCCACTGCCCTCGATGCCGATGTTGGGAGTTTCAGTCATCTCTCCTACCACTTCCTCGCCCGTCTTCCTCATATCCCTTTCAGCCTGGATTCCACGACAGGTACTTGCATTTGCACACATACATGCAAAATCTTTTTTCTTTCATTCATGCTACGTTAGTGTTTCTCGATAGATTTTACCAGAAGTCAGTCTTCAGGTGGTAAAACTGACATGGGAAACGGTTCAGAAAACCTATGGCTTTAATTTATCAAAATTCGCTTTGTGGTCTTCAAAGTAGTCCTCTATTCCTTCAAACATTTTTCCAAGCCTTTGAAATACATTCCGAAACGCTTTCTCTGGAAAACTTCAGATGTTCTGGTGAGTTCGTCGGTATTAATAAGCACCAAAAATGTCAGAAATCATTATTGCCTATCCGTACATAAGCGAAATCTTACCGCACACAATAGGAATTATAATTAATCTGTAGCACTCATTGACTTGCTTAGCATGCCAGCTTTGAGCTTTTGTGAGGAGAGGATTTGTTAATTAACATTTTTTTCTTTTAATTAGCATGATAGTGTGCACCACCGGTTCTCTTTTGCCGGGTGAACTGTTGGCGAAAATTTGATTTATTTCGGACAATGGCCATGGTGCGATGCTTTTTGGTTGATTACAGGCGATTGTTAAATGCAGTGTCGTGGTCCAATGTTAGTAATTTGTATCGATATGTGACCAGTCTGCCTTTCTCGGTGTCTTTTCTTCCGTTGTTACCTCGCTCTATTAGCTTATTATAAATTACTTCCATGAAAGCAGCTTTAACAATCTTTCGAGGACTAAAGCGTTTGAGACATGGCTTAATATGATGCTATGTCCTATTTCAGATCTTTGTCTTGAAATAAAATTCAGTAAAATAAGGTTTCTGCCATATATCGTTATGTATTTCAGAAGGGGTGAAAATGTGAGTTTTGATTCACAAATTGGTGCGGAAAAACTTCATTAACTTAAGGTGGTATTTTATTGCTTCAGAGGCCAAGAAATGCTCAGGAAAAGTAGTATTCGGAAATTGTTTACTAAACTCTACTGGGAAGTCGCGTTAAGTGTGAGGCACTTTTTCCTCTAAATTACACAGGCGAGGTGACTCTCTCTATGCCCCTTGATCGGGAGGAGACCGAGCGCTACTCACTCACAGTTGTTGCTTCAGACTCGGGTGGCCTGTCTGATTTTATGCAGCTTGAGGTCACTGTGGCTGATATCAACGACAACGCGCCGGTGATTGAGCAGACTAGATACGAGGTGAGTTAGTTCCCTTCATTATCACTGATTTTGCTCTATTTCCTTCAAGCTATCGACTTGTTGCCTTTGTAATGCACTCTACCAGAGGAAAGGTTCTTTTTAAGGAATTACTTTGACTGTATGCCTGATTTTACGACCACCAACTTGGGGATATCCGCCATCGAAAATAGTGTGTATGGATTGCCGTGGTCTGCGTGGCCTAGGTGTGCCCAACTGCCCTGCTTCCCTCTTGATTCCCATCTCTCTAACCTTGTCATTGTTATTAATGACTCACCTTTGATCCCCCGCTTTGGCAGAGATGCCTACTCACGCCTTTTGCTTTAAAGCATCAACATGCCGCACAAAAACTGCCTTTTATTATCCCATAAGTATGGTGAAGGCTGGTTGTTTTTATGACCCTTCAACAGATTTGACTATTTCCTCTCACTCTTGCTTACAATGATGGAATAGTTATCCAAAAGTTTCAAGTTCGAAACCAAATTCCCAAATCTGTTTTAAACTCAAAAAATTGATCCTATCATTATATTTTCACGTCGAAAATTAGCTCCAACGATACTAATTTTCTATTTTATGTGTATCCACTAGGTAAGATCTACGTCCTGTTCCAAAACTTCGTCATTCCTCACTCATTCCGTCTAAGTTGCGATCACGTGGATGCTCCTCGTTGAATCGGTTTTATTAGTAACACATGATCAGTAGGTCAAGTAGCCAGATTTTTGCCAGTACAAATGCATCCAACCACAAAATATGCCGTTCTACCGAGCATCCGGTCACATTTTTGTCTTCGCCTGATCCTGTGCACTGACAATCAGCCCGGGCATTTTTTACTACCTTCGTGAACCCCATTTTTCCGCCTCTTGGAGTCCTCGTTTACCCTCTCTTCCTCCATCTGGAACTCTCTAAAAAGACTTAAGAAATGAAGAAAACTTGCGACTACAAAAGGCACTCGCTTTAAGTCCTGGAGGCGACTAGGAGCTGCTAATAAGACAGATCTTGCGAAAATCCTTCCTTAAACGGTTGAATTCAAATTGGGTGTCAATTTGAAATGTTTGGTTGTGATACGCGCTAATATCCCATTTTTTGCGATAATATTTCCATGTTCGTGTATTCCAGCAATGAACCCCTCAATCAGCCCCTTGTATTTTGTAGCATTTTTAATCTATCAAGTTTAGTATTACCTGTTTACACAGGCTTATTCAGCAACATTAATGACCTTGCGTTGTGTTTAGGTTTGAACAACTACTACTAAATCGAATAATGTCTAACTGAATATTCTGACTGAATTTACAGGGTTTTTTTTCATTCTCATCATTATTTAAACTGGACAGTTTGTTTTCCACATCGATGGCTCTGATTACTCCGATAAACACGGGAAATAGAATAGTAGATTGTCAAGTTCCTTTGCTGCATTGCTTATTGATAAATTCTTTACTCATTCAATGTTTAAGAACGCATATTAGGGAGATTTTAGATATGGATAGTTGATCAGAATATTTCGAAATGCTGGAGGAAAAATGTCCTGCGTTGCAGCTTGCTTCCTCTTTTATCTATCTTTCTAATATGCTATTCCAACTAAAAGTATTTTCCTCATCGGCTGTAAAACTAAGAGAGTTCTTTTCGAAAAACATATTTTGCATTGGAACTTCGTTTGTTCCATAGGCGCAAATTGATAAATGGTTTTCTAAGTGTCTTGATTGCCGAATACGCCCTAGCTGCACAATCAGCCAAACACATGAACAAAAGTACTAAAAAGTGAGGGAAATGCGGTTAACCTTTTACTACCCAGAAAGTGTGTGAGCAATCGAGCTGGCATGGTGTGGTGTATGGCGTGCCATTCGGATAATGAATGGCATTTCTGCAAGTTTGGCATTTGCTTCTCTTCCGCTGTTCGCCGCCACTACTATCATCACCATCGCCACCACCACACCCAGGCGCTGTGCAATCCAGCCCAAAGGTCACTCCTAATGCTACAAGGTGTTTGTGATACTGCTTGTGCAACACGTATGCGGATTCTGTACAAAATGATTACCTACTCTGTGCCTCGCATATTCTTAATGTGAAGGTATGACTTTTGGTGGGAGAGCATTCCTCCTCCCCTCATGAGGCTGGAAAAGCCTGTTTTGCAAACAGTTTGGTAATCCTATATATTGTCAAAAAGGTTTTCTCGACATTTTTATGTCTTACTTTCCAGTTATGTGGGATTACCACATGTATGTGTTTACAGTATATATTAGCTATGCTGTTTTACCTCAACACCGCAGATACGCGTTTATTTTCTTAACAAGAAAATCCCAAATCTCTTCAGAATGACCACAAAAATCATTGATGCCTTTTTATGGGCTGGTGCTCTTATGCTTCGTTTTTTGGCTGGTGGATCATAACTTCTTTGCCTTCCACTTCCCATTTCCCCTCCACTTTAGGATTGAGAGGAAGCTAGAACAGTAATCTCTGCAATCCTCTGTCTGGATTTCGCCCACTCTAAGTTTCTTGACATGAATGTCAATTGAACCATGGAGGCTTATAGTTCTAAAAGAGCCCAATAGTTCCATCTGTGTTGTGTACAGGTAACTCTTTCACCAAGTGAATATACCGATGACACCTTGCACCTTGCTTCTGCCAACCGAATTCACCCGAGAGGTCTGCGTCTGCCCGTGCACATCCGTGCCCACGATGCGGACAGCAGTGGTGGTAACGCACGCGTAGTTTACCGTTTGCTGCCGTCTTTGTCGCATCATGTTGCATCCGCCGCTACCGACGCCCTCCCCTTCGTTGTGGATGCACAGAGCGGTGAGGTCCATCTGACGCGGCCGCTACCGCCTTCTAGCCAGGATTTCGAATTCTTCGTGGATGCCTGCGATCAGCCTGAGGAGGGCCGGCCTCTCTGCTCCGAACCCGTCGGCGTAACCATTCATCTCACGCTCCAGAAACTCCCCTGGCGACTGAATCTCTCCTGTAGCTCGATTCCTATTGCTGAAGTGAGGGGCTAAGTTTTCCATTAGGCCTGTTTTAGTGAATAAGTGCTGTAGCGATGGTTTTTGTATCGGAGGTTGTTCGTTCAAATGTTCTTGTGCATAGCACCGCCGGTGTGTGCAATTGGCAGTTCTCAACCAAAAATTGAATCGCTGAAAAAAGTTTTAAGTAACAAAACTATGAGGTAAAAGAGATTTTGTCTGCTTAAGCTTTTGAGCTTCATCAAAAGTTGCTCAGTTTGCGGAAGGACGCCGGAACTGAACAAGTACCGTTTGACAAGCTCAGTATTTACTTAGGGCAGTGTCACTTTTCTTCAGTCAATCGTATCCACGTAAAGCTTCGTCATTATTTTTCAATTGATTTGCAGTAGAATGGTGACCATTGTGTGCAGTAGAGTTGATTTAGAGGAGCGATTTCAAATTTTATCCACCTTTTTTCTACTTTTGAGTAGCATTTTGGTTACATGCCATTTTTTTTATTTAGCGCTTTGGTACTAAAAGAATTAAGAACTGTTTAAATAATCCTTTCTCAATAGATTGCATCATTTTACCAGTTCGCAGTCTTTTCAGTAAACTCGAATATTTTGATCATTAGGTTGACAAAAAATAGATAGTTTTAACCTACTAATTGCTCTCGTATTACCTGCTCTAATATCCTAGCGAGACGCGCTTCAAGATTGAAGTTTCTCAGTTTTTTTACTCCCAATGTTTATCGTCTCACCCTTTCACTTGGAATACTACGATGCTGATAAATAGGTTGATTGCTTATCAAGTTTTTCTTGTCTGCGATCCTCAAGTGTTGAACAATTATTCGTGCTAATGCATCAATAATATGTTTATTGTGTTTTCTTCGACGCCGGTACCGTGCATAGACTTCCGGATGCAAGATTCATCGGGCTTCCACAAACGTTTGACGCATCTTAACTTTTACAAACACATTTGCACGTTATGCTTGTAAATGAATGGACGGTAAACATCGCATAGTTTTCTAACGGAAAAATAGCTTCGGCTTCTTGTTTGCCATCTCGTTATAAATAGTATTTGGCACTTGGTAGCCATGCTTAGTAGAGACTTTTACAGGTAGAATTGCATTTGAAGGTTCTTCAAGCTACTGCGATAATATTAGATCTTATTAACTCTTCAATGGTTAGATTGGTTACGATCCGAACGAGCCCATTGCTGGCTGCAAAATAAACTCTGAAGCAGAGAGACAGGGTGGGACCTGGTCGTTATTGGGCACCACCGCCTCCCTGAGCGCCTTCGCAATCGATGGAGCTACAGGCGCAATCCGCGCAACACGCGATCTCGACTACGAAGCGCAGCCCTCACATGATATTCTCGTGCAGTATCGTATTGCTCCTACCGACCACGGCCTTTCGGTGCCTGTGGTTGCCGTTACTCGCGTCACCATAAAAGTCGAGGACGTGAATGACTGCACGCCTAGTTTCCAGACGGATTCAGAGTATGATTTGCTTTGAGCAGAATACTACACCTACTTATGTTTTACTAAGTAAAATGGCTATTCTCCATTAGATCACGGATTAGTATACCGGAAAACCTCCCTTCAGGGCGTCGCATTTACCAAATGCTCGCTCACGATTGCGACGCCGCGGATGAAGGTCTTCTTTCCTACTCACTTCGGCGAAAATCTGATTTCGTTTCAGACTTCTCTTCGCTTCCATTCTTAATTGATTCTAGTGGCTGGATAACAGTAGCGGGACCGATTGATGGGGAAACCGTGGCATCGTACGAACTTGCGGTGAGTATTTGCAGCAGTTAGGGACGAATCCACCATATGATATATTTGATGGTCCCTCTTCTTATTATCAGGTCACAGTTGTGGATACATCACGTCACACATCGGTTGCCTACCTCACCGTTGATGTGATAGATCTAAACGACACTCCACCAGAATGGAAGCTCATAGAAAATTCCACTGATGATCCACCGTCTGTTGAAATACATGTTCCAGAAAATTATCTTCCAACTGATCCAATTTTTACCTTCTCAATTGTGGATAAGGATACTAGCTCTAATGATGCTCTTTTGAAATTTTATCAAATCGGGGAATCAGTACAAGAGTTCACCATTTCATCCAGCGGTAATGTCTATATTCGCAGGCCGCTGGATGCTGAGTCGACGCAAACTCACATATTGCAAGTGAAGGCATTTGATGGATTACATGAAACCTCTCATCCCTTCACACTAATAATCCATGTGGATGACGTAAATGATAATTCGCCCATCTGCCATAACGTGAGTTCGTTGATACGCTTAAGGTATTATTCTGTTTCAAAAGAAATCCATTTTTTTCTCTTTGTGCTTTCTTAAGCCTGATCGTGTGGTGGACGTGCCGGAGTCGGCATCGAACGGAACAGTGCTCTTTCGCCTCAGCGCAACAGATGCAGACGTGCTGGAAGAGCACTCTTCCCTCAATTACCGCTTGGTTGAGGATCAGACTAACGTGGACACCTTCAGGGTGGACAATAAGACCGGCGATGTTACGCTTGCCTGGGAGCTGGACTACGAGGTGAGGAAGTCCTACTTCTTCCGGGTCGAGGCTAGAGATAGAGGTGACCACTTCTGTCATTACAACCTCCAAGTCCACGTATTGGATGTCAATGACAACCCACCTGTCTTCGACCACCCCGTTGAGATCGCCTCTGTCCCTGAGAATGCGCCTATCGGTAGTTTGGTTGGTAAAGTCCACGCCACCGATGTCGATTCTGGTAAGATTCCTTCATGGACTGGTGATAATATCGTGTTTTCTACTTTGAATTTAAAGCAACTAAACTGAAGTTATAGTTAGGGATACTCTGTGTAATTTTTCTTCCAAGATCTTGCAGATTTTGCATATTTTACCACTGAAACATCGGCGTATTCAAACCGTTATCTCAAGCATCGTTTGATAGCACTTGAAGTACGAAAAAGTGGTCGGCATTGACAAGGAGATTATCATTTCGATCTTATTTTCGTTTACCTTGCTTTGAGTACATCACTCTGAGCCAATTATAAATGCGCTTTTTTGTTGCGTGAGTTTGTGTGCGTGACCTAACTTTACCGGTGCTGCAATTGGTGGTGACGTACTGGGCTACTTTGCAGTGGACGCGAACGGGCTGGAATACAGTATATTGTGGCCCCGAAACAGGAGTTTTTCGGTGGATAGACACTCGGGTCTGCTTCGTGTGGTTCAGCTGCTGGACCGAGAGAGTCTTGCAGTGCATCGTTTTGTCGTCCTCGTGACAGACGGAGGAGGATTGTCGCGCGTCCACTCGACCACAACAAGTGTGGAGGTGCGTTTGGTGGATGTAAATGACAATCCACCCCGCTTCCTCGAGCCTCGGCCCACTGCCAGCATCTCCGAAGTCAGTCCTACAGGCACCCTTATCATGCGTCTTACTGCCGTCTCCCTTGACGAGGGAGACAACGCTATCGTACACTACCGTCTTCTTGAGACCGACACTCCTGAATTCTCTCTCAACGCCACCACCGGTGAGTTGTTGTTCATACCCACTCATTCGCACAGGACTTTCACCTCATTTCACTCGTCGTGTCACTCATTCCCCATTTCCCGTTGTTTGGTAAAGTGGAGAGTACACTTTTGCGCCATAGAAATTCGTACTGGTTGACATTATTCATAATTATTATTTCCTCAATTGCCATTTAGGAAGTTTTAAACGCCGACCCCATTTACTCTCTAACCACTTTTGGTGTCGGATCCTCTTTCTCTTTAAGTAATAATGTAAACGTTTTGATCCATTTTCACTATTAATCTTTTTTCTAAGCTAGACTTTCATGTCAGTCCACTGGGAGCGGGAAATTCACATTTTGACTACATCGGCCACAAAATGTTGAATTTTTGATTGGTCTTAAATTATAGTTTTTTTTCGTTTTATGATTCTAAACTTGTCAGGAATGTCGATGCGAAAGGATTTTTACATGCAACTTTTGCGAACTGTACTCGTTTAACATTACGGAAAATATGTATCAACTTCGTTCACTTCCGATAAAATCTCCCAGTAATTTAGTAAGTCATCACCTAATTTTGCCTTTGAAAGCTGGCTTGTCATTATATTGTTGTTGACGTAGCATCAACAAACGGATTCGTAGCACTCTTTGGTACCCAAAAATACCTGAAAACCACCTTTTCTGATTATTGCTAAGCCGAATTCTCACAATGAGCCAGAATAGCTGCCAAAATCGAGGCGATAAGTCATCCAATGAAATATTGATTAAATTCTGTTCCAAATGGAGGCTACAGAAAGCTTGGCAGATGCAAACATGTTTGGGAATCCATGTATTATGGATTTGAGGTAATTTTATAAGCGCCAAGATGAGTATTAGTGCTTATCTGCCCTTTTGCTTTTTTAAAAATCGACGTCCTAAATGGGGTGAATTATTTGTGAATACATTATCCCTTGTTTTGCTCGAATTCATCTCATTTCCCTCTCTTCAGATTCTTCACTGTATCGCCTCTTGTTCAAAAGCAAAAATTTGAATTTTCGTAACAACTATCTTTTATCACTGGTAGAGCGTTGCAGTCTAACATTTTAACTGTTTCCGAGAATTTTACTGGGTATGAACTTAGCACACATTGCTTCCGTGACCAAAGTTGGTCATTTTGAATCTATTTAGGGTATAATGACGATACCAATGACGATATTTTGCATATAAATCGGCTATGTTCAGAGCAATCATTGATTTTATAAATAGGACACAAGCTGGGGCAAGTTTAATGGAATAACTACTACTATCATTGGTTTCCTTGTTATTCTAGGTGTAGTTAATCGCACCTATCTTAATAAAGCCTCAATATGCAGATGGAATATAATTGCATGAGCATTTTGACCCCTAGCTGCTTTCTATGTCTGTTTCTTGAGTTTTGTAGCATTGAAAATGAGTTCCAGACACCTACCGCTTGGATGTTATAGTTAGTATAGTAAAGATATTGGTTTTCCATCTTTCTTTGGTCCATCTGCCTTGTTACGGTTATACACTAGAAGTAATTGATATCACCTTTTTGTTGGTGTGAGTGGATTTGAAGTTGCCCGATTACATTTTTCTAACAAGTTAAAGTAAATCTGTCTCGCATAACTGTACCAAACCAATTTCAAATAAAAATATTCCATTGAGGCCTGTCTCAAATTTACTTTCGATGGTTTTAGCAGTATATTTGGTAAAGTCATGTGTGACCACTAATTAAGTCATCCTTCAACCGCACCTTTAGGCCCATATTTTCGTTCTGATCAGATATTTATTTCCCGGAGTAAAAGCTAATATCGCTGCCACATAAAACATGAGGCGGAGGTATTGCCTTTAGGTGAGCTCTATTTGACAAATTCTCTGGACTACGAACATACACCACGCTACTTCTTGACAATCGAGGCGAGGGACGGAGGCACGCCGCCACTCAGTGCCACAACCGTCGCGACCATCAATGTAATTGACGTCAATGACAATCCACCTTACTTCATTGGACAGGATGCGTTGCCAACGTCGGTTAATGATATCGTTACCTCTACGCAGGAGCCCGATATTGGCGTCTTTTCCTTTGAGGTCTATGAAAATAGCCCCGTCGGAACGCAGATTGGCCGTGTAAGTGGATTTTCTCCTCGCTTTCCCCCCTTGTTTTGCACATGGCTAGAATGGTTGCTTTTATTTGATTTAGGTGTCAAACCTATTTCTCTTTACTAGTTACCTGAACGGCATTCTATGAGCTTCGATTTGGAAACCTAACATTCAGCACGTAAATCTGATGCTGTTAGTAAGCAACGCTCCTAATGGAACGGTTACGAAAAATTGATTAATTGATGACCTGGGCCTTAATGCGACTCCATTTGTTCGACGAATAGAATTTCGTAGCATCTGATTCGCTCATTAAGATTAACTTTTAATGTTTTCTGTGGCTATGTGCCAGTTGTTTGGCCTCCTTTTCTCCAAAATTCACAGACTGCTTATTGATCGAAAATGTGCTAGACTACGTGCAGTCCTCACACTTAGAAACCCTAAGTTAAATCTATCCAAATATGTGAAAAAAATATGGTAGTTTTACCATTAAGAACTTTGTTAAAATGCTGATTTTTCGTTAGGTTAAATTTTCTTTTGTCATCATGCGGATATTGTCAGTTCGAATTTATTTAAGAATCTCTTGGGTTTTGCTAGCACGAGGTAGTCGGATGGCGAATTACATTAACATGGATGGCTATTGAGGTTTGTCGGGTCGTTAGTGCGCATACCGTATTCAAATAGCGCTTGGCAAAGTTCCTTTCTATTCTACTTGAAAGCATTTTTTGTGCTTGTAACATCATTATTCATGTACATAAACACACAGATCGGTAATATTTCCATATTTCTGCGTTTTATTTTTGAGGACCGTGGTAATGACGACTGGATCGCCTTCAGTTGTGGAGCACGCAAAACTAATTATTTCTGGAATGTTCTAACGTTAAATCGGTTTGTGGATTGGTGTTGATAAATGCAGTTTTCTCGGCAAAGGATAGCGAAGTATTTATTATAGGCCCCGCATTTATGTAATGCTTTCATCGATGGTTTTACTCAGGCTCCTAATAAGTTTAGACTTTTACTATAATCACTGAATGTTTGCTACTAAAATCTGTTTCAGGTTTGCCTTCTATTACCGGTTTCATTGTTTCTGAATTTAATTACATATCATCGCTATCATTAAAATCGTTGGTACTTCTTTCACCGTTATTGCAGTCACGTGAGCAGTACTTAAATCCGTTTATTTTCACATCTGATTTTTATTCCAGAAGCATCCACTTATGACAGCTAATTGCAGAACTTCACTTTTACAAATTGGCCATCTAGTCCATGAAGTGCAAACTCCCGATCGTATCAGGTTTATTATGCCCACCAAGTATTGAGATGTCGAACGCTTAAGATCGACGTCAAATAGTGTACCAAAACTTAGATGAATAATTAGTAATCCTTTTAAGGAAGAATTCTATGAATTGGGTAAGTGCGAAATTCAAATCGCTTTGTTAATTGGTGGTACGTGCTTTTTGTATGCTAAATTTCTTCAAATGCAACTCGCATTTTACTTCATCCATTTTACCTTCTCGCAACTTACACAAATTCCGATTTTTGCACTTCAGTCATCCAAGGTGTCAGCACAGCGCAGTCTCCCATTCTCGCATCAATACATTTGCAAATGGAACCCCTTTCCTTTTCACTGTCAGGGGAAATAAGTTTAAACATTATAAACATCTTTTTAGAGGTGTTGTGAGTTTGACCACATGCTGGTAAGCGAATATTAAATAAATTGGTATATTTGCGCAAAATTAGCAATCAGATAAATTTGTCTCAACCATGTGGTTCGCTTACCATAGCAGTGTGTGATTTGCTTATTCACAGTTGGTAGTAGGTGAATACTTACTTCTTGATGTTTTGGTCATTTTGCAAAAGTTGTTTACGAGGTCGCTTGTGAACTTAAATCACAGCAAGCCTGCCTCACAGGCCCTCTCTTTTCATCACTAGATTCGGTGGTGGGTGGCTCTGTCATCACGACAGGATGGCTAGCCAGAGGAATGTTCTCTCGGCTAATTCTGCCCCTGCCCTATAAATCAACACAGCTTTACGTTATTTTTCACAAACAAAAAATAGCCTTAGGAATATTAATATTGCTGTATGTCGAATGCGTTGCATTGTGTCACTACGCGGGCTGCAGATAACGGCAAGTGACCCTGACTCGGGTGAGAACGGTCGTCTCTCATTCGCTCTATGCGAACCGACGCGGCCGCCCGAGACGGTGGTATCGCCGAGATTACGGCATGTCGGCGCCGGCCTCGTCTCAGCTGCTGCACCCAAGTTGGCGGTCGGGCGCCTCTTCGAGGTGGGCGAAGCGAGAGGTGAGATTTTTCTGCTCTTCAGCCCTGACCGCGAAGAAGCCTCTCTCTACGGTTTCTCTGTTTGTGTCTCCGACCACGGTCAGCCCACCCTCTCGGCTGTCACCCGCGTTAGTGTCTCCATCCGTGACACCAACGACTGCCAACCTCAATTCGAACGCGCCAATTATGAATTCTATGTCCGAGTAAGATCGTCCACTGTCTGTAGAGATTCACGGTCTTCTTACAATCACTCTTGAGTTTCTATTTGTGATCAAGGTATCACTGGGTCATCCCATTATCCATCTAAATAATTCCGGCGAATAATTGGATTTTTAAGTTTGTGTACCTAATTTTGAGGTATAATAATCGTTCATTTGGTCTTCATATTTTTCAAATATATTAATAGTACATACAAATTAATAATTCTACTGTGTGACCTTTATGAAAGATTTGACATCCTGTTGTCTCACATTGTTTGCAAAACCATCCATTGAGACCACCAATCGATTTAAGGGTTATGTTCCAACCCGAATCACTCATCTCCCTCTACAAGGCACTTATTTCAGCTTAGGAGCACATCTGTATCCACACAGATTCTCTTAATAAAAAGAACAGAACTTGAAGTTTTGCATAACTCTTGTCGAGAACATTATATAGTTAACTTTCCAACTAGAGTTGTCTAGAGGTGATTGACAGACGAGGGTTGAGGTGGCGTGTCACCTGCCAAGGCATAAGTTTGAGCCTTAAAATCGCTGGGATTAATCTCTTTCAAAATGTCAACACCACTGCTTGTTTTCATTTCAAGCCGGATGCTGCATTTACCCTTTAGTTTTTTTACCCTAGGCATCCAGTCAATTTACCTTTGCCAGTAAAGATAAATAGTTACCTCTTTTTCTTTCTTTTATTCAGGTGGATCGCAATGGAAATGTTGTATCAACTAGTCAATCAGAGGTAAGTTTACGTTGCTTTCCTTTGTGCTTTATATTTTTGGCAGCGGTTTCTTCGAGTTTTTCTATTATTTGTCTCAACGAAGTAACCGACTTATTCTGTAATAATGTTGATGCGAAAGCGGAATTATCTGCATTGCTACTATGTAGGGGTAATGCTTAAGGTGGTTTTTATTTCTCACCATCATGGCAACTTGTCATTGTAAGCTAAAATAGGCAAGTAGTAACTTCAACCACCGTAAAATTTTTCAGCCAAGGATTCCTTTTTTAAATCATCTATTTTCTCCGAAAACTGCCAACCTATGCCCGGAATTACTATTCATCACATTGAGCGATTTTGTTTTTGACACCAATACTGTCAGTCTTTTTGCTCATTTTGTCACAGTGGTAAATTTTTAATCAATGAGCCATTTTTACTTACGATTATTGTACGAATCGATCAGCTCTTTTTGCTACAGTCACTATCAATGTGCTCCCAAAATTTTAGTATTGTAGCGTTCATGAGGACGTTTGTAAAATCATCCAGTATTTAGTTTATTTAAGACGTCACGTTTTGACCAAATTTGTATGATCGAAAGGCTGTTTCACACTTCAGATTAAAACGTGTACATTCTTCCTTGTGGCTATAGAGTCTGGACAATGCGTCGCATGTAGAAGGCTCAGAAATTCTTTTGGGGCACATGGCAGTGCGGGACTGGGATGCGGCTCCGAACGCGGGCCCATTCAGGTGCAAACTCACGGGCCTCGTCGCTTCGCCTTCGATTGCCTGGGACATCTCCATGCCCCCCTTCTCAGTGCGCGCCCACTCCGTCCTCCCCACCAATACCGCTGTCTCCACCCACCTCGTTGACTCCTCCTTCTTCCGGGGCCTCGAAACTAACCAGACGGGCTTTTGCTCTCTCTATGCCGCCTCAACACTCCCAGTTAGCTGCCTCGACTCTTACATATCACTTCACCTTATCTGATGCTCTTCGTTCCTTTATTAACACTTATGATTTATAATCTTTTTGGAATTAAGGTTAAAGTAACTTATTTCACTGTAATTCGTTTCACATTTTTTAATTTAGCTTGGTATTTTTACTTAGAAACTGTTTTGAAAGCTCGTTCAAACGTTTCAGTGTCTTTTTTAGGGCAAACATCAGTTAGAATAGTTTTTCAAAGCGAATCAGTAGGCTGACATATATTAAATTTAGCTGTTACCCTGCATGCCTGTTTGAGGGTATGTTTGCTTTCCTCTTATCATTTTAAAGTACAAAGGCCACAAACAGTTCCCATGGCATTAAGGCGTCTACTTTAATTTATGGCATGATACTTCAACCTAAAGACATCAACGTGATTTTCTTGTACAGTTGGGAAGTAAAAGTGTGGTAGTCCGTGCCCACGACAATGGAATGACCGTGCTTCACTCGTCAGTGACAATCACAGTTCACGTCTCTCGTCAGTCCAACCTTCCTCCTGAGATCGTCAGTTCAAACACAACTCTTGTGGTTTTCCGGGACAGCTCTGGGGCCTCTGCTTTTTCCTTGAAAAGTCGCTTCGACCTTGACAACTCCATGATAGCTACGAAGTTGCCGAAGGCGCAGGATCCTCCGCTGATGCGGGTGGTCGTTCGCGATCGTACTGCTTATGATCAGCTCTTCTTTGAACTCCTCACCGAACCCTCGACTGCTCAATTTGTCATAGACCAGTACGATGGAAGTATCCATGTAAAATCCACCACATCAAGAACGATCAAATCCACTGTCCCCTCCGCACCTCAGAAAGATCCGTCACTTGTATGGCTGGAACCTGTGCTGCCGAAACTACCGCTCATGGCTCAACTCAACTCTGGCGAATATCGTCTTCGAGTCAGAGTTACAAATGGCTCATTAAGTTCCAATAATACCATGTTCCTGAAGGTGGGTTTAGTCTAGATCCTCCATGCCCTGATAGTTAATCTTCGTGAGCTGGATAGGTGAAGGGATGTCTACTCAATTAGTTAATTTGAATTACTGAATGAAATAGTTTGAAAAGTGGGAATTCATCATGAAAATGTCTACCTTTTCAAGCAAGTGAAAATCCACTCACCTTTCGAGCAAGCGGGCATTGCGGGTGGAGCGGTGGGGGAGGGGAGGACAGGTTGGTTTAAACAATACGTTTGACCAAATTGACTGGGGCATATTGTCATGCTGTCCGCTGCAACTCATTTCGCACGCTTTTTTCAGATGGGCAAGGGGGTTTAGAGCAAATGATTTCTGCTAGCATATGCGTGTTTACGTGGCTTATTTTCGTCTCTGAAACCCAAGTTGATGCAATTTTTGAATTTAATGGCTCTTTCTTACGATTCCCATCTAGTTAAGGAATAATAGATCAAATTTGTGACAATATTATGGGATTTGTATAGCACACTATCGGGCAGCTGTTCCATTGACTAAAAAACATGTTCTTAATTGAGAATTCTCTAGCAGGTGTTAACAAAAACGCCAATTCACCTTAAGTCTTGTCGGCATGTTAAAAGGCAACCATCTTGCCTCGAATTGAAAGTTGGTTTAGGGTCGTCTGTTTTCAACTTTGCGATTTGCTTTTTTTACAAATTAAGAACTGGAAGACTTTTCAAGCCACTTTTTGCAGAATTTCTGCGTGCGTTTTGTTCAATTATGCATTTTGGGTAATGCATCCCTTCGAATGTGAGTTAATAATCAAATTGATTTGCTTACTTAAAGTTCAACTAGTTCCCAATTTAAGTTCACAAACTTATTTTTTATTGCCCCAGTATTGCAGTTCAACTGCATTTGGCAAACTTACCACTACACGGGGTTAAATCGCCCCCAAAGGCTATTTTCCTCCCGGAATTTTAAAGCTCTAGTCCTCCCTATTTATAGCTTCCAACCATTTTTCATACTGTCGTAGGTTATAACTGTGACGGAAGAGATGTTAGAGTCCGCCTGTGTGCTCCATGTTGCCGACCTCTCACCAAACGAGTTGTTTCTCCTTCACCTTGGCGAGGCGATCCAGCAGGAGTTGGCCCGGACGCTTCTCAGTTTCTCTGTCACTGGTGGTGTCGACCTATCCGACAACGTTTTCATTATCTCCGCCCGGTCCTCTACTGCCTTTCTGCACAGGGAAAGAAGGAGTATTGGTGGCGGAGCGGATCTTCTGATAGCTGTCTACGATCCTCGCGAGAGGCGGTTCATCGAGTCCAACCGTTTGGTTCACCAGATCCATGGCTTGCAGGGAAACCTCTCCAGAGCTATTGGCCACCGAATCCATGCCTACAACAGTCTCTGTGCACAAAAGGTAGGCTCTTCGATACTCTGTTCTGTGCACTATAATTGCCTATCCAACCGCTCTACTGCTGTTTATCTTTAGTAATCTTTATGCTATTATTATTTCAATTTCCAGTACATGCAACAGTAGATATTGTCTAAAGATTTTCTCTTTCATTTTTAAGGCTTTGAGGAGTCAGAGAAGCGTACGATTTAGTTTTTAATGTAACTTTTATTTATGAATTAGGAATACTTGACATCTTGCTTACCGTTTAGCTTAACTATTACTTATGCTACTTGGCATTACAATGCAATTGCGCCGGGAGAACAGATCAGTACTTTATTTCGTTATAATTGTATGTATTTACTTTAAGGAAAATAAAATATTTAACCCGATAGACAATTTGACACGTGTGTATTTATTCCATCCATAGCTGGTAAACCTCTTTAGGTAGTCAGCACGCGATGGAAGTCAGATTACTGGCAGTTAATGGGGAAATCACTAACTCACAAATGCTCTACCATGATGGACGGACTTTATCACTTCCCCTTATCTGGAAATAGATGTACAAAACACTATCTTTTTTTCCTTCTTTTCAACATAATCCGCAGGACACAGGTCTTACCCAAATGTCTAATTTGTAGTGAACTTAAATCAAAAACTCCCATTTTCGTGCTACCTGTATGAAGTGAAATAAATTTCACATTGCAACTATTGAAGTATTGACTGCTATATAAAATGCGTCACATACGTTTTTCGTCCGATGTTATTTAATCGAGTGTCGATGTGACGGAACTAGACATTGGCATTTTCTCGTGGTAGAAATGCGACTCGGGAAGTTGCGCGACGCGGGTGGTACTGGAGGCGCAGACGGAGGGGCTGAGTGTATTGGAGGTGCACGGCGCGAGTCGGGTGAGTCCGCGTTTCTCGCTAGTGGCGCGGTGCCGGTGCACGACTGATTTCGGAGGCTCATACTGTGAGCGTCCACGCAACGTTTGCGCCACTACTGTGTGCTCCGCGCCGCGCATCTGTGTGCCCTCGCCTCGCTCGCCACGCACCCATTATGCCTGTCTCTGCCCCCTCCCCTGGACCGGTTCCAACTGCGACCGCCTTCTCCGACTGCCCCCCGACTCCTCTGAGGCCTGCTTCTCTGAAGCCTGCTTCCTCCAGAGAGGTAAGTTTTCTCTGTCTTTTATGTCCTCAAATTTTTACTTAAATGACATGCCCAATTATTAATATGACTTTCTAATTGAATTAGCGTCTGCAACACGGTATTTCCTATTCAGATTTACTTAATTTCGCATACCAAAGAAGTTGGATCACTTACTATTTTATTATTGAATGCGCTTGCTTGAAAGTGTTTGAGAGGCCTGTATTTCAGTCAATACGATGATCGTTGCAACTTTAAAAATTTGACTTTGAGCTGGTACTACTTGTGAACTAGAGGAACTCGCTCTTTCCCTTTTCCCGAGTGTGTGCATTTGAATGTTGATACGGGCTCGCAATGCCAAGTCGAGATCCACAGAAGTGCAATCGAACCGATGCAACAGGGGGGTAACAATATAGATCTACTCCCTCCTTGGAGGCGTTATCTACGGGTAATCTGATGTCCCAGATTTGTATGCTCCATCAGCAATTATTTGATTAAGACAGCCCATCAGCGGTGCACCCTTTTCCTCCCTCATCTTGTTTATCATCAATACTCGAACGATTAAATGCATATTAACTCGAATATCTTTATTCAGTCATCCAACCATCTTGCCGTAAACTATTATAACTTTGTTGTTTTGGTGTACTCTATTATTACGTTTGTCTGCTATCTGGAGGAAAGTTTAAACATTCAAGATTAAACAACAAAATGATTCAGAATCAGTTCAGTGCAATTCAGGATTCCACTTTTTCATCAATTTTAGCTTCACGCACTAGCAATTTTCTTCTACTCCATAACAACTTTTTTTTTTAAAATTCTTGAAATGTGCTTTAAACTAGTGCTGCGTTTTCATTTACGGCACCTGTCAATCAGGGATCTCAGGGGAATTCCTGTAAAATGACTGCTCTCCATCTGCGATTTTAAAAGCACTAATATATGCGAAATACAGCAAGAAGCTAATTTGGAGAGGCTGAATAGTTTTATAACCATATTTAAGCCAGATCCTCCATTGTCAATAACGATGGAAAAGAAGTTACAGCAATTTCATTCTTATTATCAGAGAAAGGGCCACTACAGTTCACGGGAGGGAGTTTTGCCCACTGGCAAGTAGGGAATCCGAACGAGCACAGAATCGAAATCGTGTTCTCCATCCGCACCCGCCAGCATAGTGGGCCGCTCTTTTCCGTTGGCTGGAGTGCTCTGCGCGCTCTACGCATTCACTTAGTCAATAACGGCAACTTGGCCGTCTCGCTGGTCGACTTTGCCAAAGGAATGTCCACAAGCGATTGGCTCATCTCCAGTCACCTGGAGCTGAGTGACGGTCAGTGGCACCGCGTGCGGTTCGTCCTCTTTGCCAGTATCATCGATTCATCCGGTGGGCCAATCTACTCACCCTTCAGTGCTTGCATCCACTGCTCACTTGGGTTAATTACTATTTTTTTTCCTGACAGACCTTAGATGGTGGGTCCAGCTAACGATTGACGGCATACATGTTCATTCTAAAGTTATTGATTGGGTTCCTGGTGACACGAAAAGACAGGACATCCTGCTCGGTGCCGAATTGGTCCACGGATTCCGGCCCCTTGCTGAGGTCTTTTATCCAAAGGAATGGGTAGCAACACTATCTAAGGAAACTCAGGATCCCGAATGGCCACAATTTAATTACTCTGCTCCTCCTCCCATTTTGCGCTCCGGATTTGTGGGTGAGTTGTGTATCCGTGTTAGATTTTACCCAATAAAATGCAAAAACAAAGTAATCCACCATTTTTTTCTTATCGTCTTAGGTTGTATAAGGGACATTCTCATCAATCGCGTTAAGCCACCCTACCAAGCAGGCTTTACTTCCCAGCAGGCGGTACTCTCAGCACTGCAGAATCACAAGTTGTCCATAGGTGCTTCCGGGGAAGAGAACCAGGAAGTCACTGGCCTGCCAGTGCTGCAGGTGATTCGAATCCACAACCTGGAGTACTATTGCTCGGCACAGGCGACGTACGAGAGTTCCTGCGCCTATGCGCCCTGTCTTAACGGAGGTGTGTGTGTCTCGAGGCGTACCCTTGCCTTCTCTCAACTCGGTAGAGGCCCCGCGGCTGTCCACTCCACTGACTTCAACTGCTCTTGCCAGCCTGGCTTCGTGGGCTCCCTTTGTGAGAAGGTCGCTGACCCCTGCCTTCTCCAACCTTGTCTCAACGGTGCCAAGTTCGTCCTGATTTCTCTTGTGGTGCTGTCTTCAACATTACTAATTAATGTGTTAGAATGTTAGATGTGATGATACAATTCAGTGACAGCTATTGTCTACGTTTTATTGAGCTACT